CAGCTGCAATACAGATTCTATAGTTACACAAATGCTTCTTCATACGGCCAATGTTGATGCAGATCAACAACTCATTTTACGATGAGGTGGTGGAGCCAAATAACTGCATCAGGAGTAGCAGAGTGGTGAATCATCACTGCTGTGATGACGCCTCCTCCTTCGTGTTTGTGAATCAGGCATGGAATCGTTCTTAGTTTCATCGTTTTGTTCCGGGTGACCACAGTCACCGCACAACTGATAGTTTTTAATTCTCCATTCGTGCTCGAGATAGTAATAACCCTGAACACAGCACAGATTCAAGATGCAATTTCTCTCTTCAATAAAAAATTAGAATTCAAATATAAATTGTAAACATTGAGTTTGTCAGTTAAAGCAGAAGAGAAGAGAAATCACAGAAGGTTTTTTCTGCAATTGGCCACACCAATCCTCGTCCGGTGTCCTTCTTCTGTGCAAGTGGCTTGCAATTGGTAGGTTGCGAGTTCATATCCTAGTTGGGAGTTGTATGTTGAACTTCTTTCGCATTGTACATAGCCAACCATGCTAATAGGAGTTGACTCAACCCATCATCCCTACGGGGTCAATACAATTATTACTGCTTTGTGGGAATTTCCACCACTGGCTCAGGGCTGTAAACTGGATATTAGAAATAGGTCGTTCTTGGCAAGGATCCTACTTTAATTTAATCCCCCCTCCCAAAATCGATCTTATAAATACAGACATTGAGTTTGCTACGAATATCTAAAAACCTTGGTGCCATCAAAGCGCCCTTCCTCTCTCTCTCATCCCCCAACCCCGCAAAGCCATCTACAGTTTGCGAATAATCGCACCAACTGTTGTCACCTTCTCACCAAGCTGCTTGGCAATGGTCTTGTAGCCCATTCCAGCCTTGTGTAGGTCTACAATCTTGTCCCTGACATCCTTGGAGAGCTCTTTGGTCTTGGCCATGGTGGAGAGTTTGGAATCTGATTGATTGATTGCTTCTGTGGACAGGTGCATTTTATACAGGTAACAAGCTGAGATTAGAAGCACTCCCTTTAAGAGTGTGCTCCTAATCTCAGCTCGTTACCTGTATAAAAGACACCTGGGAGCCAGAAATCTTTCTGATTGAGAGGGGGTCAAATACTTATTTCCCTCATTAACATGCAAATCAATTTATAACATTTTTTACATGCATTTTTCTGGATTTTGTTGTTGTTCTGTCTCTCACTGTTCAAATAAACCTACCATTAAAATTATAGACTGATCATTTCTTTGTCAGTGGGCAAACGTACAAAATCAGCAGGGGATCAAATACTTTTTTCCCTCACTGTACCTTCCCCTGGTAACATCTCGTGCACACGTGATTTCCTTACTCAGTCTGCCGCTGTGAGCTGAATGGATGTGAAATCCGCTTCCTGACCAAAGAACTCTCCCACATCCCTCGGCAACACAACTTCAGAATCCCAGCACCAGGCTTTTCACTCGCACTTGTAAATGTAACAGTGTCACTCCAATCCTAATTCAATATTAAATTGATCATGAGATTGTCCTTAACATGTTCGAGATCCTAAATGGTCTTGCTTCTCCGCTCTCCCCTCTCCACTCCCCTAATGGTACACTGCTCTCCAGCAACCAACGCCTCTTGGTGAAACTCTAATGTAAATTTTAACGTTGATTTTGTGTACCTGTGTGTGAATTCAAGAGACCAGGATAGTCTCATTTGCAAAAGTGATCTGGGTCACCAACACGATAAAATCAATACAAACATAAAACTCATTACAACACAGCAGCAAAAAAATCAGAGCAAAAACAACCGAATATAAATTACAGGAGATACAACCACATTACAGAAGAAATCGAAAAGAGTGCACAAACATAATCAACATTAAATAAAATATATTTCCTTTAAAGTTGGCTTAAACAAAAATATTTAGAAAATCAAAGCACATTTTTAAAAATATTAATTAGATTGTCTGATTATTGCACGAGTATTTGCAGAGAAAATTATATCAAATAGAGCTGCAAGTGAAATTATCAACGAGAATCAGACAGCTCCGCATCAAATTGAGATTTAGATGGAAGAGTAACCGAGGGTATTTTGGAAGCGATGAGATCGCAGGCGTTTGAGGCATGAGGAGAATCGGTGGAGGTCGCTGCTTTTCCTCTGCTGCCGTGACTGTCGCCTGCAATTCCCCCCCCCTCCTGCTGCTGGTCCACACCGTGGAATCCTTTTCCCCACATCGTACAGGGAGCAACGCTCCTCTAGTCCCCAGTCACAGCCCCCCGGCCCTCGCGTTCATCGGCCCTCTCTGCTCACCCCATGCATGGCGCTAGCGCACGTGGCTGTTTGTTCACACGCCGCATGCAGCAACGTCAGCCAGCTCCTGTGCGATTACGTCCTCGCCTCAATGCTGTAGGAAGGGCTCCACTAAAGGGCCCTCTAGAGAGGGAGCCCTAGAGAAGACCCTCCGGTAACGTTGGGACAGATAATTGCACAGTTGTGTCGTCCTCGATCGAATGTGCAATCATTCCCTCTGCTTTAAGCCCGAGGCATTACAAATTTCTTGTGATGGTTATCCATACGCTACTGCCTCACTGCCAAGTTTTGCAAACTAAAGGTCACTGTGTGAATCATCTATCGACATACAGAGTGATTTTGGAGACTTAAGAAACCATCAGTCAGTAATTGACTATTTCCCTCGAACAAGCGGCACCACACCCTTCACTCAGGAAGCCACTGAGACGCGACACGCGCTCCGAAGGGCTATTTCCTGAAACGTCGCCGATTCTGATTTCCTTCTATGGCCACGGTGCTACCAAAGAACGTGCCGAGTTTCTGTAATGTTCCCGTGATGCTTGTGTACCATTGCCAACGCAGCGTTACCAAATAGCCTGCGCAGAGCAGAGGCGCCAGAGCGGGGAGTAGCGGGAATAATGGGGACATCCAAGCCCAGTTTGATTGTACAGCACAAATGTAGCGTCGCCTATGGTTTACTATGTAATGTACATAAACAGTAAGAGCAGCCTCTTGCACGAGTGTACGGTTGAACCCATATGGGTACAACGATTTAATACAATAAAATATACCGTTACACACTTGGAACAATCGGTAGCGTGTCTACTTGCACTGTAACACTTATATTGTTATTATTCAACTACACGCAGAGCTCTCAAAACCCAGCCGCTCTCTCGTCTTCTACAGGCTTAACTCACTCTTCACTGCCCTTCAACTCCATGAGCTCCCTTCACTGAGAGCTCGTCCTGTCCGCTCATCACACTCACGAGCTGAAGGTCCCGGGGCTCTGTCCACTCCGTGGCGCTGTTGGCGTTCACATTCAGCACGAGTCGGGCGTCTCATCCCTGAAGTTCCCTGTTGTGGTGCCACATCCTTCTCCATACCTCTACCCTCAATCCCCTTGAACACGAGAGGCAACATCTTCATCGGGATTGTGTTCCACTACATAAACGCAGGTGGTACGCACGGCGCCTGCTCGTGTACTCAAGTACATGGCACGCAGCCATTGTACATGGTACGCAATGTATACGGCATGTATTGTACATGGTATCACAATCTGCCAAACTCAGCGTCACCCCCACGGATTTAACAACACAGGGTGCAACAAAAACATCAAAAGAGTACAACTATGAGCGAGTGGACGGCGACGAGGAGCCGTGGGGAGACGGGGAGCGAGCAAAGCGCAACGAGGCGATGGGGATGACGCGCGAGAACCTCGAGATTTCGGTTGCCACCTGTTCGGAATTTGCCCGAACAGTCTTGGAATGGGGCATCCGTGTTCGTGCGTCAGAAATAGGTTTGTGCCGAGATTTGGTACCTGGATTGTGTCTGCACTGTTTTTACAGCTGACCTAAGCTAAGAAATATATCCGGGTTTGATCTACAGCATCATTGGTGGCAACCAGAGTGGCGATTCCAGAGCCCGGTTAGCAAAGATGCACAGCGCGGCGTGCGGCATGTCCAGTGCGGGGCCCCCCACGCAGTGCTGTGGCGAGCACGAGTCCGTGTCGTCGTGCCGTGTTGGCAGTGCGGTCAAAATGCTGCTGCTGCTACTGGTGCTGGTGATCCATGCCAGGCTCGCCGCGTCAGGAGGAAACGGAATTGAGTTGCCTGGCCAATTTCATTTATTCCTGGTTTGGCGCGCGCGGAAGTCAAAGAACCCGGAAAAAAAATACGTAAATTGGGGGTGCCAATCAAAGGCTCCCACAGATGGACTCAAATAATAAATTATCTTCACTGCCATCTCCGGGCCACTTCGCTGCCCATCTGTGTCGTGGTGTGCCAGACGGGAGACGAGACGGGCTCGTGTACACGGGTGCGAGGTTGATATTACATCGCGTCAGAGACAGTGACGGCTGGGAGAGGCTCTCATCCAGCAGTCGATTGACCATGGCTGCTGCTTGAGAGTGAGTGATGTATGCAGGAAGCACAGTGCTGGTTCATACAACGCGAGAATACTGCGAAGAGTACAGTAGGGTGCGTGCAGCGCGAATGTTTAAAGTGCGTACAGTGAGTGGCGTGTGTCCCGTCCCCAGTGCGGCGTGAGTAGCGAATGCTGACCACAGCGCACGAGCTGAGCACAGCGCACACGGTGCACATGGGCATGGTGCGTCTACAGTTCGTGTTTTGTGAGTACAGTGCGCACAGTGGGTGTACAGTGCGTGTGCAGTTGTTGGTGTGTAGCGCGAGGGACGGAGCGCGATGCGAGGTGCAGGCGGCTCGCGGGGCTCACGTCTTGCCCGGCCCCGGCTGCTGCTCGTCCGCGTCCCACGCGGGGCCAGCGCCCTGCGAGGCCTTGAGCGTCTCGAACGCTTTGACGAGGCGCTCCATCGGGGTCATGGCGGTGCCGCGACACCGGCCCCGTGCCTCGCGTCACCGATCACAAACACGGGCGATCCACGTGACGTCACCCGCGAATGACGTCCCCGACGCGTTGCGGTGACGTGTGACCCGATATAAATAAATGATGTCATTGCCCAGCGACCACGGCGTATTAAAATACTGTACAGTGTGGATTGTTAACCGATTTCGTGACGTCATCGTGTGGAGAGCGATTACGTCATTCGCGATGGAGACGCCATTTTGCGGCGCCATGGAGGCGAGAGCACAGCGTGGTTCGTTTCGCTCTCCCCAAACACTCCACTCGCTCGCTACACTCACACGTTCCTCTGTAGTATGCACAGACACCCCGCACACTCGCATGCCCCTAGTACGCACAAACACTGTCTAATACGCACAAACACTCTACGCACACGCGCTCCACCGCACGCGATGGAGCTCTGTCTCGGATGGAGGCCGCTGCTATGAGCCCCGAGTTACGCGGGGAACCCGACTAAGGTACGGCAACGTGAGTGGCATTGCGCCGGGTGTGACGAGTTATTGGCCATACTTCCCCACGCTGGTTCGCGCGGGTTTGTGAAGGGGGCGGCCACGTGTGCGTGTACAGTGTGCACGTGCGTGTACAGTACAAATGGAAACGAGCTGTGTAATCCTGACTTAAAGCTTTCGTGACTGCAGGAATTCATATTCTTTGGGTCTTTCGGTAAAGCCACGTAGATAGAAAAAATATTTAAAATATCACGACGGTTTTTTTCACTTGATGACGACTGCTTGCGTTACGATCCAAACGTGATATTTTTGTTTTCTATCTACGTGGCTGTACCGAAATACCCAAAGAATGAGCTATGTAATGTCTAGTACGTGTTTGTGTGTGGGACCCATGTCTAACATTCCTAGCCTATAAACATCTGGAAGCTCACCTGTAAACCTGACTTTGTTGCCGAGACTGTCAAAACGGATTAAGCGTTTAATTGTATTGAACTGAACCAATGCGTCCAAAAAGATGGCACTCCCCAGTAGGTCGTGTGGCTGATTGGATGTACACGATCTCTTTTTTTTAGAATCCTGGCCTAAAGGTCAGAACTCTTCGAGAATGCAGGTAATATAACGCTTTTATTATTGGGTTAAGTGTGAATTGTGTGCCCTGGTTCCACTTGCCCGCTAACTTTTGATAAATACTCTGCAACCTGGAGTACAGGTTTGCTCCAATCGCTGTGCTTCCATGATGCCTAAAATGTCTGACCTGAATAACGTGTGTAGACATCCTTCATCTGAGTTGCAGCACAGCCATTGAGGCATTCTTGCTAGATTTAATTTACATTTTAGTCTGACTTGACGTTTTGAAATCATTATTTTTCAAGATTCTGGAGTCATCGGATGCAATCGCTTGAAGGTTGCAGGTTCCAAGGTGAGGTTTTTCCCATTCAGTCAAAACGCGTTTTCTTTACTTCCGATTTATTTTTAATTACATCCCATGCACATGACAAGCCCTAGCTAGTTTCATGAGATGAGTGGTGTATATATAAATAAAAAACCGTTACAAAATGTAGACACTCCCAAGCTCGGTCTCATGTATTTAACCATAATATGAACCCGTTGAGACACGGGAGCAAGGGTGACGGACCTTGGTTACAGCCAAACGTGTCATGTACACTATGTTTTATAACATTTCAATGTAACAAATCTAGTTACAGCTAAATAACCATCTGAATAATATCTTCTACATATGCAATTTCTCGAAATTAATTTTAGGCATGGAGTGCTGTACTGGAGTATTCTGTATAATTATTGAGAAGTCAACCTCCGTTGCTAAACTAAAAAAAGTTAGGGCAATTGCCATACATTTAAATCATGTGCTTGTGTTGAATTACTGTTAAACACCCTGGAATAAAGGTATTCCTCCAAACTCTGCTTCGATGATGCCTAAAATGTCTGACCTGAATATTTGTGTAGACGTCTTCAATCTGAGTTTAAGCAGAGACACGAAGGCGTGTCTGCGAAATTAAATTTCAACTGTAATATCTGACAAGGTTTTAAAATTATTTTCAGATCCTGGATCTTCAAAGATTTTAATCACAAAGTTTCACATTCCAAGGTGAGGCCTTCTATCTACTCATTTTTTGTATTGATTTTGAAGTACATCCTTAAAAATATGGATTTCTGCAGTGGTGGAACGTTTAGAATATCTGATTATATTTCATTTTCCAAGGGGACAGTTGAAACAATGGTGCGAGTTCTTTAATGTCCTTACGCCTCTGTCGGCCCAGCAATATTTATGGGTCCACCACAGTTGATCGCCAGGTCGCGTGGTGGGGAAATTCCACCTCTTCCAAACTTGCAGCCAGCGTGAAATACCCCCCAGAGCTCCCTGTACTGAGGCCATTGCCACCAGTGGCAGCGATTTCAGAGCTGCACATGAGCCCTAATTTCACCACAGGAGCGGTAGAATACAAATGGTGCTGTTTCAAAGACTGGCCATATTGCATGTGCTTTGCATTTCATGGATTTGTGCTTGTTTTGGATTTTTAAGTATTCAAACTGTGTTGTATTGCAGGTGATATCCACGTCTGGATGGGACCTTTTTGTGTAATGTCTGTCTTGAAGATGAAAGAAAATGCATCCAAGCCTTGTCATTGGTGAACATGGAGTCAACACAATTCCTCTACTGAAGTCTTAACACGGGGTCATTTACAGGCATATAAACATACATATAGGGAAGTGAAAAGCAAAACTAGGAAACACGAGGCGTTATCGAAAAGTTGGCATTGGTGGTAGAAATGTATACAATTAAACAGATGCATAACAATAAGTTGAGAGACATTAAAGGCCCTTAAATATACAAGGATATAAAATGACCGGTCATTCCACTTCGAATAAACTGATTCAATGCTCAAGGTGAACATTAACTTAATACAGATTTTAAAATGGCCTTAGAAAGAATGAAGAAAATTAAATATTTAAACTATTACATCTCATGGGTCTCAAAAGAGAACCCTTCATTATGGAAGGAACCATTGTTAAAGGGGTAAAAAATGAAGTGAAAAAACCTGATGTTATCCTAACAGAATAAGAGATGCACCTTTGTCATGGTAATCGGCAGCGCTGCACCATCGCGATGTACAATCGGTATACACTGTTACGTTATTGTTTTCAATAAATGCTTCTTTGCAAGTATTTTGGAATTGTCCAAACGCCAGCACCTGTTTTACACAACTGAGCTCGGGCCCAATGTCAAATGGCCAGCTACAAACGACACTATCAGACTTTTTGGTTCTTTCGGTAAAATCACGTAGATATAAAAAAATAACTAATAAATCGTTTCGATAGCAACACAAGCCATCGTCTTAAGGTGAAAAATTATATACAGCAGGCGGACTGCTGAAGAAATGTAGCGCGAGAGCTACTACAACCAAGGGTTATATGTTTGTGGTGGGTACAACCAAGGGGAAGTGGGCGGGACTAGGGATGGAATTTGCAAATGTAATCGCAGAGGGTAGGGGTGGGTGTCGCAACAGGCTATCGAAACGGTTTGATTAGTTATTTTTTCTATCTACATGACTTTATTGAAAGAACCAAAGTATGAATTCCTGCAGTCACGAAAGCTTCAAATCACGATTGACACTATCAGAGTTGTAATCGATATCCCCTGCACTGAATACCAAGATTGCATACAAATTTGGCGCTGTAGTGGAACTTTATTAAAAGTATGAACCAAAAATCACCATTTGGGCTCCATCCAATTCTAGGATCCTTTAAAAATATATACTGTACCTGCTTGCTGGTCCGGCCCAATGAGCCTCTTAACACAACCCCAATGCGCTTCGGTGGTTAACGGTGGATCCCAATGCGCCTGTGGTTGGCACGGAACCCGAAGGGAGCCGTCGTCTGGCCTCATTACGATCTATGAACGATAACTGGTAAAGGTTCGTAGCGCTAAGCTGCAAACGAACGCATTTTCAACAGCTACACCACACGTTCCATTCTGCGAAGAATGTACTGAGAACAAACGCGTTTTGGGTAGCATTGCAAAACTATACGTATGCATAAGCTTAATGTCCTCTTAATTCTATAAACATGTTAGGCAGTGCCACGTTCACCACTGGTTGCGGCTGCTTGGTAGGCGCGCGTGGCACGTGGGGGGCGGGGTTCTGTTGCCGGGCATCTGTTGGTGACGTCACTCGGCGTGGGTCCACGTAAAATTTTGTATCCGCGCCGCTGATTGACCCAATGTAATGCGTGGGCGGGGCGAGTGTTGTGATTGGCTGAGGCTTGAGGTTTGTGGGCGTAGCGAGCACTGTGATTGGCTGGGGCTGGGCGGGTGGCCCGGCGTTGTTTGAATGCGGGAAGTGACCCGACAGCTGCGCGTCTTTGTAACGAAGCGAGGGCTGATAAATGGGTGAGTGTGTGGGGTGGTGAGTGAGTGGGGTGGTGAGTGAGTGGGGGTGAGTGAGTGGGGGTGAGTGTGTAGGGTGGTGAGTGTGTGGGGATGAGTGAGTGTGTGGGGATGAGTGAGTGTGTGGGGATGAGTGAGTGTGTGGGGGTGAGTGAGTGTGTGGGGGTGAGTGAGTGTGTGGGGGTGAGTGAGTGTGTGGGGGTGAGTGAGTGTGTGGGGGTGAGTGAGTGTGTGGGGGTGAGTGAGGATGAGTTGGGTGAGCGCCGCGGGTGGCTCAGCGTATTTGTATAAGAGCAGTGCGATACAACGAACTATAACAGATTGGTCTATATCGTGACCTAGCCAGATAAACTTCCACACTTGATAGCCTCAAAGTACACCTAGCCTGGCACAAGCGTAGTGATGACGTCCCCGCCACTGTGGCGAATGGCGGCTGCTGTTGAGTGAGCAAGCGGGTGAGTGTGTAAGGTGAGGGGATGATTTAGGGAGTGAGTAAAGGTGGTGAGTGAGAAGGTGGTGAATTCGTGAGGCGGGTAGAGTGCTGGGTGGGTGTGGAATGCTGAGTGAGGGTATTTGTGTACGTTGCGGTTATTTTTACTGTGGATTAGTGTATTGTAGTGTGTAGTGTACAGTGTAATGCGGTGTACATTATAGCGTATGGTGCTGTAGTAAATAATGTAGTGTATATAGTGTGAGGTTGAGGTGGGCGTGAGTAGGGGTGAATAGGTGGTGAATATGCTGAGGTTAAGGTGAGGCTGAAGTGAGCATGAGAGTGGATGAGTGGGTGGTGAGTGGTGAGGTGAGGCTGAAATGTAATGGTGAATAGGTGATGAGCATATTCTTGGTTCTTTCGGTAAAGTCACGTTGAAGGGAAACAATAAAATGAAAAGGTGATGAGCATGGTGAGGCGGAAGTGTGAGTAGGGGTGAATAGGTGGTGAGGTTGAGGTGAGGCTGAAGTGAGTGTAAGGCTTTGCACCTCCCAGACCCATGGGTTTTGAAGCACTGCACGAGAAAGTGCCCCATGCAGAGCGCTTGATTCGGCGGGTATCAGTACAGATTATGATAAAACAAATTTCCCCCACAATATCTCATGTAACAACGTTTGAGGTCACTTTAGTATGCCTCTGTATCCTCTTTCGGGCCACATCTGTTTCATGCTCTGCAGAGGGTGGCCTCTTATTCTAAGAACTGTAACCAGCTGAATTAATTAACAAAGCGACGTTGAATGTGACCATCTAGTCGCTGCACGGATTCAGTGGGGCCAGTGTGTCGCGGTGCTGCTGGATTAGTATTCTGACCTTCCTGTAGCTCTCTGAGCCATCTCGCCACCTCGGCAGTCCAGTGTTTCTGAGGTTTGGGCCATGGCAAGTGTGTAGCTCGAGTGAGCGCAGGCGAGGAGGCAGTCCCACTTGTCTGACTCGGCAGACGAAAGCGGCAGTCTCTCACGATCGTTGGGTTTCGACGTCAGAGACTCGTGCCCAGAGCCAGCCGAACACCGAACCGGCATCTATCACGGATATTAACAAAATGCTTCTCTTTTGCAAAAACATATCTAGGTAGGACTCGGTTCTGTGTCTCCACAAACAAATAATAAAGTTTTAGTCCATCAGCCAATTGGCTTCCATTCAGACGCAATATTCAGAAACAATTGTAGGGTTTGTTAAATCAGAATCTTTATTTAAAGCACTGAGAGCGTAAATGGCGCTCTTTCAAAAACATTCATTTTAGGCACAGATTTTCGAGCCTCCGATTAGCACGTTTGGTTACATACGGCGCGAAAGAAGTTCAACATACATATAGAACAGTTTGGCTCATGTATGCTCCTGGATGGCTTTGTTACCGAGGATAATTACCAGCAACTCCGGTTACAAAGAAACAGACGTAAAACTGCTCACACAGATGATGATGACGCCGGGACGTCTCGATCTCAAACTTTTGAAAGGGCACCCCCAGTGGCAACTGTTCCTCTGTGACTCAAAATGACTCGACACCTGACCTGCAAGCGGGAATTAGTCTTCTAGTAGGGGGCGATTATTGCTGCTGTATGTATTCCTAAGTGAATAATTTGCGGGTAATTTTTCAAATTTTCAGCATGATACTGATGCACAATAATCTACTCTTCTCGAATAACATCTTGGGATCTTTCATATTAAATGTGAAGTAGACGGAGTAGCCACTGCAGTCGTAACCAGGGTGGCCCTGTTGTAATTGAACCGCGGACTTATGAACGAGTGGTGAACTCGCCGCCCTTGACAGCCGTGTCTGTCGTACGGTTGTGCCACGGTGACTTATTGCTGGAAATGCTGCTTGTCTTTATTCCCACAGAATGGAGAGTCCTCAGTCGACCCGAGATGTGTGTGGCAGTGCGGGTACCGGAGCTTGTGAGGATCTGCACGAGACAGTTGTCAACCCATTTGAGTTCCCAGGGTTTCTCGCGCATCATGCGCTTAGTCCAAATACGTGCACCTTCAAAATCAGCACTCCATCAACCAACTCCGCAAAAAAGGTTTGGATATACACACGTTGGACCTCGGTGGAAACCCTTGCACAACAGGTAGAGAACACTCAAATTCCACAAGGAAAGGCGCCCAAGTCGGGAATAGAACCCAGGACCTTGCTGTGAGGCACGAGTGTTGTGACTGCGCCACCCAGAAAAACACTTTTTTCTGTTGCATATTTAAAAGCTGTCACTCTTTTTCCTCATTGCTAGAGGATACTTAGTCATTGTTACTTTTGCCAATTGTAATTCAAAATTCAGTCTCTCCTTGTTTTAAATTTCCATGAAAATATAACATTTCCCTACTTGCACTTAAGCATCTTAAAAATATGATAATGCTCAGATTCTATTGTAACTTAATGTAACGTGTCACATTGTGGCTACTGGCAGATTGGTGGTTACTTGTTTGCGTGCGGGTGTGTTGTATATGTAGGTTATGAAAATTTGATGAAAATAATAAAAATTAAATGAAATTTGCATAAATATCCAAAATAATGTAAATTGATGTAATTTATGTGCATAGATTATTTGAGAAATAATCGTGGTAATTTATGCGCATGTGTGTTATTATGCTAATGTGAGCCGTTATGATAATTAGGCCCAGCCTCGTTGACGAGGGTTGGTTATCAATCGGGATAATGCAATTAATCATATGCAGTTATGCAGGTACTGTGAGCATATCAGATTAAACTCGGCTTCGTGGTTTAACTTCGTATTATCGATCGGTATAATACAATTATTCTCGCTTTAACATTTGCTGAGTATTTTTGATTTAAAGCTTTCGTGACTGCAGTAATTCATATTCTTAGCTCTTTCGGTAAAGTCACGTTTATATATATTTTATTATTTTATTGTTTCCCTTCAACGTGACTTTACCGAAAGAGCTAAGAATATGATTTACTGAGTATGTTAGTGTTTATGCCAGGTCTCCAGATTCAGATCTCATCGCAGAATACAGTTCTTATGCATAAATTTCAGGAAAGAACACACAACCACTTCTGCATTAATCAATTTATTTTCTAATTAAACCTTAACTCTAATATAGTATGTGAACTCTCAATCTTGGAATTTGCAACACAGTATCACCACAGTACTGTGTTGTTTCACCTTGATTCATTCCCCCCGCGTAATGCGAGCTCAGTTAGTGAGAGAGAGTCGTTAAAAACATGCATACGCTATTCTAAACAAAAACCTTAATACTCTATTATGAATGATTATACTTGAATTGCCCATGCAGTATTGCACTCATTATTGATCATATGCAATTCTTAACACGTTGTTAACAGGGCAGCAGGACGATTGATTATTATGCAACGATATTCATGTGACAAGGCAATCAAACAATTATTATTTCCCAAAAGCACAAGTATCCGTCAATAGATTCGTCATGTTCATTCATGGATACATCTGCAAGATTATGCAATTAAAAAAACGAACGACTCAAATACTTCTAAGTGACCGTATCCACGTAACTCAATGGGCCGCAATGTTTTCCGTTATCAGCTAATAGTTGACGCACTTATCATGAGTCTTCTTGTATGTGTTGTGTGAGTGTTGTTGGTCTTCTAGCGTTAATTCTTTGCGTAAAGCAGACGCTAAGGTTGGGCATCCCTTGTATCAAAAATGTGTTTGTTCCCTGCAGAGCGATGGGGTGTGAGGGCGTGTGTATCATACGGACAGCAGGGTTTCGTCTATCATGCGGTCGGCTGGAGTTCGGCTGATGCAGATTGGCGAGTTGACACGGTGCTGTAGTCGCGGTATTTCGTCAGTAGATGGCGCTCACTGGTTGCGCTCTCTCTCTCTGGTTGCTGCTGCTTTGTTCACGGGCGGCTGGTCAGGCTCTTTCCGCTGCTGGATGACTGCGCTCTCTCTCTGTGGAGCCGTTCGAATGCGCTCTCTCTGGTTCGCTGACAGCAGGCTCTTTCCACTGTTGGATGAGTCAAGTCGGCACACGCTTGGCCGCTGGTTGCAGATGCTCTTGCTTGGTGCGTTGGTCGCGCGGCAGCTGGGAGCCGGCACTCGATGTAGAATAAACTTTCAGCGATACTCTGTCTTTCAGCTCTGGACTCACACTCGGTGGCACCTCGCTTCCCTGTGAGCCTCGCCATTCTCAGTTTATCGCGGGGCTCGTTGGAGCCAGCCGCTCGTGCCCTCTTCTGTAGCTCGCCGGGCCGATTGACCTGTTGAACTCGCTGTTCCTTGTTGAACTGAACTTTTTAGATGATGGTTGAGCCGTTATATTAGAAAAAAATTCTCCGCTCTGCGCAGTGGAGGGGCGTGGCCGGTGTGTGTGTGTGCGTTTGTGTGTGTGTGGGGAGCGATAGTGTAGCGGTTAGCGCGCTGCACTATGAACCTTGGCGACTCGGGTTCAATTCCCGCTCACGGCCAACACCAGTGACGATTATCTGAACTGGTCCCGGGCCTCCCCTAGGTCGACTCAGCCTCAAATGAGTACCTGGTACGGTGTGTAAACATCGCCACTAGGGAGACAAAGGCGGTCGGGCGTTGTGCTGGCCACCCACCCCCTCGTGTACCGATCCGGCCTTCATAGGTGCTCGCTAACAGTACTTGCCCCTACAGTCTGTTAAGGCTATACAGGGGATCTTTTGTGTCATTCCATCGAGCCATCCTGTCTCCCCATTCATCACCGTCCCCTCCCCAAGGTATCCCTTCACCCGTGGGGCACAGATGGCCTGCGATAATTCTTGTCTCTGGTGGTATTCCTGCTCTCCCGCGCTGCGGGAAGACAAAGACGGCCGGGGTCTCTTTCTCTCTAACCCTTGAGTTAACACTGCATTATTATTATTATTATTTGCTTATGTCCTGAGGTTAGAGAATTCGTTTTGACTAAGGAAAAATTCTGATTGCCATACGCTTCGGGTCAAGTTGTGTAGAAATTATTAAAGATCGAAATAGCATTTCGTATTTAATTAATAGATGGGTAATGGTTCATTGATGTAGCTTGTGGCCTGGTTTTTAATTGGAGTGCGTGTGAGGATCGATAATTTTAGCTTATTCCTGTTGTTGGATTTTGAACTTTAACGTTACTTTAATAGCAATGAAGAAAAAAATGGTTTAGCGGTTGGCTTTGGCTATGTCTGCGGGCTGACGAAAGGGGCGAACTCTCGGCGACCCCGGGCGCTGCGTTATGTCAATCCTGCTGTTTGCTTGCCCAGTGTTCGGTCTGTGCCCTCTGACCCTGGGCATGTTTGTGAACTGTCAAAATTATGTCAGCAGGTCATGGTAAATCGTCCCTTGGCAATCTGGCGATTCTCCGAGTGCGTGTTTTGATTAATTATTTCTTGTAAAAAAAAAACGGCAAATATTATTGATATTAATTCTGGAAAAAGGCCTATATATTCAACAGGTGTGTGTAGGCACCACACTGTTACAAACCCGGCTATGACCCAGGTTCGATTACAGCTCACGGCCAACACCAGTGGACGAATATTTGAAGTTGTCCTGGGCCTCCCCTAGGTCGACTCAGGCTCAAATGAGTACCATGGTGTGGTGTGTAAACATCGTCACTTGTGAGACAAAGGCAGTTGGGTATAGTGCTGGCCACCCACGCTCTCGTTTACCGTGCCGACCTTAATAGGTGCTTGCTAAAAGCACTTGCCAAAACAGTATGTAAAGGCTATATTGGGTATCTTTGTTTTTGTGTTTATAGACACCGTCACGATTTCGATGGTCCATAGACGAAATGGCCAATCTTCAACCAGCTGCCATCCACCCTGAGGAAATACACCGACAGGCTTTGTACTTAAGCACGGTCAGGTGGGTATTGCCGTGCACTTTTGTTGCTGTGTGCATCTTGGAAAATGTCCATGCACGGTCGTGTAATTGGGTTATTACGTTCATTGTTTAATTGTGAAATTCCTGTTCACTATGGGGTAACATTCTGTAAATCTAAATACAATTCACCGTAAAACCCTGGCTCGCTGGATTCGCACTTAGCTGGATAGAGTGCTGCAAGTAGACTGAATAATTGTGCATGGACGCGGTGCGAGGCTGCATTGCACGCACGGTGGTGTGCCGTGCATTCTGTAGCTCCCTGTTGCTCTCTATGGCCCTGTCTCTCTATGGCACTCTGTTTATGTCGTCTCTATGGCCCTATCTGGATATTCCTTAATCTCTATGCCCCTTGTCTAGCTATGGCCCCGTCTCTTTATGGTCCTGTCCCTCTATGGCCCTGACATCATTCCTATCTCTACATGGCCTTGTCTGTCTTGGTTTTTTTAATTTCCTTGTTGTGTCAATTGCTTTCTGACATGATGTGTACTGACTTATAATTTGTTTTTCATGTATTCAGCTTGGATCAAGAACTTGAAGAAAAAACCCAGCTGGAAATTGAGCAGGTTTGTATAATTGTGCATTGTATGCACTTCCCATGATATGAAACCTGTTATATCCACACGTGCTGTTAGGGCTCTATCTCTCTCTAGTTACATTTCTCTCCTTTACGCACCATTCCATCTCCAGTCTCACCCCTCACCTATAACCGTTGCTACTTGCGTAGTGTGCTGTTTAAGCCTGCTTACTTTCCTCAGTAGTCAATAACATGTAACTCATTTATGTTTGTTCCATATCAATGCGTTCCTCTTTCAGTTTCTGAGTGCTATTCCATTTCTCCATGCTGCTTTATGTAATCTTTAGCTTTTTTTCTATTTTCTTCTTCAATGTTCATGTTTACGATTGATGCCATAGATGGCAGTGTGCATTGATTGAGAAATGTGGAAGTATAACATTTTACTCAAAATGTTATCACACTTATGAGTAGAAATTGTTATGTTGTTATTTGTTGGTGTTTACGAGGATGATGAGTGGTTGGTTTCCTGGTGCCATGCGAGATGTGTTTGTGGAAATGCCATGAACAGGCGACGTGTGCTCGTGTAGTTTTTCTCCAGAGGAACAATCGTCCCATCGCCATGGACGCAGAGTGACAACAAACAGCCGGCACGCAAGCAATACGCAAACTCACGTGAGGCAGTAGCACACACCACACCGCTCAGCGCCTTCTCCTACACTAGTCTCTGCAAAGCTCGACCATCATATTTTCTTTTGTGCTGTGCCTTAGCGGCAGGTCCTTGGCTGACATTGTCCCCATTCCCCTCTGTCCTCGGACCTTCACTTCATTTCCACAAACGGCCTCTTCAGCTTCTCCAGCGTCCCAATCCTTGGCCTTCCTCTCGTTCTCAGTGACCACGTTTCCGCCCACACACAGCTCTGCGCCATAGTCTGGTGTGGAGCTATCGCATTACAATACACAACACATTAGGGAGAGCACAATATTGGTTTAGAACTGTTTAAAACAACAATGTTAAATCCTTTTTTTCAATAACCTGCGAACCCATTTCTATAAAAGCCAACAGCTATTGTCAATATGTTGAATGTTTACGGTTGACATTTTCAAACTTAATCCATATCATCACCATTATAATATTTATTTTGTTGAGGTGGAGTGGAGAGAATTCTGCCATGGGGTAATGGTTGACTCAGCATTATAAATAACGTTGCAGATTCCTTAAATCCACCTGACCCCCTCAGTCCACCCAGTAGTATAAATTGGTGCACCACGGTCCATCGGCAGGTCGCGTGCAAGAGGAGTAAAGTGTGGCTACTCACTTCTCTCCCAGGATGTGTGGCCAGCATAGAAGGAGTAAGGCCAAATGCCCTGTAGAGGGGCTCTCTATAGCTCCCTGTAGTGGAGGCCCTTCTGCCAGTACTGGCATGTCAGCAAGCAGATGCAATGCTGCACCGTTAACTTTTTATATTCTCTATTCAGTTTTCAGAAAATCTATTGCAACATTGCTGTCTGACACAGAAATTGGAGAGTCACCTGTGTTGTTACTGTGCTGCCATTTTCCCTATCCTCTTTACTTTTCAACCGATTATGTAAAACTTGGAACGTCGAATGATGTTTTGTGTTTAGAGGCCCCTCATAATGTGAGGCTCTAAGCTGTAGCTTATTTAGTGTATGCCTAGATCTGGTCCTGGGCCTCCCACTGCAACCTCCTCCGCCCAGTCTTAATTCCTTATCGTCGCCCACCATGCCCGGATGTTTCCATTGCTATTCCTGTCGTCTCGGAGTATTATCTGCTTATTTTTTTTTACTTGGAGTCTCCACATCGATGCTAGCGGTTGTGCTGTGTTAAGATTTACGTGTCACTGAATTTGTACGCGTTTGGTTTATGATGGCATGTTTCTTTCTCATAGCCATGGATCCGTTGACGGAGTCACCTACAGCAAAACCCTCAACAAACCTTGGCAAAACATGTGACGGTAATGCACACAAATGCACACGCAAGCTCAAACACAGTGACGTGCCTCTTGGCCATCACTCTCTTGGCTAAAAGTCAAAGTGATTTCCTGCTCAAATAAGCAAATGAGTGTGCATCTCCTTTTTACAGTCCAGAGCCAGTGGTGGAAATTCCCTGTTCTTATGGTGAGGGCGAGTCTATCCATCGGCCAACCACTGTTGACTTCCCAGAAAAGTGGTACATATTTTATCGACCCTCATAGGGATGATGGGCTGAGTCAACCCCCAACCAGGACTTGAACTCAGAATCTTACGATTGTGAGCCGCTCCTTCACGCAGCCGCTAAGCCACTGGGTCGCATTATCTCATGACCGTTCATATATTCAGTGAGCTGTGAATGACAGCTCAGCCATAATCTAAAAAAATGTTGCGGCTGTCCTTATGAGTGTTTTTATTTATGTTATTACATCGGGAATGAATGAGTGTGTTTGTAGTGCTAATGCTTTGTTTGAAACTGTGTGTGTGTAGTGGCATGCCAAACATCAATTGCCCTGCCAGTGGGATTTGACCTGGAAGCGCTGTTGGGTGAGTGGACGCACGCATGCATCACAAGCACGCACATAGCTACTGCAGTGAACTGCGAGGTCATATATTAATGTTCTTTATTATGTATTTGTGTTAATTCACACATGCTGAGCACAGGCCAAAGGGTCCAATAATCCCAAGAGGCTAGTAACAAATGGCACCGTTCAAGTTGTAATAGATAATAGTGAACACGTTTATCGACATTAGGAATGTTATAAGAACGATGAGAAAATGAGACGATGGGAGGAAATCAAAAGTGAAGCAGTGCACAGGAAGAAGCAGAAAGTGAAGTGTGGTGACCTGCAGTGTGGTGTTTGAGTGGTGAGCGAGTGAGTGGGTCAGTGAGTGTAAATGAATGAGCCTGTGGGTGAGTGCGCGAGTATATTGTTGTGGGGAGCGGTAGTGTAGCGGTAAGCGCGTTGTGCTACGATGCTGGCGACCCGACTTCGATTCCCGCTCACGGCCAACACAGCTAAATGCTAGGTTAATGTCAACAAGAATCTGTTGTGTATTTGTGTGCAGCGGACTTTCGGCGCCGTGAGGACAGCCTTTGTAGTGATGGCAGTGGACTCTCCCTGCGGAGGAAGCTCTTTGTGGACAATTTAGAAGAAAACTCATGCGACAGTTCAGCCCAGTCTGTGTACACCCCGCCTCACTCTCAAACAAACCGCTCGAGCGCCTCTCCATCAGCTACACAGCAAAGAAAGGATCATTCATCTGAACAGGGGACTACGCACAGCACGGTATGTGATTTCAGCATCAAAATCTTTATTTAGACTGAAAAAGGAATCCGATGAGCTATGAAGATCTTTTCCACAGATGTCCAGAAGGGGCAGGTCAGCAAGCTACAAAAACAAACAATACAAAAAATGATAGGAGTGTAAAATAGAATAAAGGTATTCTTGGGTCTTTCAGTAAAGTCACGTAGATAGGTTCAAAGAAAATAACAAAAAAATAACAAAAAACTACGACGTTTTGATCACAACACAAGCATTCGTCAGCAGGAGAAAAAAAATGGTGGCAGGATGTTTTAAAGGTTGGAAATGGGTGTAGCCCAAGGGTCATAAGCGAAGCGGACAGGGCTAGTGCTGTTAAAGTGAGAAATTTGCATGTAAATGTAAGGTCAGAGAGATACCTCCACAAGGACGAAGCTGCGGAGGTGGCCATTGTATTGTGAGAGATGAGCATGTCAATGTAAGATCGCAGATCCACCGGCACATCGAGGAAAACGAGCAACGGTGGCTGTGTTTGTGAGACATTTAACCTGTTAATGTAAAACCAAAGAGTCGAAAATAATTACTAACATCGGAAGGTAGGATGGAAACATCACAGCCAGTTATAACCTAAACTGGTTAATAACGTCCTTCTAATGATTGCTCAGTTGTACCCATCTTCTCGGTTGAAATTGTGTCTGTGTCTATATATATGAACGAATCTTTGTTGATAGCCAGTGGGCTTGGAAAGTACCTTAGTCTTAGAGAAATCAATTTCGTGTGAGCCCACCGCATTAAAACAATGATTAGCCACGGCCGAGGTATTGGTCCTACCGTGTTTCAGATCTGCCTTATGTTCACGAACACGGTCTGAGACATGTCGCTTAGTTTCCCATCTGTATGGGTGGTTTCCAGTAGACATTGTGTCCCATTGAGCCACCTGGTCTCTTTTCAATTAAAACATCTAAGAATGGTAACTTGCCATCCTTTTCCACCTCTATGGTGAATTTGATGGCTGGGTGTATGGAATTGATGTGGTTGAGGAATTGGTTCAGAGCTGGTCAGCCATGTGGCCGGATGACGAACGTGTCATCTATGTACCTCTTCCAAAAAGACGGACATAGAGTGGATGACTGGATGGCATTAAGAACATTGGCTACAACTGGAGATAAGGGATAACTCATTGGGGTACCGTCAACTTGTTTGTGGAATGTTCCATTCCAGGTGAAGTAAGTGTTGGTGAGGCAGTGTCTAACTAGGGCTGGTACATCAGCATTCAATCCTTGTTGGACCAAATCTTCAATGATTGCAATGGTGTCAATCACAGGAACTTTGGTAAACAAAGAGACCACATCGAAACTAACGAGCAAATCACCTGGAGATAGTGAGATGTGGTGTGTAGAAAACCACCACTGGGAAGACAAAGGAGGGCGGGTGGGCGAGTCAAGTTTTCTTTGTTTACACACATGTGGTGTTGCCATTCGGGCACAAATCTGCCACTCAAAGGGCCATCGTCAACATTATAACTGAAACTCAACATAGCATTTAAAATATTCTTAACAAATAATACAAGGGCTTTTGCATTTCAGGAACAGTTTTCATCGAGCCCCATCCAAGCCAGCGACGCCTCATCGTGCGTGTGCACACCAGACTCGCAGGACGTGCGTGGCGCTAGGAATAAAGATGCCTCCAGCCTCCCCTCTCCCATTCACATCCACGGTACCGGCACAGCTCTTCAACACCCCACACAGTTATATAGCCATTGACGTGACCCAGTGGTAGTGCATTCGCCACTGATGGTAGAGGTTTGTGGTTCGAATCCGACAACCCGCCCTGGATTATACCGTGAGTGTATATCCGTAATGTACAGCTAGTCCCTGCTCAACCCTGGGGGGTTGCTTTCCTGAAAATTGCCGCGTAAAGCGAATTCGCTCTAAGCGGGAGTCATTTTCCCTTAATAATGGTAAAGGTGGGGATGCTGTCTCTTTCCGTAATTTTATTGTTTTTATTCGACAGTGCAGTACACTGTTTTAAATGTTTCTTTTTACACGTGTTGTGTTTATATAGTATGTTCTATAAATATGTTAGGTGTGACAGTAATTGAAATCAATATAAAGTGTGTGAGAGATGTGGTGAGTGAAGAAGATGAGGGAGTCAGATGATGCGCCACACAAAGATGCCGGAACAAAGACTAAGGAAGAGGCAGGCATGCCGTGTATCACAGCACCCATCACTCCAACATCAACAGTAGTACAGTACCAACATCACCGAACAATGCTGCCAACACCCACGCTGCTCAGAAAAGTAGTCCGTCACGCGCTAGACTCCTTGCGTTATAGCAGCGCGCCCCGCGTTAAGCTAAAAACGTTCTGTAAAAGAACCGCGTGGAAGTGAAAACGCGTAGTGTGAACGCGCACTTAACGTTGTAAAACAGCGATAATCGGGATCATAATAATACATCTGACCGTTTATTATAGTTAAATGCTTTTCATCAAATTCATGTCGAGACAAAACGTGACATGTATTTTCTTTCCCCACAACCTTCTTGTTTTTAGAGGAAATGGCAGCTGCTGTATCTCTCTTTGAGGAGGAGTGGACTCACCATCTTTCGCCATCACCTACAAATTCTCGCCTTGACAAACTCCAATGGAACGCTCCAACTTCCCAAATTGTCACCAAGTACCCTTCTTTACGAAAACCAGAATGGACCAGTCCAGAACCTGCCCAGCAGACGCAACAGTGGGACAGTCCATCTTCGCCATGCTCACAGTCTCCTCCTCTTGCCACTGCAGCATGTCCTCAGATGTTGGAAATTATCTCGCCTATTGCTTCAGTAAAATTGCAAAAATTGTCGAGTGAGCATGTCACAGATGATGCCGGGGACAATGGAGCTGACGGGCTTAAAGATTTGAGCTTTTCAAAAATAAATGTTCACAAGAGCAATGGAGATACATTCTCTTCCCAGAAGTACACGTGTGCGGAATTCTCTCAAGGAAACAGAACTGGAAATGTGCAAGAAACTGAATTCAGCATAGAAGCACAACTGACCGGAGAGCTGAAGTTGCCTGAAATAATGAGCAGCACGTACAACACTGGAACAGAGTTACTGGATGTTGCTTCTAACGCTTCTGAAGCACGCTTTGAAAACGAACTGGAACTAAAAAAAGATGTAAAATCTTGTCCGCCGACTGAAACCGATGACTTGGGCTGCAACGGAGGACGTTGTAACGATGTCAGGGCTCCACTGCTGTGGGATTTGAGCACCCGGAAAAGGTTGTGCGACGATGACGACGATGGTTTTGGCGTCCCCATGGAGGTGACCAGAGGGGACGACTGGCCACCACCTCGGAATGCCGCCAGGGCACTTGTGCTCCTCCAACCCCAGGCTGAGAGCAGTTGTCTTCCCAACGAGGTGGTACCTCAACCCAAAAAATCCACACGGTTGACTTTAACCACCGGTGTCGCATTATCGTTGAGCATTTTGTGGGAGGCAGGGTGTTGCTGCAGTGGCGACGCTTGTGCCTCACAGCAGGGAAAGGTTCTCTGGTAGCCTCCAATAGCAAAAAAAATGCACTGTAACTGCTATGAATTGTCACACTCCACCTCTCCTTCAACTTCAATGTCTCCTATTCTTTGGTTCTTTCGGTAAAGTCACGTAGATAGAAAATAATACAAAATATCACGACGTTTCGATCGCAACACAAGCAATCGTCATCAGGTGAAAAAATATAGCGGGAGAGCTGCTGAGGCAGGAAAAAATATAGCGGAAGAGCTGCTGAAGCAGGACGTTATATAGGTCTGAGATGGGTGTAGCCCAAAGGCAAGTGGGCGGGGCTAGAGATGGGTGTAGCCCAAGGGTAAGTGGGCAGGGCTAGAGATGGAATTTGCGTGTAAATGTGTTGAGAAGTTCCTGACGACTCACTCGGAGGCTGAGGTAAGTTTCAACAAGAACTGTTTGGTCTGATCAATTAATGCGGTTGAATCAGAAATGATTTTGTTGGTTTGTATGACGAGGCTGTTGGTGGGATCTCTTTTTATTTTTTTTATATAACAACAAACTTCAAAAATAGCTGCCATTCAAAATCATCACTTTACCCTACATTGTGGGGATCACAAAAAATATCAAAAAATCTTGAATAAACACAAGATCCAGGTCCGATTCAACACATTACATAAAATCCGTGATCTGGTTCCGTCTGTAAAAGATGTGATTCCGGACATACAGTACCCTGGCGTCTACAAACTAAGTTGCCTCTGTGGTAGTAGTTACATTGGAGAAACCAAACGACATGTCTCGGACCGCAACCGTGAACACAAAGCAGACCTAAAACACGGTTGGACCAACACCTCGGCTGTGGCAGATCACTTATAATTCAGTAGGCTCACATGACATTGACTTCTCCAAGACAGAGGTTCTCTGCAAGCCATGGTAGCCACCATGAGAGATTCGTTCATGAGGCTATCCACATATACAAACACAGAGACAATTTCAACCGAGAAGATGGATTCTGGCTTAGCAATCATTGGAAGGATTTGATAAACCATTTCGGGTCTTAATTGATTGTTTACGCTTACGGTGGCTTTCAGACCGCATCCATTATTTTCGTCTCCCCCCTTCTCTTTTCCGAACATAGATGGACTCGTCCATCTGAATAACTGCCAAATCGTTCTCCGTGGTGCTAACGTAAAAAAACGCCACTTTTTTCAAATTTTCTTGCTGTGGTTTTCACACCTGATGATGATTGCTAGTGTTGCAGTCGAAACGTCGTGATAATTGTATTGTTTTATATTATTTTATTGTTTCCCTTCTACGTGACTTTACCGAAAGAACCAAGAATATGAATCCCTGCAGTCACGAAAGTCAAAATTTAACCTTACTCATCGTTAATCTCCCCCCATGGCTTTGCCATAGAGAAAAAATAGCTGCAAATTACTCAACTGGTATCACATGTAGCATCTCCGCCTTGCGTGCTGCCACCACAGTCGTATGTTTGTCCAGTATCTGGCACTTAGTGGTGGTGTGGCCCGGTCTGTAGCCTTGACAAGGTCCTTCACGGTACATGGCTCCTCCAGGAGCCGACAGAACAGTCTATGCTCCACGATCCGTGTCTCACCGCAGTGTTGCTAGAGTAGCACCACTCCTGCACGTTGACTCTTGATCTATCCACTCCTGTTCGAAGCCCATTTAAAAATATCCACATTGAATGATTATTCTCTGTGCCGGCAGAGAGGCGTTGGGCAGCATTATGGCGCCCGTAGTCATGTATCATGTTGTGTTCATATATCCAGTCGTGTGTAGCCAGGGGTAGTTTTTTAAGCAGATCTGTTGTGGCTAGGAAGCACACTTCCCTCAATTCAGGCAGCTTACAGCTGCAGTTTGGCAACCTAGCGGATGTCTAACGTCCTCAATCCCGTCTTGATCATTCCATTTTGCTTGCAACTGCTCTGTGTATATCTGTTGGGGCTGTTCCGGCGAGCACGTACAGACCGTTCACACGCGTTGGTGGTCAGGTGTCTGGTCGTGCATTGGTAGCTGTTAAGTACAGGATATAGCTCCTCCTTTTCGTGAGCCGATCTTTTTCACGTTTTGATCTTCTCGGTGCGAATGCCAATACCAGCAGCTAGGCCATTCTTTTAAAGGGAGTTGATTCTGGAAATGAGTTCTGCCGTAGTGGAAAGTGTCTCGGAATAGTTCATCTATGTAGCAGCATCACACTCTTGTGAAAACTTTGGCAAGACCCTCCTGACAAAAGAGTTTTGAGACTGAAATTTTTCTGGGTAAACAAGCATAGTAGTAATAATAAGAATTTTTATAGTAATAATTATGTAGAATGTGTAACATGCACAGTCTTTATTTGCTTCTAGAGCATGATTCAGAGATGCAGATAACCACAAACAATTGCCCAAGCTCTGTGGTCCTATATTGCGATGTTTGTCCAACTAAAACTCTAAATTACCATTTGCTTTGATCTTTGTCCAGGTTGACAGTGGATATTCGACCTACCACATGACTGAAGAGGAGATTAAAGTCAAGGTACGCACTGTGAAAATGTTTAGGCTTGTGGATCTTTGGGTTCAACCATCTTAGGCTGTATTCACACCGAACCCTGTACAGTAAATTCCTGTTTAACGCGTAGCATTCAAACTACGCGTTTTCGCCTTAATGTGCTTTTTTCTCTTACGGAATGTCTTCTGCTGAACGTGTACACGATGGTATTATCCAGGGCGGGTTGCCGGATTCGAACTACGAACCTCTGCCACTGGGCCACGTCACCGGCATTCCACGTTAAGCGGGGATTTGCTGTACTCATACTTGTTGACCTAAGTGAAGACCAGAACAAGTTCGAATGCCTATCTTCGCTGGTGTTATCCGTGGTTATGAATTGCACTTGGGTCGTAGAGCAGTGCACTGTCTCCACCGTTCCCAAGGCTGCAGTGTGCTCACCACTATTGCCCATCACCACAACCATGCATGCAGTCATTTTTCTGCTGAATGTGATGTAATTCACTCCTCATGGCCCCGTTTCACTTTGTGCTTCTTGCAAGGATGTGTCCAACATGGAAGTGGACCTGTGCTGCATGTGTGCCACTGCGGATGGCAAGAGCAATCCATGCCACTGACTGCACCGGGTGCCTCGGCGACAGCACCATGCAATCCCCATCAAGATTGGACATCAACGTTTTGCCTCGACTACTTGATTTGGTTTTATGAAATCCTGAACTTGAATACGAATCGTATATTTGTATAAAACCACTCGCTCACTCCTGATATTACTGCACGAGTGAAATGTTTTATATTGTTGATTTAAAGTTTTTTTTTAAACAATAAACATTCATTTAAAGCCCGGATTTTAATTAAGTGTATGAATTGGCACTGTTCGTTAATGTATAGTTAATGTGTTTCACTGTGGTTTCATGTTCGTTGTATTTACGGTCCTGTGTGTATATGTGCGAGGTTTAAGATATACAGGTTTCCCTCGCTTCATGCTGGTTCGGTTTGTGTGATTGCGCTTATTTGTGGCTTGAATCCACTCTTATGTTGCTGTGCGGTCGGACGTGGAACAACACTGTACCGTGTGTACTGTGTGTGTACCATGTATACTGTATGCACTACTCGGAAGGCAGCGGCCTCGTTTTGTGCACGCTTTTTTTTATCCATCTACCGCATAAAGCGAAGGAAACCTGCACACTTGTCATCGTGTTATGCATGAGTCATTTGACACCCTGCACACCGCTGCACATGAAATGTTCCATCTTCATGGATTAGACAGGTGAAATATTTTTTTATAAACAACTTGTTTTGCCACTGACCTACCTATGAGCCCTCTTTCAGACGCGACCTGGCTCAAGTCTTACCTTCTCGTAATCCTCAGTCTTCTTCAATCACCCCATATCCCATCCCTCCCCCCTCTCAGTGTCGGTGTTCTACAGGGTTTGTTCTGGGTCCACTACTATTCTCTCTCGATATTTCACCCCTCGAATCTGTTATTTGCTCTTTCTGCTTTCCTCACCAGTTTTTTGTTAACACAAATATTTCAATATTGCACCCATGTGACCTTTCCTCTCGCATCTCCTCCTGCCTGGCTGGCATCCAATCCTGGATGGTGCTTCACTTTCTCTCAATTCGTCCAAAACTTTATTCATTTAACTTTCCGGCCTCTTGCTCTCCCGTTCCCACCATCTCTCTCCCTCCTGCTGCCTCTGCCCCTCAACCTTGGTGGCACTTTTGGCTCTTCGCTAATTTGTCCAGCTGCATCACCGCCACTGCCCGCATCTGTAGCTTTCGTCTACTCAATATCAGGACTCTGCCCTTTAATTTCACTTTCTGCTGCCAAACTCCTGATTGATGCTCAGATCTTTACCAGGTTTGCATGACTGCAATTATCCTCTTTTCGGTCTCCCTGCCTACGCTCTCACTCCCCTCCAACAAAGAAATGCTTTCGCGTGAATTATTTTCAATCTCCCGTTTAGTTCTCACACTTCGCCTCTCCGTCAACTCCACTGGCTCCCCGTTCACGACTGCCGTCTTTTCAAATACCATACACTTCATCTATACATTGCTCCATTGCCTTTCCCACCTTATCTCGCCTCTCACCTCTTTGTTCCCCCCGCGTGCTCCTCGTTCACAATCTTCTCTGTCATCGCGGTGGCGAGATGTTAACTACCTCGCCTGGTATGCAGGAAGTCGTGAGCTCGATCCTGACGCCTGCTGCTGCTGTATATTAGGAGTTTGCGATGTCTCTCCCCGTGCCCGCGTGGATTTTTCTCCGGGTCCTCCGGGTTTTTCCTCCACATGAAGAAACATGCGTTTAGAGTATGTGTCTGCTGCTATACATTTGTACGTGATAAGCCACTTCACCCATGTTATCTTGCGCAATAGGTGAGAGAGTTCGTTCTTATCGGACTATTTCTCTGTTTTGTGTTGCCTTTTCGCTGCGAATGTTTCGAGTCCGGCGGGGTCACGGGGTCACACCTGACTCCCGTGACCCCGCCACGGCGGTGGGGGAGTGGGAATCTCGCCAGCCGAATCGATTCCTCTTCCCGCGATCCACGGCCGACTCCAATGGGCCACAGCGGATCGATCGGTTTCGTTACCGATTCTAGACTCGTTAGTGGTCGTGGTAACTCGATTCGATCCACAGAGGTCGACAATGGCGGAGTACGCGGGGGTGAGGAGCAGTCGCCTCGTCTTGAAGGGAGCGCGGAGCCACGGCGGGTGAGGGGGTCAGGGAGAGAGCGGCGAGGGTAGAGAGAAGGGTGAGGGAGATTGGTGGTGGACGAGGTTAGTGAGGGAGAGAGGGTGGCGATGGTAGGCAGGGGTGAGACGACTCGTGCTGAAGGGAGCACTAAGGGGCCGGTGAGAGGAGATTGTGTCAATGTCGGGGTGTGCTCAATACGACGGGCTTCAGGAGGCACAGTTCGCCATGTCTGCTGTTCCTCCGTTGAAGGAGCGCACACTGTGGTGGTTTACTTTGTGATCCACAGTTTGGGTTCTGTGGCCGCAACCGCAATGTGGCTTGTGTCTTTAATAAGCAGATATGGCTCATCCGCCTGTTGGTGTTCCGATGCGTCGTTACGTATAGCCATGTTTACTGCGTGTTTCGTGGCGCCTGGTTTCTACAGAAGAAGATTTTGTACTGATTATTGGTGGCTTTGGTTGTTTTGTTAACAGCCACAAAAAGAAAAAACAGAAGAAGAGAAAGGGGGACGAGGAGGAGGTGGACATTGTCGGTGCGTCGGGCGCTGATGCGGGGTCACGGGGGGGTGGTGCTGCAGTGGGCGGCACGGGAGCGCAGTGGCCACGCTTACGCCTCACATCGAGAAGGCCTGGGTTTGATTCCTGGCGCGGGAGCCTTTCTGTGTGGAGTTTGAATGTTCTCCACCTGTTGTGCATGGGCCCACACACACCGCGACTGGTTTTGGCCAAACATCCCAATGCTGAAAATTACCTACAAATTACACACAGCAGTCGCAACATCTCTCCCAACTGCGACCACTTGCCAGGACCCTGATCAAAACGATTATTGATTCTTGGAGAGGCTTTCCTGGATGAACTCAGAATAAAAAATTGTGTCGTGCTTGTTAGAACACAGCCACTTTGCTGTGTGCATCAGTGTTGATCTCGCCGTATTCTGCCGATTGTAAGACACTTCCCTGCGTATTTCAAAGCAGATGTGTGGATGCGTCTTATGCTCTGTTGGTGTGTGTGACAATATTTGTATAACTTTATTATTTACAATGTTATAATCTGGGGAATATGGTATGGTTTGAACCAAGGATAATATTTGCATAAATATGTGCATGACAGACATGTAATGTTCTGGATGTTATATCATCAACCACGACCTCTCCACTGCTGGATGAAGGTCTACCCAAGCTGTCGGAATTTCTCAGTTTTGCAATACAACAATCCACGTAGCTCCTGCACCCTGCTGCTGTTGATGATCTTATCGTTCCTACCCCGTGGTAGTTACCCTTTTGGGTGGGTTCCCTTCTAATTCCACTCGGCGAGTCTCAATCATCAACAATCACGAGCGGGATTTGAAACCGATTGAAAGTTCTAAGACTGACGTTTATTTAAAATTTGTGTGCACAGACGGCTGGTGGACTGTTTCCTCTGTTTCCCAAATCACGGGTTCCGTCTGTATTGAGATGGGGTGTGGAACGTACATACAAGCCCTGGACAATGGGCTATTCACACTTGGAGCACCGCACACAGGTATGTCGTGATATTTATTTCGTGAAAATATCTCTGTATTTGCCTGGGAGAATAAAAACTGTGGCTTATGGATCGAAGTTGCCACTCGACCCCTGCGCTTTCTACAAGAGGAGGAAGTGGTTTCGTGCTACGGTAATACAGTACAGCATATTCTGTGGCTTTCGTCGTACAAGCCCTCGTTAGAAATAATAATAATCAGTCATTGTCTATCCATTGTTGGATGAAGGACTAGTCACGCCATCACCATCCCTCTCAGTCCAATCTTTTTCTGATTTTGTGGCGCTAAACGAGCAGCTACCCACCCACAAAGACCCACTGACTCGCATGCATGTATGTTGAACATCTTTCAGACCATACATAGCCAACCGTTCTCATCGGATGTGCATGGAGACCGATACGCTCAACTGGAGACCCGTAGACTTGTATCGCTAACAGAGTAGCGGTGGTTTGGGTTGTGGAGGAAGGTGCAAGGCTGTGTGGAGTGGGTGCTTGTGGGTGGAAAGCCAGTGAAGTGAGGCCAGCACTGGGATGACTGGTGGAAGAGAGAGATTTATATGTTGTATTTTTAATTTAGGGCTGCAGGGTGCGGCACAGTGGTAACACTTGTGCCTCACAGCTAGATGGGCCTGGGTTTGATTCCACGACTTGGGCACCTTTCTGTGTCCAGTTTGTATGTTTATCCTTTGTTCTGATCCCCAATCTACTGCCACTGCAAAAAAATCCACATCCAATGAAACTTATTGGTAAAGAAACCTAATACTGACAAATTACCTGCAAATTACTCAATTGGATTACACCTAGCAAGCAACATTTCCCCCTACTGTGAAAACTTGGCAGGGCCCTCCTGAAAAAGTGTTTAGTTTTCCTGAGTAAACAGAGGTAACAAAAAAGACAAGTGGTTTTAAGGATGTGCTGCGTTTACCTTGATGTGCTTCCCCATGTAGGTTGTTTTCTTGCCCGTGTGCACCCGTCTATGAGTGGTGTACATCTGCGTATGTTTCAGACGATGGCCCATCACCCCCTGAGCAGTTCACAGCCGTCAAGCTGTCTGACACCAGGTGATCTGTCCATCATCGCTCTGCAGCACTCTCATACACTTTATGGTGGTGGCTACGCTGCACGTGACTGTAGTCCAACAATGTGGAGGCAGCTGCAAGGGTTGTAGGATCACCACACCGATGTCAAACTCCCATCCTGTTGGCGTCAACGAGGAGCCGTTCCTTGGCTCTGCCAGAAGGCAGTACAACGAATTTTGGACTATCTGCGTGGGATAGGAGTGTTCCTCCTTGCACGCATGGGGTTTTCCCGGGTGTTTGGATTTCCTCAACACATTAATTGGCCGATAACACCATAATATATGTAGAGGAGTGCAGAGCTTGGGGGGGAGGGGGGCTACTTTGGTGCCGACCTAGTGTTCGCAAGTTCGCCGCTTGTTGCAGAGGTTTGTGGTTTGAATCCAGCAGGCCCCCCTGGTTATTACTGCAGTGTATTAACCGTAAAATACTATATGCGGTCTCCTTCACAGTGGCCGTTGGAGATCCAGTGATGCCATTCAAAAAGAGTACGCCGTTGTGTGCCGGCATCGTCCAGATTTGCCTTTTTTTTAATAACCCACAATTACTCAATTGGGATTCCACACTGCAACTTATCACCCCCCTGCTAGCAGACGAATGCCCACTTGCAAACCATGCGCTGTCGCCTTGCGCCACACGGGGACAGCTGCCACTGGGGGGATCCCCTTGGAACGGTTAAGATGAGATGTGACGTATAGTCCTTTGAGATCCTGAGGTATTTAAGCTACACTCTATATATGTGTGCAATGGTTATAATGACTTAATGTGTTGTCGCTGCAGGATAGCGTTGAAGTCTGGCTACGGGAAGTACCTGGGAGTGAGCGAGGGTGTGGTGGTGGGGCGAGCTGACGCCATCGGCTCCCGCGAGCAGTGGGAGCCCATCTTTCAAGATGTATGGGCATTGCATACGTGCGCGTGTCCACATCTACTGTGTGCACTGGATCATGCGTATCAATAGCCGTATGGTACTCAGCCGAGGGGGCCCTCGTGGTGCTGGCCACCCACCCCCTCGTTTGCTGTGCTGGCCTTCATAGGCGCTACTCGCTAACAGCACTTTCGCTAACAGCCCTGTGAAATCTATAAAGTGGATCTTTGTCTTTTAGGGGAAGTTGGCCTTGCTTGCAGCGAACGGCGGCTTCGTTGGTGTGAATGACGTTGGAGACATTGTCGCTACGAGCTGCACGGCCTCTGATGAGCACATTGTCAAGGTAAGCCGCCCATGTGGTGTGTATTTATCTTAAATCTACCAGTGGGGACACGAAAAATGCTTTTCTTTACCATTGGAAATTATAAGGCTTGGTGTCCTGTCCGGACCATTAAGAATGATTATCTTTTTTCATATCAGTCGTCATAACGTTTTTTGGCGTAGATTGCGTAAATGTGATGTAAACCCACCTCCACCCAACACGGCCAATTAAGTAAGGTTTGTCACGTGAACAAAACATGCCAATTGGTGAGTACTTGAGCACACCGGTGTGTTGGAGAGTAAACCCACAACATCTACAATGAGAAGAAACATTGTTTCACTGGTGATTACAACCAGCTTCAGGCGGTTGCCATAGTTGTGAAGAAGTATATGTTTCCAGTCTCAAATAGAGGAAGGTCATGCCATCACTGTGCACCTACCAAGTGTGAAGAACCCAGGGGGGTTAAAAGCCGATGTTACATTATTTAATATCGCCATTGAAGCCGCGACACAATAACAGCCTAATAGTTCCTACTCAAGTCACAGGCTCACTTAAACCCTACAAAGGAAATCCAAAGGTCCTACCCCATACTCCAGGCTCTTCTCCATAAGCTGTCTTGACTTAAAGATCGAATTACTCCGGCTACTCCGTGGTCTAAAGCCACAACTTAATTTCTTTTGTCTTTTCTGTCGAGTTATAATATTCATCAATCTGCTGGCAAATACCTTAACTGTAATGCTCAACAGACTCATCCCCATCCTTGCTTGCTCTATGTGCTATACAGGAGGGCCATTGCCCAAAACGTAGCCTATTATGGTATTTTCTATTAAGGCCCACAGTGTTATTGATTAATGTGTTAAATATTGTGCTTTTGCACCACTACCAATGCAGCAGCTTCACTTATTGTTCCCTAATCTGTCATCCAAATCTATTTGGTGAGGAACTGTAGGTGATATAAAGATTTGTGGACATCTCCTTACCCCTGAGAGGTTGTTGGATTCGTGGACAAAAATAATTTGAGTTTAATAAATGAGAGCAAACTCTTCTCTCTCGCAGGTTTAGCTATCGAGGTTTTATAGTTTGGCACCAAATCTATTGAGGTGCAGTTCGCCGATCACGCCCATGTGGCGGCTCGACCATTCACGGTTGACCGAGTTTCCAATTCGCATCGTAACTGCACTGCTCACGATGATGATGGTGCTGTTGCTGCGGAAGAACACACCTAGCCGTCTTGTCTCCATCTTGTCTCCCAAGCGGCCCATCACGTGTCCTAGGTCACGTGGTGTTCCCAGCCTCCAATAAGGAGGCAGTGGGCCTCAGCTGCCGGCAATTTTCTTCTTGTAGTGTATAGTTCTGGAAACGAATACTTGTACAGTATAGTACACTACTTAAAAATAGGTATATACAATATATTTACCGTACAAGTTATATTTAACACTATAAATTAATAAACATTTATATTCAAAATACTTGTATAATGTTTGGGTTGGTGTAGGATAACATAAAACAAGAGGGGGTGTTGTATTACGAACTGTGAACCAAACCCTAGTTTTTTCCTGCAATACCTTTTGAGTTTGCACATTGTGGATTTGCTGATTGCGGCTATTTCAATAATGTAACCAGACCCGCGATGGGCAAGGGTTTGGTGTTCCCATATCATTGGAGCAAATGTAGATGCCCAATATTGATAACTACCTCAAGTATCTTGCATACTGTATCATATATCTACGTTTCACGTAGGTGCGTTCGAGTGCAGAGAGACAGACTGCTCCAAAGGACGGCCTCACGGCGGAAGACCGGGGAAACCTGAAGCACTGTGAAGTCAACTATGTGTAAGTGACCCCTGCCTGCTTGCTGCACCGCTGACCAAGCCACTTAGGGCAATGTTAGTATCCTCATACCCTTGTTTGTTACGTTTTGAGCCAGCTGGCCAGGATTTGGCAAAACCTAGCCCACTTTTTACCCAAGTAATTGGAAAGCAGCACATCTTGTGATTTTAACATAACATTTAAGAATATATATACTATTAAAAACATTAATTGGAAAAATGTTCAACTTAAAATCTTGTCAAAGGTCCTCAAACTATCCGCGACACTGTTCCAGTGCCCAACCAAGCTATTATTTAATTTAAAAACGCAAGCCAGCACTGCTACATGCGTGGTGCTGAGCTAGTGTGGATGTTCCTTAATCGTAGGAAATAATTCTACAGGCAAATATTTAGTGAAAATATTTGGATGACAGGGTGGCAGCGTGCAGCACGGCAAGAAGGGCCTTGGTTGGATTCCCCACTGGTGCCTTTCTGCGTGGAGTTTGGGAGTTTTCTCCCTCTACTCAGCATGGGTTTCCACTGGGTTCTCTGATTTCCTGCCATAGCTAAAACACAAAATGTTTTTGAGTGTAGCATTCCCATCAATGAGCTCCTCTGGCAGCCAAAGCTGCGTTGGCTGGGCTGCGTAGCCCGCATGTCCAGCCATCGCATGCCCAAGCAGCTTATATTTGGCCGGATAGAGGGAGGTAAACGGGCATGGCACGGGCCGGACAAGGGAGGGTATGCTGTACAGGAGGATGTGGAGCTGAGTGGACTTCATATTCTTGGTTCTTTCAGTAAAGTCACATAGAAGGGAAACAATAAAATAATAAAAATATAAAACAATAAAATTATCATGACGTTTCGACTGCAACACAAGCAATCATCATCAGGTGTGAAAACCACAACAAGAAAATTTGAAAAGTGGCGGTTATTTTTAACGTTAGCACCACGGAGAGAGATTTGACAGTTTGTTCAGATGGACGAGTCCATCTATGTTCGGAAAAGAGGAGGGGGGAGATGAAAAATAATGGATGTGGTCTGAAAGCCACCTTAAGCGTGATCAATCATTTAAGACCCGAAATGGTTTATCAAATCATTCCAATGATTGCTAAGCCAGAATCCATCTTCTTGGTTGAAATTGTCTCTGTGTTTGTATATGTGGATCGCCTCATGAACGAATCTCTCATGGTAGCCAGATGGCTTGCAAAGAACCTCTGTCTTGGAGAAGTCAATGTCATGTGAACCTACTGAATTATAACAGTGATCTGCCACGGCCGAGGTGTTGGTCCTACCGTGTTTCAGGTCTGCTTTGTGTTCACGAATGCGGTCCGAGACATGTCGTTTGGTTTCTCCAATGTAACTACTACCACAGAGGCAACTTAGTTTGTAGACGCCAGGGTACTGTATGTCCGGAATCACATATTTTACAGACGGAACCAGATCACGGATTTTATGTAATGTGTTGAATCGGACCTGGATCTTGTGTTTATTCAAGATTTTGGAGATCTTTTTTGTGATCCCCGCAATATAGGGTAAAGTGATGGTTTTGAAAGGCTCCTCAAGAGGGTCCTTCTTCATGGTTGGAGTGATAGCTTTGCAGATTGTGTAGTTGGAATAACCATTAGCCTTAAGAGCTTGGTGTACATGCTTGAGTTCACTGGCTATATGTTCCTGGTCGGATATGCATTGGGCTCTATGGTGCAGAGTCTTGATGAAGGAATTCTTCTGGGATGGATGGTGGTGGGAATCCGGTTTCAGGTAAGCATCCGTATGGGTATCTTTCTTGTAGACAGAGTGGCTGTTTGAACCATCAGGTCTCTTTTTTATTAGAACATCCAAAAAAGGTAGCTTGCCATCTTTTTCGACTTCCATGGTAAATCTGATGCCTGGGTGTATGGAATTGATGTGGTCTAAGAATTGGTCTAGAGCAGGCCGGCCATGTGGCCAGATGACAAAAGTGTCATCCACGTATCTCTTCCATAAGGTTGGGCACAGAGTGGCAGCCTGGATGGCGTCAGTCTCAAATTTCTCCATGAAAATGTTGGCTACAACCGGAGATCCAGGTCCGATTCAACACATTACATGAAATCCGTGATCTGGTTCCGTCTGTAAAAGATGTGATTCCGGACACACAGTACCCTGGCGTCTACAAACTAAGTTGCCTCTGTGGTAGTAGTTACATTGGAGAAACCAAACGATATGTCTCGGACCGCATTAGTTTAACACAAAGCAGACCTGAAACACGGTAGGACCAACACCTCGGCCGTGGCAGATCACTGTTATAATTTAGTAGATTCACATGACATTGACTTCTCCAAGACAGAGGTTCTTTGCAAGCCGTCTGGCTACCATGAGAGATTCGTTCATGAAGCTATCCACATATACAAACGCAGAGACAATTTCAACCGAGGAGATGGATTCTGGCTTAGCAATCAATGGAATGATTTGATAAACCATTTCGGGTCTTAATAGATTGATCACGCTTAAGGTGGCTTTCAGACCGCATCCATTATTTTTCGTCTCCCCCCTCCTCTTTTCCGAACATAGATGGACTCCTCCATCTGAACAAACTGTCAAATCGCTCTCCGTGGTGCTAACGTTAAAAATAACTGCCACTTTTTTCAAAATTTCTTGTTGTGGTTTTCACACCTGATGATGATTGCTTGTGTTGCAGTCGAAATGTCGTGAGAATTTTATTGTTTTATATTTTTATTATATTGTTTCCCTTCTACGTGACTTTACTGAAAGAACCAAGAATATGAATCCCTGCAGTCACGAAAGCTTTAAATCAAAACTGAGTGGACTTGCTGAAGACTGGTACTGCCGGTGTCAAGATCGGCCTCTGTGCAAGAGGCTCGTGAAGGAAGCTACTGGGAAATTGTAGGCAGTCGCCCTCCAACAACAGCGTAGGGCAGAGGAGTGACGTTCATAATGAGCGGAGCGCCGGGCGGCTAAAACGCAGCAGGTTGGTACAGCAGGGGGCACAGGTAGTGCATCTGCCAGTCTCAGTCAGTCAACCATGGCACCTGAGTCTGTTCCGTGACATCCTGTCAGCGGACCTTCGACACTTCACGTGGCTTCGGAGTTCATATTATGAACCGTGAATCAAACCCTAGTTTTCCCTGCAATGCTTTTGAGTTTGTGGAGCGCAGATTTGCCGATTATGGCTATTTTCCAGAACGTAACCCCCACGATGGGCAATTTGCTGTATTTTCACATCCGAGGAGATTAAATGTGATTTCCGTGTGCGTGGACACATTTTTCCAGAAAGAAGTTTCAGAGTTTTCAAGACCGCAGATTGCGTGTAAGCGAGGAAGACAAGGAGGGCCTCAAACGTGCCCGGAAAGACGGCTCCCTTCATGAGACGTTACTGGACCGGTGAGAGGAATGCAACTTGGGTATTAACTCAGATAGCCGCTTCGACATGAAACAATCTCCCAGTCACACTGTGGCATGCCGCCAGTCTCACCTTGAGTAAACATTAATTGAAACAGCACATTTGCAATTGTAAAAGCTAGAGAGCATTTATACTGGTAGGAACGAAGTTGTAAACTGAGTGTACCAGCCTGCAATAGATTAATGTGTCCGTCCGTCCGTCCCCTTTCAATATGTTAACGAAGTGAAATCTCGTGCTGTTGGGTGTAAAATCAGCAATAGATAGCGCAGAGACTTGTCCTACCAGCCCACCCTGCAGGGACCTGTTATATGAGCTAGCTGTGTGCACATTTAAAATAATGGAGTTACGTCTTTGGCTGGGTATGATGTTCAATGTATAATGGGTGCAAGAATACAAGTGTTAAGATGTTCAAACACCAAGTAGACACATTGCAAGGCTGCATCAAGTCTGCATTCACTACACATGCTTGTGGTAAAACATGCAGACAAACGTGCTTTTAGAATAATGTACACATTGTCCTACAAACTGGCTGACCTACACCAGAGGCAGCCTCCTTCTCATAGCCTTATCTCACCGATGTTAGACTGGTGTTTTTAATCATTTTTATACCAGCAAAAAGGGTTCCATAGATATAATAGGTGATGTTCAATGTAGAAATTCTTACTGTGCAAGTTGTAGATCTGAAGAGTGTTATACACACGTCATTATGTGCTGTATACTATGTGTATATGTGTGAGTGTATGTGGGGAGTGGTAGGACAATGGTGAGTGCGCTGTGGTTCAACTCCGGTGACCAGAGATCGATTCCTAGGTCAACTCTGCCTCAAATGGGTACCTGGTATAGTCTGTAAACATCGCCAGAATGGAGAAAAAAGTGGGCGGGCGTGGTACAAGCCACCCACCCCTCGCTACCAGCAATTGCCCCAAAAGTCTGAAAGCTATAGGGGGGGGATCTTTGTGTTTGTGTATGTCGTTGTATAAGCGTCATTACATACATGTTGTCTATGCATCTATTACGTGATACACTGGATACCCTTGCAAAGTGAATTTAAAGCTGGCACCAGAGCACCCATGGATTCTACTCGTAAAGAGAATCAACTAAAGTTTACGTTTCTTTTCCTTTGCAGACGCTCCAAGATGAAGGCGGATCGTTACTGCAAGATGTAGCTTGTGGAGGCTGTGCCTGTGCCAGGGGACATGCGTTTGAAAGGGAGTCTTTGGCATTGCCTGTGCCGTACCCGACGCGCAATAGGGAAACGTTGCGTACACACGCCCACATTAAGATGATTGCCATTCATTGTCAGCATTGCGCTGGTGATTTAACAATGTTTATTAAAAAAACAGTTTAGATGGAGCTCTTATTGTTAGACTTCCAAATATTACTTTAAATTTGTTGCATGTTCTCACTTCCACACGAACACAAAGTGTAAATGCTATTTTAAACTCCAGCAAATGGCATTGAACCACCACCGCCACCACCTTATCTTATGGAGTAATATATCAGTGCTTGAATTCAAGGCGCTTTACAACAATGATAAAATTGTACATAAAATTATAGTGGTTGAACTAAAAAGTTGGTTTATTAAAAGTGGTGTAGTTTAACATGTAGGCTTTCGCGACCAATATTCATAATAAAGGTTTTTGGGTTAGATCGCGTTTATTTATAAATGTGTCGTAACCCTCCACCAAAAAGTGTCAACGTGACACTTTTTTTTTGCTGATTGGCCGTGTCGGGTGGTGGAGGGTTACGACACATTTATAAATAAACACGATCTAACCCAAAAACCTTTATTATTAATAAAAGTGGTGTAGTTGGTGGTGATATGACACGTCGGAGTGGTTAAGAAGGGGTTAGTGATAGGCCTGTTCGTAGCTTGGGGGGCTGAGACGGGGAATAGCAGGAGCAGGATGGGTGAGGGGAGAAGAGATGGGGGTTGTTGTAAAGGAGGGACGGAAGCAAGTTGTGATAGTGAAGGTGGTCGCTGTGTGCTACAGGGGAAGTTGGTTCCAGTGAAGGGAAGCAAGAAGGGTTCAGGAAGGAGAGTGAGACTAGGTGCCTTCTCCTTGTCCTACAATTGGACGGTGAATTCAAACAATTATGAGATTGATCACACATCAAAGGCATCACTGTTAGTAGAATCATGACAAACAGGAATTGTATTTTCTATAGTAAAAATCAAAGTGATGAGGTCATGGTATCATCTTCATGGCTTTGAGAGCAGTGAAGTTGCGTATTATCTCCTGCGCTGTCTTGACTTGTCTTGGCCGTCAGCTGTAGAGTTGCTCTCCCCCTCTGCAAACCGCACTGACGCATGAACATTGGTCAAGACTGCTGTATCCATTACGCGTGCATCTCACATCCACCTTGTGCCTTTGCAGCACTAGGTGACTCCACACCAGTACATAAGTTGGGACATTAATCTGCGAGTGGTGGGCGATGATTGCTGCTGTGTACGATAATCCCAATTGAGTCCAGCATGATACGCAGTGAAACTGGAACTGCAATAGAATTCAAACTATTCTCTATGATTGTTATTTCATCTATGGGACCCTCTTTTCTGGTATTAAGATTAAAAAAATAGGCTTTACCCTTTCCTGGCAATATGTTCACACCAAATAGACACATTTCCCAAGGCACCAAGTATGCATTAACCACACATCATGCTCGTGGTAAAACATGAAAATATGCTTAGATAATGTATGTCTTTGTAACCGATTGGCCTACACCAGAGACAGCCTCCTTTCTGGCCTTGTCTCACCAGTGTTAGACCAGAGATATAACTGCTCGACCAGAGCCATTAATGCTTTGATATTTGCATTATCTTTGTGCTGTTCGCATTTTGACACTCAGGTCTAACACTGGCGAGACAAGGCCAGAAAGAAGGCTGAGTGGTGTAGGCCAGTCAGTTTCTAGGATAATGCATACATACTCTTTGGTTCTATTGGGTAAAGTCACGTAGGTAAAAAATAAAATAACAAAAATCACGACGTTTCGGCCACAACACAAGCGGCCTTCATCAGGTGAAGGGACGAAACTCTCTGGAGGACAGCGCTGGAGTGAAAAAGCCACGCTCAGATCACGACCTTTAAGCTGTGTGAGAAGAAACAAAGCGCCTTGACAAAGGAATTAGCATATAATTTAGCATTGAAATGGCTCATTGAAATAGCTAAGTTAATGTATACACATCCGCAGAGGCACCCCTTGACAAAGGAATTAGCATAGAATTTAGCATTGAAATAGCTGAGTGATTAGCTTGTAACTGGTCACAGAAATAGCTATGTTAAAGTCAGAGCATATACATTCACCGAGGCACCTAGTACAAATCAAACAGGAGAATTTAGCGAAACACAACCACGCTCAGACCGTGGACCTTTAAACTGTTTGCGAGCAAACAAGGTGTCCTGGCAAAGAAATTAGCATAAAAATTAGCATTTGATTGGCCGATTTTAGAAAAGAGGTGGTGTACGTGCCGGTGGACTTGCCGTTTGGCGCGGGGGGGGGGGGGGGGGAGTTTACCTATTGATGGTGTGAAAAGGGAATTTATAAGAGCTGCGAAAGTTTGGGGTACCACTACTTGAAAAATATACTGTACCATTGAAATTAGTTTAATGTTTAGTTCGATTTAGAACATCTTTCCAATGGTTGCTTAATTTGAAACCATCTTCTCGGTTGAAATTGCGTCTGTGTTTGTAGATCTAAATTGCCTCGTGAACAAATCTCTGATAAAAACCCGTGGGTTTGCAAAGAACCTTGGTATCGGAGAAAATTATATCGTGATCACCCACAGCGTTGTAACAGTGATCAGCCACGGCAGAAGAATTCGTTTTGTCGTGTTTCAAATCTGATTTGTGCTCGCGAATTCGGTCAGATTTGAAACACGGCAAAACGAATTCTTCTGCCGTGGCTGATCACTGTTACAACGCTGTGGGTGATCACGATATAATTTTCTCCGATACCAAGGTTCTTAGCAAACCCACGGGTTTTTATCAGAGATTTGTTCACGAGGCAATTCAGATCTACAAACAGACACAATTTCAACCGAGAAGATGGTTTCAAATTAAGCAACCATTGGAAAGATGTTCTAAATCGAACTAAACATTAAACTAATTTCAATGGTACAGTATATTTTTCAAGTAGTGGTACCCCAAACTTTCGCAGCTCTTACAAATTCCCTTTTCACACCATCAATAGGTAAACTCCCCCCCCCCCGCGCCAAACGGCAAGTCCACCGGCACGTACACCACCTCTTTTCTAAAATCGGCCAATCAAATGCACATTTTTTATGCTAATTTCTTTGTCAGGACACCTTGTTTGCTCGCACACAGTTTAAAGGTCCGCGGTCTGAGCGTGGTTGTGTTTCGCTAAATTCTCCTGTTTGATTTGTACTAGGTGCCTCGGTGAATGTATATGCTCTGACTTTAACATAGCTATTTTTGTGACCAGTTACAAGCTAATCACTCAGCTATTTCAATGCTAAATTCTATGCTAATTCCTTTGTCAAGGGGTGCCTCTGCGGATGTGTATACATTAACTTAGCTATTTCAATGAGCCATTTCAATGCTAAATTATATGCTAATTCCTTTGTCAAGGCGCTTTGTTTCTTCTCACACAGCTTAAAGGTCGTGATCTGAGCGTGGCTTTTTCACTCCAGCGCTGTCCTCCAGACAGTCTCGTCCCTTCACCTGATGAAGGCCGCTTGTGTTGTGGCCGAAACGTCGTGATTTTTGTTATTTTATTTTTTACCTATGTGACTTTACCCAATAGAACCAAAGAGTATGGATCCTAGCAGTCACGAAAGCTTTAAATCTAGAATAAATAATGCATACATGTTTATGAAAGAATGTTTGCATATTTTACCACAAGCATGTGTGGTGAATAGACTTGATGCAGCCTTGCATTAGGTCTACTTGGTGTTTGAACATCTTAACACCTGCTGTATTCTTGTAAGAAGGGGTAAAGCCGATTGTAATGTTTACACATTTTGGTTGCACAATACATCATACACAAGCATATCCTCTGCGACATTCAGAGCTACTGCCACAAAGGCAATAGCGTTGAATGGTATTTGTTTACCACCTCAGCTGATTCATGGCGATTGAACCGGCCAGGAAGAGGCTTGATCAGCAGAGCGAGTGGCTCACACTCTGCAAGGTTGCAAGGTCAAATCCTGATTTGAGGTGGACTCGGCCCATCATCCCTCTGGGGTCATTAAAACGAGTACCACTTTGTGGGGAAATCAACCGGTTATCCTATGGAATAGACCCCCCCCTCCTGTCGTGGCAATGTGGAATTTCCCTCTGCTGTAAACCAGAGACGATCGTTCGAGCAATAGGATATCGCTCTGCCCCATCAGTGGAGGTGCGTATCTGCGTGGGGAGGGCCGTGCCACCGTCCTGCGTGCCCGTGGCTCTGTACCCCGCTGTGCCACCACCCACCGTGTTCAAGTGGCTCTTTGCCCCACCTCCCGTGCTACCCACCGTGCCACCCCGCGTGCACGTGGTTCTGTGGGCGCCACACAGCGGGATGCACATGCGGCCCGCCTGGCGACACGGGCACGCTCGCACGCACGCGCCGCTGCATACGCAGGGCGCCACCTCCAGGCAGCCTGCGTGGAACCACATGCAGCACGGACACATGGGGATGGGGGTAGACTTTCTGAGGCTATGGATGAAGTCAGTTACAGCTCCACGAATGGCACACGAGGGGGTGTGGTCAGGATCACGTCCGCCCGGCCGCCTTTGTCTCCTCAGTGGTGATGTGTACGCTCCACCGCACTACGTACTCATTTGAGGCTGAGTCAACTTCTAGGGGAGGTCCAAGACCGGTTCAGATAATCGCTATCACAGGTATTGATGATGGTGGTCGTGTGTGGGAATCGAACTCGGTTCGCCAGGTTCGTAGCACGCTAATCGCTACACGACTGCTCGTGAGACAGTGACACGTTGGAGATTGACAGACGTATGAGACGTGTGTATGTTAAGCTTCTTGCACACCATACGTAGCCCACCGTGATAATAGGTGAAGGAAAATACTGAGACATGCAAAGCTGTAGGCGTTACAGTTCACCAGTCAAACCGTGTCCTGCCCGCGGACAGAGAAGGGCGTTTCCCTGTCTCTCGGTCTCCGTTGCTCTGTCGCCATCTCTCTCTGATCAAAGCAAGTGCCATCCATGAATTTGCTTTGTGATCAGTCTGTTTTGCTTTTATTAATCGGAACGATAATAAAACCCCATGGGTAATGTGTGGAATGTGCAACATTGTTAGGGACCTTGATAGTTGTGTTTCCTCATCACAACGATCAGATCGCGCTTGATCTCTTCTCGATCAGCTTCTCGTGACACTAGCGAGCACACACGCACAACAACAAACGCTCACGGGATTAATTACATCACTCGGGTGCTCTCAAAGCCACGACTTGGATATCATGGTCACTGTTCCCATGAACGTAACTCATTGATTCCTCCTCCCGTGTTGAGGACTTCGTCTTCGAGACACTGCCTCGTCCTGCCCACACGGAGTTCATCCCCGTCAATACAACGGCCGCCATTCGCCACTAAGTGGCTTGTGACGTCACCACCGCGCTTGTGCCAGGGCAAGTGCACCCCAGGGTCTTTGCGTGAAGTGTCGGAAGGGTCGCTCATCGGAGGGAGAGACCCCCCAATGTGCCATGGGTTGCCTGAGATGACCGGGAGATGCACCACCTGTGCCCCTGACTGCCAACTTGCTTCATGACGGCGCTCTGCTCATTGTGAGCGTCACTCCTCTGCTGTTGTTGGAGGGCAACTGCCTCCAACTACCCACAAAATTCAGGTCAAATTAACAAAATCGCACCACTCGCCCACCAACTCAGACAAAAAATCCCGTTACAGCCTTCACAGAATTTTGGGGCTAGTGCTGTTATCGAACGCTTTTGTTGCGATCGAAACGTTTATTATTTTTATTTTCGTTGAACCTATCTTCGTGACGTAAAAGTATAAAACAACTTTACCGAATAGATCCTTGCAGTCACGAAAGCTTCAAATCTATAACTATCTTCGTGACTTTACCAAAAGACCCAACGAATATGAATCCCTGCAGTCACGAAGCTTTCAGTCAAGATGTAGTACCGTACTCACCGATTCGAGGGTGTAGGAACAGACCGTAGGCACCCAGAGCTCGTTCAAAGTCAGCGGGCCTCTGTCGGCCGATCTCCGGCCCACGTGAGGAGGCCCCTCTGGGCCTGCCCCGGGTCTCTCTCGGCGTGCCGCTCGGTTCCACGGACGTCTGGGCCAGGAACTCGGCCAGGAAGGGGAATTTGTCCTGAAGTATCGGGACACGAAGTGCATCTTAGCCGTGCTCCCCAGTATCACCACCTATCAACCGTTGTCAACACTTACGAAGTGGCATCGTGGCGAATATAAGCAACAAAGGCAGACAATCCTCCACGTAACTGTCTGCACATGAAACTTACAAGTACAGCGTATCTCAAAAAGATGGACCCTTTTTCAAAGCAATATATTTCACCATGGCAACGTTACAATTACAAAAAAAGTTGCAAACGGTTTAATGAGTTTTCAAATTTTACTAACCATTTTATAAATGCTCTATGTGCCCTCCACCTGCTGTACGGACAACATCGAGACGATAGTTGAATTCGTCCCAAACGCCTCTCATCTCACGTTTTCTGAGGTGTGTGGTCGCCCTGTGCTCTTCCCCTTACATCAACAGCAGCCCGTTTCCTCAAATTGTCGGTACCAACGACGAATGCTCTTTGATATTGGCGGATCAATGCCAAAACGCTGTTTAAACGCACGCTGCACCGCAATTACGGATTCAGTCTTGCTGAACTGCAGAACGCAACACGCCCCTTGTGTTGCGGTGGGGTCACCGTCTTGCGAATGACTGAGGCTAGGGGCTGTTTGTGCGCTGGGAGAGGCATCTCGCGGTAATCATTTGAAACTCTATGCCCCGCCCTCTCTACGCCCCGCCCTTTCAAGTGGTAAGAGTTTAATTCATGGGTGGTTCGTGGTTGCAGAAATATAGCGATTTCCATCTTTTTAAACACCCTGTATATCCAATAATACATTGAGGGAAAAGAGTATTTGATCCCCTGCTGATTTTGTACGTTTGCCCACTGACAAAGAAATGATCAGTCTATAATTTTAATGGTAGGTTTATTTATACAGTGAGAGAAGACTGACAACAAGAAAATCCAGAAAAACGCATGTCAAAATGTTATAAATTGATTTGCATTTTAATGAGGGAAATACGTATTTGACCCCCTCTCAATCAGAAAGATTTCTGGCTCCCAGGTGTCTTTTATACAGGTAACGAGCTGATATTAGGAGCACACTCTTAAAGGGAGTGCTCCTAATCTCAGCTTGTTACCTGTGTAGTGTTCGATTTCACTCGGACAACTTCTGTCTTTCTTCGAACACCGCTTTATTTACAACTCTCAGCATGTTCTCCACATTCCACAGTATCCAGGTCGCCACGGCTCGCTCGCCGTGCTTCACTCGATTTGCTCGCCACCTTTGTCTCTCCACTCCCCACGATTACTTCACTTATGCCTTGTTAACTTCTTGTCTCTGCTCTCCGCTATCACCGTTGCTATGCTCTCTCCACTGCTAACTGCTTCGTCTCTGATCACCGCTATCACCGTCACTATGCTCACTCCACTGTTAACTGCTTCATCTGTGTTCTCCGCTATCACAGTCACTATGCTCACTCCACTGCTAACTGCTTCGTCTGTGTTCACCGCTATCACCGTCACTATGCTCACTCCAGCTCCCCTAAGCTCTCCAACTTCAACCCATCTCCAAGCTCAACTCCTTCAACTCAACTCCCCTCTGTTGACTCCGACTCCCGCTCTTATACCCGCTCTCATTACACCCCCAATTAACCCGCGTCCCAACGGCGCTCCGCGTGATCGCACACCTGCTTCTCCTCCAGACCTTTAGACGCCTCTCCAGCCCCGGCAACAGCACCAACCAATCACAGCCGTCCACGGCTCTCCCAGCTTAATTGCCCCAACATAACCTGCACTGTATTCGCCTTCGCTACAGGCTGACCCAAGATAACCCGTACTGTCTGTGTGATCATGTAATCACGCTGTTTCCACAACGCACCTTCGTACTCCACTACACCTGTATAAAAGACACCTGTCCACAGAAGCAATCAATCAGATTCCAAACTCTCCACCATGGCCAAGACCAAAGAGCTCTCCAAGGATGTGAGGGACAAGATTGTAGACCTACACAAGGCTGGAATGGGCTACAAGACCATTGCCAAGCAGCTTGGTGAGAAGGTGACAACAGTTGGTGCGATTATTCACAAATGGAAAAAACACAAAAGAACTGCCAATCTCCCTCGGCCTGGGGCTCCATGCAAGATCTCACCTCGTGGAGTTTCAATGATCATGAGAACGGTGAGGAATCAGCCCAGAACTACACGGGAGGATCTTGTCAATGATCTCAAGGCAGCTGGGACCATAGTCACCAAGAAAACAATTGGTAACACACTATGCCGTGAAGGACTGAAATCCTGCAGTGCCCGCAAGGTCCCACTGCTCAAGAAAGCACATATACATGCCCGTCTGAAGTTTGCCAATGAACATCTGAATGATTCAGAGGACAACTGGGTGAAAGTGTTGTGGTCAGATGAGACCAAAATGGAGCTCTTTGGCATCAACTCAACTCGCCGTGTTTGGAGGAGGAGGAATGCTGCCTATGACCCCAAGAACACCAACCCCACCGTCAAATATGGAGGTGGAAACATTATGCTTTGGGGGTGTTTTTCTGCTAAGGGGACAGGACAACTTCACCGCATCAATGGGATGATGAACGGGGCCATGTACCGTCAAATCTTGGGTGAGAACCTCCTTCCCTCAGCCAGGGCATTGAAAATGGGTCGTGGATGGGTATTCCAGCATGACAATGACCCAAAACACACGGCCAAGGCAACAAAGGAGTGGCTCAAGAAGAAGCGCATCAAGGTCCTGGAGTGGCCTAGCCAGTCTCCAGACCTTAATCCCACAGAAAATCTGTGAAGGGAGCTGAAGGTTCGAGTTGCTAAATGTCAGCCTCGAAACCTTAGTGACTTGGAAAAGATCTGCAAAAAGGACTGGGACAAAATCCCTCCTGAGATGTGTGTGCAAACCTGGTGGCCAACTACAAGAAACGTCTGACCTCTGTGATTGCCAACAAGGGTTTTGCCACCAAGTACTAAGTCATGTTTTGCAGAGGGGTCAAATACTTATTTCCCTCATTAAAATGCAAAGCAATTTCTAACATTTTTGACATGCGTTTTTCTGGATTTTTTTGTTGTTATTCTGTCTCTCACTGTTCAAATAAACCTACCATTAAAATTATAGACTGATCATTTCTTTGTCAGTGGGCAAACGTACAAAATCAGCAGGGGATCAAATACTTTTTTCCCTCACTGTATTTTCATCAAAATTTTTTTACACATCCCAGCAGCTGTATGACCTGCTGCAGTGATGTTTGTTGCTGGGTGCTTGACGTTTCAGGCCTTTGGTGCCTAACTGTGTTTAGCAATTGTCAAGAAAACCACTGCAAGGGTAATAACTTGGCGATTTGATGGCCGTAGCAGATAACTCGGTTTGCGGAGGATAAGTGGCAGACGGAAGACAGCCAACTGGCTGCATCAGGGCTGGTTTACAATGCTGCTTGTAACTGGCTGCGAGAGTCCTGTGGCGTGCATACCGTGCCCTGTGCAATATAAAGCGCGCACCCACGGATGCAGCAGCGGCTTACCGGGTCCACATGGAGCTCGCCCAGCATGAGTGACACGGCGCTTGCGTAGTTCGCGTACGCCTCTCGGATCTGCTTGTTCCACTGCACCTGCGCGTGTAAGTCCTCGTCTCCAAACCCCGTCATGTCCACTAATGGCTCGACAACGTTCGTCTCCGTCACCCAGGCGTTCCCACTCGCCCCGCTCTCTCCATCCGCGGTGTTTGCAAGGCGCCCTCCCAGCAGCAGGGCTATGGCGTCTCGTGGCCCCATGAGCCGAAAGTCGCGGCCCAGTCTGCTCAGCGACCGCAAGACGCCCTCTGCTTCAGAGCGTCTCCTGTTCACGTCCAGCTCGTACAGGCGGCAGCAGTGAATGACCACTCGCACTCCCGTGCTGGCACCGAACTCCTGCAGTGTACGCGTGGCGCGGGTTGTGCAGGGTGTGCACAGAGACATTGGCAGTGGAGGCTGCAAAGTTGGGCTCGTGTTACCGTACCGGTAAAAACAACCCTACAATGAACCTGGTGTTGACTAAACATCCCAATGCTGAGAGATTACCTGCAAATCACTCAATTGAGATTACACAGCAACATCGCAAACTTCCTGAGAAAACTTGGCAAGACCCTCCTGAAAATTAGTCTTGCGACTCGGGCTGTCTGGGTAAAGAGTGAAATAACAACACGAACGTGAGCAGAGCCCTTAAAGTTGTGACTATTTCTGCCTGAGGGACTAACTTGTAAAATTGCAAAACGTGAATTATCCCAAAGTATCAACGTGGGACCCCTTTGCCCTGGCAACTCGATATTCTCAGTAAAGTATAGGACGGCGATGATGATCCGTAAGGGGTTTAAAATAATAGTTTGCTGGGAGCCTATTGAGACCCTGCAGATCAATCTTGCGAATGAAACTCATACTTGTATCTTGAGTTCTCACCTTCACGGTCCAACAAAATAAACGTGGATCATGCCCCCTTTACCTGAATATACTCGACGCAGTCGCGGCACGGGCTGTACGTGGAGTAGCAGTGCAGGGTGCACCCGCGCGTGGCCTCCTCCCCGTCCTCGCATCGCCGCCGCCGTAGCAGCGCGGCTCTCACGGCGCTCAGCAGCAGCACCTCGGCGTGGATGGACGTGCCCTGCTTGTTGTAGTTCACCGCGTGGCCGCCGGTAACCCCCCGCCCGGCGCCTTCGACGTAGAAGAGAATGACCGTGCCCCGGGGCTTCTGCGACGGAGCGGCGAAGCAACGCAGGAAGGCCACGCGGCTGAGCGGCTCGTGGCGCACGCAACTGGCCAAGGCGCAGTCCACCACCTCCCGGAGCTCCATCCCCGAGCCGGGGGGGTCTCCTGCGCAGACGAAGGACGCTCGGCCCGATGGTGGTGGCGCTTGGCTGCTCTTTGGCAGGATGGTCGTGGTTCGAACCCAGGAGATGGGCCTGGTTAATTGTAAAGTGCCATTTTATTGAGGGACTGTGACTCGTTTACATTTTCCCCTATTTTGCACTCGGGACATCTTTGAAAAAGAGCTTCATAGCTCATCAGATTCCTCCAGTCTAAATAACGATTCTGGTACTGCTACGGGTTGTATGGTATGACGCACCGTCACCTTCACTCACAGTGGACATTAAGCTTTTATTTTATATTTACAGGGCGCCTTAGCTCACGGCAGTTTACATGGAATTGCCTTTTGTGTTGTTCTTCCAACGCACCTCCGATTAGCACGGTTGGCTACGTACAGTGCAAAGGAAGTTCAAGATACAGTACATGCATAACAGCGGTAACAAAAATTTAGTGGTTTCGTTGGCAAGGGCCGAGGAATGAGTAACCATAGCAGAGAGCAAGTGGAGGTCACAAGAGGTTAGGGGAGGGAAGAGAATGGTCAATGGAGAAGAGGTGGGGCTTGAAGAAATTAACGGAATGAGGTGAAGGAGCGGTACTGCTTAATATACAGGGGAAGTTGATTCCCTGGTAGGGTGCAAAGAGGGAGAAAGATCGCAAACAGAATTTGGCATGGGGGGGAGGGACAGAGAGAAGATTTGGGACAAAGAGCATGAGGGGGGATAACATGAGAAACTGAACTCCAGTCTGACTCATCCTCTCTCTGTCTGACTCGGATTAAACTGTGCGGCAAGTCTTAATTTAACACGTGATGTTCTCACAACGCGTTTCTGCTAGAACGCGGTTCTTCCACGAGGGAACGCGTGAGACAACGAACTACTTTATTGGGCTGAGCGGGAGTGATACAGTACGTGGGATTCCGATATCAAGGTAATCACAAGAGACATTTATCTTTATAAATGTGTAGTGGCATAGTGTTGGCTGCTGGCGAAAAAGGGGAACTGCGGTTTATGGCAGTATTGAAGTCAGTAGGCCATGATATACACTTGTGGGGGACATCTAGGGGAAAGGTCACAGAGGGGGGCCCATCGGGAAGCCTCGGGAACCCGCTAGTAGGTTCCAGAGAGGAGGCGTGGCCGAGGCAGAGCGAGGCCACGATGAGAGCATAAGCACCCCTGTGAGGGACCTCGTGGCTGTTGTTGGAGTGGGATCCCCGTCGTGGAGTTGAAGTCCATCGTCGCCATTCTTATCGTCGTCTTCACCATTCTTCTCGTCGTTGTCTCCATCTCTAACCATCTCGGGGCACCGCTAGTCAGACAGCCTACCAACTATTATTTGGGTCTTTCGGTAAAGTCACGTAGATAGGTTGAACCTATCTAGCAGGCTAGGTCGAGGCCGGGGGCTCTGCGTGGGACTAGGCCTCACCACGGCAATGTTAAGCACTATTTCCTTGTGTCTTTCGCTCAACTCACGGAGATAGAAAACCTATTTAAATAATCAACCTTGCGATTAATAAAATGTTTGCGTGCAAACAACTAATATTTATATTTATTCCTTCTTTTGCTAACCTCACGTACATAGAAAACTATTATAAAAATAAGTTTGGAAATATTAAATTAATAATGGTTGTGTGCTGATAGCTAATATTTAAAAATAAAGTTGCTAAATATAAAAATATTTGTGTTTTTTTTATGAAGCTGCGCCAGTGTACTGGCAGTCTGTAATGTGGCTTGTTGCCCTGCTTATTAAAGTCAGTGTACTGGCAGTCTATTATCTACACTTCAAATATTGCTATTGGGCAGGGTGAGTGTATGCCAGTCTTCAATCTGTTGCCTGCTTTTTACCTCGGTCAGTGTACTGCTGCCAGTCTTTCATGGACACTGTAGCCTGCTTTTTAAGCTGCTGACCCTATTGCCAGCTTATTATGTCGACTGCAGCAATGTTTATTTAATTGAGTCAGCGTACTGGCAGTCTATAATCTAGACTGTAGTCTGCTTCTTAACTTAAGTGTGCATACTGCTGCTCTATAATGTAGACTTATTATAGCTTTTATCTTCAATGCATTTCTATTGTTTCGTTTGCTCACGTCACGCTATTTACTGATATGTAGCACTGCGATGCCGATTTCTATATTATACTGCCAAATACGTTGGACTTTCTTAACTACAGCCGATTACATTTCGTCTATAATTTTGTTACATTGGTGGGAAAATCAACCATTATACATTCGCCGTACTGCACCTTTTCTTTCCACCTAAGCGGGGAGCACGCAGGAAGGTTCAGTGCACCAACTTGTGTTGAGGGTGCTGTTCTTACGGTGGGTGAGAAATATGGTAAGAGAGACATTGTGCTTCGATACCAAGACGACACCATAAAACGAATTCCTGAGACAAACAGAGCATATGATGCCCTACAATACCCCATTTGACTCTGGCAAGGCCAAGATGGGTACCACGTCCAGATTCCACAAATTATCAAAGCTACAGGACAAAGACATCCTCACAAAACTGTCTCCTCTAAAGACTTCTATTCCTTCATGATCATGGACAGAGAAGGGGGAAACCACATATTATGGTGCGCCAACCTCTTTCACCAGTATGTTGTCGATGAGTATGCCAAAATTGAGAGTGAGCGCCTTCTTTGCGTTCAAATGAATCAAAAACGCCTGCGTGTAGACCAGTATGCTCATCTCGGGGACGCTATCAATGCCGACGGAGATGCAAAAGCTCAGAATGTGGGCAGATTAGTTATTTTGCCTTCCTCCTTCACAGCTAGACCAAGATACATGCATGAGAAGACTCAGGATGCTGTGACGTACATCAGCCAATACGGCAGGCCCGATCTCTTTATCACCTTCACTTGCAATCGTAAATGGAAGGAGATCCAGGTTGAGCTTTATCCAAACAAAAAGCCACCAGACAGACATGACATTGCAAAGGTCTTTAAACTCAACGTTGATGACCTCATGAGGCGTATTACGACTAACGAAGGCGGTGTCTTTGGAAAGACAAGATGTAACTTGCACACCATTGAGTGGCAAAAACGTAGTCTTCCTCATGCTCACATTTTGCTATGGATGAGGGAAAAACTTCATGCAAGTGACATTGACACATTTCTCAGTGCTGAGTTACCTGACCCCCATCAAGACCCTGTCATATTTGATGTGTTCTGCAAGCAAATGGTCCATGGCCCACGTGGGGAGTTCAATCCTAATTCGCCATGTATGGAAGACCGCAAGTGTACCAAGAAGTATCCACGAAACTTCTTGAAAGACACTCAGTCAGGGCATGATGGCTATCCTCTATATCGTCGCAGAAATACTGAGGATGGTAGATTTGAAACAATGCTTAGACCTGGCACCAACTCTGAAATGAAGGTTGATAACCTGTGGATCGTTCACTACTGCCCTCTTTGGTGCAAGTCTATGTATGTGTGAGTCCATGTGTGTGTGTGGGACGATGTCTGTGTGTGTAAGTCGATGCGTGTGTCTTTTTCGCCCGGGCAACGCAGGGTACTTCCCGCGAGTGCTATGTAAACACGTGTAAAAATAAACATTTAAAATAGTGTACTGCATTCCAAAATAAAAACAATACAATTATGGGAACAGCACCCCACCTTTACAATTATTAAGGGAAAAGGACTCCCGCTTAATGCGAATTCGCTTTACGTGGCAATTTTGAGGAAAGCAACTCCCAGAGTTGAGCGAGGACTTGCTGTTCTCAAACCACACACGACGAGTCAAACCTGCAGCCACTGCACAACTCGGCGAACAAATACAACGATTCCACGTGTAGCCTGAAAATACTGTTGGGGCAAGTGCTATTAGCGAGTACCTATGAAGGCCTGAACAGCAGCAATGTTTACAGACTGCACCAGGTACTCATTTGAGGCAGAGTTGACCTAGAGGAGGCCCAGTTCAGATATCACTGGTGTTGGCCGCAAGCGGGAATCGAACTTGGGTCGCTGAGTTCGTAGCGCAGTGCGTTAACAGGTACGCCATTGCTCCCCACGTGTCACACGCGGTAGCACATTCATGGTCCAGACAACGCAAGTCATTGAGATGAATGCACAGGATGTTCGCCTCATGGTCAACGATTAGGAATACCCCTTGATCAGTGCCGGATTATCCGAGTAGCAAAAGTAGCATATGCTGCGGGCCCTGCACTTTCAAGGGCCCCACGCTAAATGCTTTCTCAAGCTATTAATTCCGGTTCAGTGATTCTGCACTTGCTCTATTACTATAGTACTATACTGCTTTCAACTTTAATGAACGACTGGGTGTTTAAGGTTAGCGATTTGTCGTATTATCTGGTTGTATAGCAAATTAAAAAATACAATTACTTTACGATGCAAGTTAAACATGTATGTGTTTTAATATTTATTTTAGGGCCCCTTTATAACACATGCTACAGGCCCCACAGTAGCTTAATCCGGCACTGCCCCTGATACAAAATAGGCGTCAACTCACCAGCGTTTGTGCCACTTGGACTGCACAGTAAACACGCTATTTGCTGTGTCGTTGATTGAGGAAACGAGACTCCAAATATATACAGAACCCCCCCACATTTATTTATAAAAAATATACGTTTGAAAGAAACCACAAAGGGGAAGAAGGGGGCTGCAATGTGGACTGGTGTGTGGCGAGCAGTCATAGGGGTTGGAGGTACATCGGCAGGCGAATTGGCTGAAATAAAGCAAACAATATATAAGCAAAATGATTCAATGCTCTACCAACATATTTTAAAATGTTGACACTCACTTGCTTGCTCTAAATGATAAGTGCAGTCCTAGCATGAAAATATACGTTTATCTTGATACATATTCTCAAGCATCCTCTCGGTTGTATCGTACTTTAATATTTGTAATAAACTCTGCTTGAGGATACCAGACACTGACCCCATCATTGGCTGAACTAAAAAAGTAGAGCCAGACAGTGCTAGAGTGAAATACCTCTTATATCCACAGATGCTTTTACTTAATTTTATTTTCGAAAACAATCTTTCATGTGGAAACCCCGTTGAGATGCAGTATCTAACTTGCAAGGGTGTGGACAGTGTCCACAGACGTGCAGGTCACGAGAGGCAGATTCCGTGACCCACGGGGTTCCCTGCGTTAGCCGTTTCAAGAAGCTCAGATGGACACTGAGAGCACGGCAGCGTCCGTGGGCCGCCGGGCGGTGCGGGCCGTAGAGACCACACGGCCACAGTAACCCCCTTGGGCCAGTCGCCCACATGGCTTCACACACGGCCACCACCAAGACGTCACCCCCTTCGTGATGAAAGGCAACGTTGTGAGTTATGCGACGGCGTTCCCGCGCTCCCACCTCTGACTCCCGTACCGTGTGGACAGAGGGAACGAGTGAGCGTCCCGCTCCCTGTCCTGCCACCGCCCCGAGCATTATCGCAGTCGTATGGGCACCAACGGCAACGACAGTGGCGGTGGTGACATCGCGACGGTGCTTGTGCCAGGCTAGGGGCACTCCGAGGCGTTCACGTGAAAAGTCAAAGGCTTGCTCGCTAGCAGGTCACAGGACAGATTCAGGTGCCATGGGTTGACTGACAAGACGACTGACAGATGCACCACATGTGCCCCCTACTGTGCCAACTTGTTGCGTTTTAGCCGCCCGGTGCACCGCTGCTTGCTCTTGGAGAGCGACTGTCTCCAACTGCCCAGTAGCGTCCTTCATGAGCCTCCTCCATAGGGCACCTAAACTACATGCCCTGTCCCGCTAACTCAGGCTCATAACGTGGAGTCATTGATGTGCAAACGTGTCCAAAACAGTTCTTTAGTTGCCGTGGAGCCAAACCAAATGACTCAATAGTGAAAGCCCAGCGGCTCTGAAACTCCATTCCACATTTTTCGATTTAAAGCTTTCGTGACTGCAAGGATTCATCTTCTTTGGTTCTTTCGGTAAAGTCACGTAGAATGAGAATAAAATAATAAATTGATAAAATAAAATAACACAATAATATTCTCACGACGTTTCGGCCACAACACAAGCGGCCTTCATCAGGTGAAGGGACGAGACTGTCTGGAGGACAGCGCTGGAGTGAAAAAGCCACGCTCAGATCGCGACCTTTAAGCTGTGTGAGAAGAAACAAAGTGCCTTGACAAAGGAATTAGCATAGAATTTAGCATTGAAATAGCTGAGTGATTAGCTTGTGACTGGTAACAGAAATGGCTATGTTAAAGTCACAGCATACACATCCACAGAGGCACCCCTTGACAAAGGAATTAACATAGACTTTAGCATTGAAATAGCTGAGTGATTAGCTTGTGACTGGTCACAGAAATAGCTATCTTCTTTGGTTCTTTCGATAAAGTCACGTAGAATGAGAATAAAATAATAAATTGATAAAATAAAATAACAAAATAATATTCTCACGACGTTTCGGCCACAACACAAGCGGCCTTCATCAGGTGAAGGGACGAGACTGTCTGGAGGACAGCGCTGGAGTGAAAAAGCCACGCTCAGATCGCGACCTTTAAGCTGTGTGAGAAGAAACAAAGTGCCTTGACAAAGGAATTAGCATAGAATTTAGCATTGAAATAGCTGAGTGATTAGCTTGTGACTGGTCACAGAAATGGCTATGTTAAAGTCACAGCATACACATCCACAGAGGCACCCCTTGACAAAGGAATTAGCATAGAATTTAGCATTTAAATAGCTGAGTGATTAGCTTGTAAATGGTCACAGAAATAGCTATGTTAAAGTCAAGGCCTACACATCTGAGCTATTCACAGTAACTGGGTATACACTACACTATATAATGAATACTATATAGTGACCCAATAAAAAACTAAAATATAAATTACCTCAATGTTAACAAAAAACTCTATATATTCTCCAATCAGCTAAGCTACCAACAATAAGTCGTTATATATCACAATGCTATATGGCGAAAAAAAATGGGTGGATTCTTACCCTCAACTTTAGCAACACGGATAGCTACGGGCCCCGTTCAGACGGACGAGTTCATCCATGGTCGGAACAGAGGAGGGGGAGAGAGACAGCTGCGAGGCGCTGTTATACTCCATGTTGTAAACCATACCATTAACCGTGGTGTGAGAGGTATTAAGAGTCAATGCTAGCGAAAGAGCTGCGGTCTGAAGGTCATCGTAAAATACAATTCATTAAGAACGGAAATGGTTTAAAACATCTTTCCACATGCCCACAGATCACTGCAACCATTGTGACCCTAACAGCCATGATGGGAGCCACAGAGTTTGAGTGATTGCTGACAACGTGGGGATCTGTAGGTTGTTTTCCATGGTGTGAAACAGCAGAACAGCTGTCGTAAGCCATTAGTTCGTGCTACTTGTCGGTTGTGACACCCACAGCCATTACTCTACTAAAAAGTATTCATATTCTTGGTTTTTTCAGTAAAGTCACGTATCTTGAAAATACAAATAAAAGAGAATAAAATGTTCTTATTTACATTTTTTTAAATTAAATTTTATTATCTTTTATTTTATTTTTGATCTACGTGACTTTACCGAAAGAACCAAGAATATGAATTCCTGCAGTTACGAAAGTTTTAAGTCCAAATTTTGTACAATTTAAGTCAAGATCACAAATCAATTTCACCATTCTCTTTGGTTCTATTCGGTAAAGTCATGTCGGTAAAAAATAAAACAACAAAAATCACGACGTTTTGGCCACAACACAAGCGGCCTTCATCAGGTGAAGGGACCAGACTATCTCGAGCGCCAGCGCTGTCCTCGAGATAGTCTGGTCCCTTCACCTGATGAAGGCCGCTTGTGTTGTGGCCGAAACGTCGTGATTTTTGTTGTTTTATTTTTTACCTACGTGACTTTACCGAATAGAACCAAAGAGTATGGATCCTTGCAGTCACGAAAGCTTCAAATCTAGAATTTCACCATTGTCAGAGTTAGGGGCTACCACCTGTGTGGCTTTCTGTGTTCGGGAGGCAGGAATTGATTTGTACCGAGATCTGGTACCGGTGTCGCTGCACGGTTTTGACAACAGACCGAGGCCGACTGAGAAATGTGTCCGGGTTTGGTCTGTGGAGCAGGTGACGACCCTAAATTATTATCTCGAAAGCGATCAGAAGAGTTATTTAAAAAATAGGTTTTACTCAGCAATAATACAGGTGTTTAAATGTTCAAACACCAAATAGACACCTATTGGCAGGCTGCATCAGGTCTGCATTAACCACACGTCATGCTCGTGGTAAAATATTCCCACAAACATGCTTTGATAATAATATACACATTATCCCTGAAATTGATTGGCTTACACCAAAAACAGGCCCCATAGATATAACTGCTCAACCAGAGCAATTAATGCTTTGAAATTTGCATTGCCTTTGTAATGTTCACTTTTGGAATTGTTCTCTGGTCTAACACTGATGCAGAGACAAGGCCATAAAGGAAACTGTAGCTCTGGTATAATAATAATAATGGTATAGGCCATACAGTTTCAGGGACAATGCGTAAATTATCAAAGCATGTTTGTTTGCATTGTCCTTGTACTCTTCACCTTTTGGCATTTTCTGGTCGGACACTGGAGAGACAAGGCCATAAAAGAGGCTGGGTAAAGAGTCAAGTTTATTATTCTGTAGATGTAATCAGAAGAATTGTTTGACTCCTCTGGCAACACTGCACTGAGTCTCACGTGCTTCATATCAGTCGGCACCTTCTCACATGGCCGCATCGTAGAGGTGTAAGTCTGCCTCTTGTCTGATGCAGTGCTGCAGCACCACAGCATACATTGTGCCGGGCTGCTGCTGATGATGACCCAGCGTGCCTTCTGGACTAGGTGAATCGTAAGAGTCCACACAAACATCATAGTCACTGGAGACCTGGACAAAAGATGGAGAGACAGTTAGTTTCGTACAACAATTGGCTGCTCTGCATTACCGCCCAATGTGACATTTGCTTTATATGTAATACCCAGAATCAGAAGTTTACGTCCCATTGAGTAAAGCCCAATGAGCTCAGAAGCTCATTATCAATGGGGCGACTCGGCCAGCAGAAAACATCAAAGCATTTCACAATTACACCCATTCACACTCACTGGCTCACACACACTCACCCATAGTCGCTCGCCCAATCACTCATTCATCCACCTACTCAACCACTCACCCACCCGCTCTCCTACTCGCCGGTTCAGCCACACACTCAGTCAAGCACATCGTAATCAGAATTGTATTTCCCACTGAATAAAGGCCACTGAGCTAAGAATATTTTTTTTCAAGGGCGACTCAACCGGCAGACAACATGAAAACATTCCACAATTTCAAATTTAAACAAACAAACAAACAATAATAGTAATATATTATCATATTGTTTATGTTTGTGCACTGTTTTTGATTCTCTTTTGTAATGTGGTGGTTATTTTTGCTGTAATTTGTGTTTGTTGATAAGACTTAAAAGGAAGTGTCTAATAAGCAACGTTTCAGGCAGCTGCCCTTCTTTATAGAACAGAGAGGCCAGAGAGACTTAGTGGAGAGTTGGAGACTGCACTTTACATTGTGGAACATGACAATTACATCAAAAATGTGAGATTTAGGCGGTCTGTGTGCCATTCGCAGTTCATCTGAGGCATTGCACAGCAGTAGGTTTCAGAATTGAAAATGAGTAAAGTAGGCATTGAATTATAATAATTGATGAGATTTGAGCACAGTTGGACTTGAGTACAGTTGGTATAGTGCAAGGTTATCACAGACGGCACCGCTATATTTCACAGTCTGCAGTAGTTTAGCAGTAGTTGCTGTGTTGTCATCCCAGTTGAGTCATTTGTATTTTTTTTAGTATATGGAAAACTTGGAACCTTGACACCGGCACAGAAACTTACATCGTCATCTCTAGGTCTCACGGGGTCGTTGTTGTCGTAAACGGCGTCTGCGTTGCCATCTGAACAGAACCCAAACAGACATCGGTGCATTCCACTTAAACCAGTGGCGTAGTAACTACATTATCAGCTCAGGGGGTGCAGCAGTCGATCAGGTGGGGCCCAAATATTTGATTTGTACAAATTGCGGAAGCCAAATGTTACTGCTGTAGTTAGATTAAAATAAAACGTGGAACGTAAATGAAAGCATTTCCATAAAGAAATCATTTGTCGCGTTTTAAATAACTTTTTGTTATTTTACACACGATAGAAAACATATCTCATGGTGGTGGTTAAGGGGGCCCCAACTCGTAGCTTTGGCCACCGGGGGGGGGGGGCAAGGCACACCCTGCCTGCCCCATACTCGTTACACTGCTACTTAAACCCGTTACTCTTCCTTATCCTCCATCAGTCTTTGTCAGAATCCGATTGGTCATCTCTGGTGGATGGTAGAAAAATCTTTCCTAAATCCAGCTTGCTCATGTGGTTGTTTGACCTCTAAATTGTCCATCAATCTGTCCACAAATATATTTGTGAATAATTTGTTTGTATGTAAATATTAATACTTATTTGCGATAGGAGGCTCACGAGTTGATATAATTTTTGAAGGCTGTTTTGTCTCCCTTTTTGAATAGAATACTGATTGAGGCATCATTCCATGATTGAGGCACTGTACTTAATTTCTGTGTAAAAATTGAGTAAATAGTTGAATAAAAATCTGTATTTAGACTGGAGGAATCTGATGAGCTATGAAGCTCTTTGTCACAGATGTCCAGTAGGGACTGGGGGTCAGCAAGTTACAATAAACACCGATAGAAAATAGAGAAAGGACAAGCAAGGAATTATAAATAAATATTAAGTATATTCAGTAAATACAAATTGCTATGTTTGAGCTAACAGCTTATCCTGCTTCTGTGCTGATGTCCACAAGTATTGCATCTGCCCAAGGGAGGCTACTTGTATATCCCTAATGGCTGCGTGTATGCCAGTCGAGACTCGGTTTATTTTATTAACAATGAGGATTGCCTGCGGGCAGCCGCTACATTTATATTGGCGTGGATGAGATGCGTTCCCTACCGTGCCGGCAGCCTTTCAGTCTCCTGACCTCTGCGTACGCAACTCCATGGCGTGGACTCGCAGCTGCTGTAGATGCTTCTGAAATGGGAAAACATGCATTGATCCCTGCGATTCCCTTCTCTCCGGCCTCATCATAAACACATTGCTAACTGCCCCTCAGATTGCTCTGGACAGCCCCACACTGTGTGTCAGAGAATTTCAGACTTGCTTGGTTCAAGTGCGGGAGATGAATTATTGTGCTCGTGGAACTGCGCTGCGCATCAGGGAAACCCGTAACTTGCCGACTCACCGAAGGGGCTGTGATGCTGCAACTGCACAGCTCGTGTGCCGTTTCAATGACAGCAATGGTAACGATTATGATGCTGACAGCGATGGTAACGATGATGATGCTGATGTTCATGATGAAGATTAAAACGGCAGTGATGATGATAGTGATGGTGAAAGGAAGTACATTTGTGTTGGGGACAGCTGCAGTTATGGCTGTCTAATGGCCAAGGTCGTGCTGGGATGTCCTTCATTACGGTAGGATCACGTCAAGCCGCTGGAATATTGTCGGAATGAAGGAGAGAAGGGCATCGCGGTCTAGTGTGGTGCAGAAAGCACCTGGCATTGGGGATGCTAAACCACCAGGGTAGTCACTTTGGTGGCACATGCTGAATTGACATACGGATGTGACGAGGGCCTGGAACATTTCGGAGGTGGGTGATTGGCTCCCGGACCAGATGAACTGGTGCCTTGACCGCCTGTAGCTGATGGGCACGTGCCAGCCGTGCCGCTGTAACAGAAGACAGGGTTAGATGAAACCTACTGGAAAATCACAGACCTGGGAGTGAGGAGCAGGGTGCTTGGTAGGACCACCCTGCACCTGTGGTGGTTTGACCCGGACAATCTGGGAACTAGTAGCTGCGTTCAGGTGGCAGGAATTACTTTGTACCTAGATCTCGTAGTATTGTGTTGAATTTATTGCAGGATACTGTACAGTTTGTAACTTTTATAGACCTAGACTGACTGAGAAACCTGGGTTTGGTTCCTGGCAAAGCATGCAACCCGACTAACCCCCTGCCGCCCCCCCCCACCCCCCTTGTTACCACAAACTTGGTTGTAGCACGGATCAAACGAAATACACCGATTACATTTTACTTTAGCAATCAATGTGTAATCATAATTTGTAATTGTTACTAATACTGACGTTTGGTTGTTGAAATTAACCGAGTTGACTAGTATCTCACTGATAACCAATTCTGTTGTCACGCAAACGGATTTGCAGTGGGACGTACAGAGAGGGTCTCTTGTCATTCCCACCCCTCCACAACGGCCAGCCTTGCCCGGTCCGTGAGAGGCAGCAACGGCGTCCCCCCGGGTTGGGGAGGGCAGTCGGGCGTGGTACTTAGCAGGACTGTGCTGGACTTCATAGTAAAGAGGCTTCCTTCATCGCTGACTCAATTGAGGGAAGGGCCGCAGGGTGGCAGCAGTGGTAACGTTTGTGCCTTACAGCAAGAACTTGGGTTTGATTCCCGAATCAGGCACCTTTCTGTGTAGAGTTTGTATGATCTCTCCCTGTTTTGCATGCATTTCCTTTGAGTTTCCCAGTTTTCTCCCATTGATAAAAACACATTCAATGCAACCGGTATTGGGCAGTCTTGGGGATGAATGCATTTGCAATAATTGCAGAAGTCTTGCATTCTAAAGTATTGGTTGGATCTCGTTTAATTTTAATATAGGTATCTTCCTCCAGTAAATCTTAAATTTTATTATCATAATCTGATAATAAAATTAAGCCATGGGTCTACCAAAAATTCATAAAATCGGTATTCCATTACGACCCATAGTAAGTACAATAGGCTCTGCCACATATAAATTAGCAAAATATGTAACTAAACAAATACAGCCCTACATCAGGAGGACATCATCTTCATTTATAAGAAATTCAGAACATCTTGTGAATGTGATTAAAGATATTAAACTTAACCCTAATGTATTCTGGTAAGTTTTGATGTAATTTCTCTGTTCACTAAGGTTCCAGTTAACAAGTCACTTAAATTACTTGATACACTGGTAAAGAAGATAGGTTTACCAGAAGATATTCCGAAACTTAAAGACCATTGTCTAAATAACACTTATTTCTTGTGGAGAGGTGACTTCTTTAAACAAAAGGAAGGAGCAGCAATGGGCTCTCCTTTGTCTCCTGCTATAGCAAATCTGTACATGGAAAACTTTAAAACAAGAGCACTTGCCTCAAGTACATTAAGGGGCCATCCATAAATGATGGCACGCGATTTTGGACGGTTTTTGATCCCCCCCTCCTCGTCACACGGCATCACAAAAGTCAGCCCCCCCTCAAATATGATGTCACAAAGCTCTGCCCCTCCCCCCAAAACCATATTTCCATTTTGAAAATAAAACATGCTTCAAATCGCTTTAAACTATTGTCATTGTAGTGCGTATTTAATGTGTCGCTGCACTCTGATGTTGTAGGAGAAAACATTTATTAAGAAGTCTATTTAATTAAGTAGAACGTGTTGTCTATATTTATTTAAATTTGTGCATTTCGATGTGACGTCATATTTCTCAACCCCCCCCCCTCGTCACACATCGTCACAAATGTCTGACCCCCCCCCCCCCAGGTGCGTGACGTGATTTGTGGACGGCCCCTAAAACAACCTTTTTGGTTTAGACATGTCGATGACACTTTGGTTGTCTGGCCACATGGTAAAGATACACTTATTGAATTTTAAAATAATCTCAATGCGCAAAACTCAGCCATTCAGTCCACCATGGAAATGGAGGTGAACAACACACTCCCATTCCTGGATATTTTGCTTGGGCGCTGTCAAAATGGCAAAATAACACCACACAGCGTCTACCGAAAGGGAACGCACACTGATGCAATGCAGATTCGCATCATCACCCAGCACCGAAATCCTCTCTCATCAAGACGCTCATACATCGGGCAAAGACAGTGTCAGATGGTGAAAGTTTAGAGAAAGAGATTAAACATGTTAAAGAAGCACAAAGACTGAATGGCTACAATAATGCTCAAATTAACAGAGCATTGAATGACAAATTAAGATCGAACAACAATACTACTGAAAGTGATCAGATTATCAAAACAATTAAAATACCAAACATCTCGGGAGTTACTGGCAAATTATAAAGCAAAAAATTAAAGTGAGATTTGGTACAGTACACAAAATTCAAAAACTAGTGTCTTGTACTAAAGATGAATTACCGAAGTTATCAACAGAAGGTGTATATCGAATTGGTTATGCAGTGAGTGATATATTGGACAGATGGGACGTCACATTAGCGTAAGACTAAAAGAACACCAAAGGAACATTAAATGATCTCAAACACAGCTGTCAGCAGTGGCAGAGCATGCTTGCCAACAAGGGCATTCAATTTATTTTGATAACGTTGAAGTGTTATGCAGAATTAATTATTACTGGCCAATATTAGTGAGAGAATCGATTGAAATTGAGAAGAATTCAAATAATTGTAATCGCTTTGATAGCTATAGACTCAGCGCAGCCTGGAAGCATATTATTAAGTAATACACAACACATTGCAATTCCTTACAGGTGCGTCACTGTGTTGTCACGACAGCGAAGCCGCTCCGCCGAGACCGGGGCCGCCGCTGTGCTGGCGGTGCTGCTGCAACAGAGAAGCCACCCGGCTCCCGTCGCAACGCTCCCCCCACCACCCCCCACATAAACACACACACACGCACTCACCTAGGGCCTTGTGTGGAGGGGTCACCTGCCCCTGAGTTTTTACCCGAGAGACCCCCTCGTGGGGGTGCTCCACGGTTTGTCAGGGCCAGAGAATTGGCAGAACCCCTCCCAGGCCGAATGACACTGCGGCGCCGTGGATTATCTTAAAATTGAATGACCACGGCGAACTCACTGAGAATCGCAGTGAGGAAATGCCCAAAGGCATACGCAACGGCAGGCAGGCGGGGGACGGGGCGGCGCAGATTACGCTTTAAGGTCTGTAAACGGGCGGAGCAGATTACGCTTTAAGGTCTGCAAACAGTAGGGGAGGGAAGGGGCGGGGCGTCAGAGGGGAGGCTGCCGATTGGATAAGGGGCCGGCGGGACGGCGGCGCGCAGGTTTTGAAGCTGAGCATAAAAAGGGACGATTTTGGAAAGCACGGGGTCTTTTCTCTGGGGATCCACTGGAGAGAGGGATCGAGGAGTTGTCATCTCGCTGTTACTCGCACGTCCATGAGACGGGTCAGAGAGCAGCCAGATTCAGTTCCCAGCCAACGCCACGTACAGCATCATCTTTCTGCGACCTCTAACACGGCGAGGTCGGACCGTAAGTACGAGGAGAAGAGGTAAGGCAAGGGGAGAAATTCCGAGAGAGAGAGGGAGAATAGCGAGCGGACAGGCCAATTGAGTATCAGACCGTAGAGAGATAGGTTAGACCTGTCCTGCTGGTCCGCACTGACACGCGTAGTTTAGTTTGTTAATTCGCGGGGAATAAATCGTCAGTAGAGTATAAACCGTGTCGTGTTGTCTCTGTGAGTGCGAAGAGGAGGGTGTGGTGTCGTGAGTCGGATCGCCGGGGCGCATTGTATTTACATCCAACTGTTCGGTGGAGTGCCCTGTGTTTGCGCGCTAGAGTATATTTTGCCGGTGCGTGCGCGTTCGCCGTGCACGTTAACCGTGAGCCTGTGCGTTGTGGTGCCCCGTGTGTTCTGTACGCGTGGGCACTCTCGCCGTAGCGCAGCTCGTGGTTGGCGTGTACGAGGGGCACCGCGGCGTATCTGCGAGTTGGTCAGTGCAGCTGTTTACATCGTGCCCCGAGGAGCAGCAGCGAAGGGGGGAGAGCAGGAGGACGGTGGGTCACGGGAGAAGGGGGGGACGGGGGGCAGTCTCCCTAACATCACATGCTAAGTGGCTGATTACTGATCTATTACGTAATTGCATACACCCCCGCCTCTGATCTCGAATCCTGATGGGGGTCAACAATGATGACGTCATCCTGCACTATTTATGACCGGAAGCAGGTGGATGGCGTCACTATTCTGGCAAATCACCCGATGATGCAGGATGTAATTTCCAGCGAAACGCCGTACTCAAATTGTAAATGTTATGGATCCACTCTTCAACACACCGGTGGGCTAAAGTAGTGAAATATTTGTCTTTTGTCAACGTGACACTTTTTTTACTGATTGGCCGTGTCGGGTGGTGGAGGGTTGCGACACATACTCTGATATAAGTGCACAACTTTATCTATGTGATTAACGCTGCACTTTCCGTCGTTTTCATGCAGGGGGCGCTGCAAACCTATGCGACCCCTGCATGAACGACGGAGGCGCATGGACAGACGTTCGATCACGTTGGAATCGATCTGCAGACGGCGGTCTTCTCGCACGGCCAGCTCTGTGTCGCCTTATCTCGATCCCGCAATCCCAACCAGGTGAAAGTCCGCATCGAACAGAACCCCCAACAAGGCCATTTACTTAACGAGAGAATTCACACGAAATGTCGTTTTCAATTAAGTCTTCCAGATGTAAAATTATATAAACTTTTTAATGAGGAAATAAAAGTATCTGATTCAAAACATAACACAATTTAAAGATGTTTCATTTTAAAACTTCAAAACGGAGCATCGGGTGCTTGCGTGAATGCGTCCTTCGTGTGAAAATAACGCGATCTAACCCAAAAACCTTTATTATGAATAATAATACTGGTCGCGAAAGCCTACTGCTTGTTAAACTGATCAGCGGTGTCCTTGGCGTACTCTCAGGAGTAATAACGGAGGGCGCTTGCTGCTGGAGGCGTGGGGGTACCTCGCGTGCGGCGTAAGAAGAAGCATGCGGTCCCCAGCGCGGCGAGCAGGGCGATCGAGAGGAGGGCCACCGCCGCGGCCACCAAGGCAGCGGACACAGTCCCGGTGGCTGCGGAGTCGGGGTAGGAGGAGACGGGAGGCGTCGTGCTGCTGCTGCTGCTGGGAGGGGAAGTGAAGAGCGAGGAGGAGGAGACGGGAGCCGTGCTGATGGACGGAACCTCGTGTGTCGTTTTCCAGATGCTTGCATCAACGGGTGTATTCATGGTCATTGGTGGATCTGAAAAATACAGTTTACAAAATATTTATATTATCGTCTTCATTACCATCATAATCCGGGCCCGAAATAATGCAGAGCAGCAGTTTGGAAACTTCGTTTAAGTGTGGTCTTTCCAGCATTCACAAACTCCTGTTATGTTGCAGACTCGTTAGGAGTTATTCTTTGGGTCTTTCGGTAAAGTCACGTAGATAGGTTGAAAGAAAATAACCAAAAAATACGTTTCGATCACAACACAAGCGATCGTCTCCTGCTGACGATCGCTTGTGTTGTGATAAAAAACGTCGTTTTTTGTCATTTTCTTTCAACCTATCTACGTGACTTTACCAAAATACCCAAAGAATATGAATTATTGCAGTCACGAAAGCTTGAAGTCAAGATTCGGTAGGAGTTGTTGATATTTGCATGGCCTTAGTATTGTTCGCGTTTTTGGGGTTATCTCTGGTCTAACACTCTTGCAGATACAAGGCCATAAACGAGACTGTAGCTCTGGTGCAGGCCAATCAGTTCTAAGGACAATGCATCATCAAAGCATGTATATTTGCAAGTCTTAACACAAGCATGTGTGATTAATGCAGACTTGATGAGGCCTTGCGAAAGGTGTCGATTTGGTCTTTTAACATCTTAACACTTGCTGTATCATTGCCGGGTAAAGCCTATTAATTCATGAATGAAATGCACTGGCTGAGTAACGTAAAACTTACCGGACACGTCAAGGTAATGTTCAAAATATGCGATTTCTGCGTTGCCTCTGTTGCGAGGTTTACAGGTCCAAGAGCCCGTGTTGTGTTTGAGACACGTGAACCGGTTGCTTCTCTTCGTCATGGAGGACTGAACGGTTCCATCATGATACCAATAAACGCCATCACGATTCCTGGAGTAAATAATTCCACGTGGCTTTGTGGATATTTCACAGATCAAAGTGATGGTGGAGCCCACACGGACAGGGTTTTTTGCCCTGGTGGTGACTGCAGAAAGACAGAATTGTGCATTTGCAAATAATACTGAGCAGTAACCCCCCCCCCCCCCCGTTTTATTCATGGAGTTCTCACAACGCATTTTCGCTTCAACGCGGCGTTTCTTCTATGGCACGATTTTCGATTAACGCGCAACACTCCCACTATAATGCGATGTGTCTAGCGTGTGACGGACTACTTGTTCTGAGCGCCGTGGGTGTTGGAAGCATTGTTTGGTCAAGTTGGGAGCTGGTACTGTCGTCCTGGAAAACTGATATTGTAAATGTTGTGGCTTGGCTCTCCAACACACTGGTGTGCTATACTGTGACGAGTTGGCATGTTCTGTTTACGTGACAACCCTTACTAGTTGGTGGTGGCGGGTTTTAACGACACATGCGATCTAACCCAAAAAAACCTCTTATGGATATTGGTCGCGAAAGCCTGCTACGTGTTAATCAGTACTGCTACTGTGATATTGATACTGTAGTACTGATACTGTGGTACTGATACTGTAGTACTGATACTGTAGGAGTCAAGGCCGTAGCCATGGAGTCAACATTGGGGGGGACCAAATCTCCCTGGGGGTCCCAACCCAGAAAAAAAATGTAAATTTGAAAACTAATTTCTTGCCATTTCCTGCCTAAAATATTAAAAATTCACGAACACATTGGATGGACTTATTTTTGTTACAATGTCTAAGAGTGTATTGTATTACATTGCTGTTTTTTTATTTTTTACATTTTCTTATTTCATTGTATGTAATGGCAGAGATTCGGGGTTCATTAAGTACAACCATAGCCACAATCATGTCAACATAAATCTATGCATTGTTATATGAAGACAAGTCCAGATATTGTGGCCAAGGTTTAGCAAATTGTTTTTATTTACATAGCATAGCAAATTTAATTTTTATAGCAATATATTGGGGGGGCATTTTGAGCATATTTGAATATTGCGGGGGAAGTGTCCCCCCCAATATATATTATAATTACGGCCTTGGTAGGAGTGATGCGTGCTGTGAACACATTCCTGCGGAGGGAGCTTGTAGGAACGTTGGGTTGCTCGGTCAATGGCCAGGGTCAACGGCGGCGTGGTGTATCCCGCAAATATGCCCGACTGAGGGCGGGCACAAGCTGGCGTGAGTCGGTTAAACGTTGAGTTCTATAAGGGCACCACGGGGTGACCAGCCCCTCCCCACTCAGCTCCACCCCTCCCATTTTTGAATGCACGACGGACGGACACAATAATCCCCTGTAGGCTGGTTTAACCAGGAGGTTCCTACCAGTAAAACGGCGTGCCTGCCTCTTCTTCAGTCTTTGTTTTGGCATCTTTGTGTGCGGAGCGTCATCTCACTCCCTCATCTTTTTCACTCGTCACATCTCTCACTTTATATTGATTTGAATTACTGTTACACCTAACATTTATATAAATACAAGTGTAAACAGAAACATGTCAGTATATTGTACTGTTTCAGATTGAGCAGCTGTGGAGATATAACTGCTCAACCCGAGCTATCAATACTTTCATATTTAAATTGCCTTTGTGCGTTTCGCCTTTTGGCGTTCTCTGGTCTAACACTGGTGCAGGGTCAAGCCATGAAGAAGGCTGAGGCTCTCATGGAGGCCAATCACTTTCAGAGACAATGCATATATTACTAAATAGTGTTTGTTTGCATGTTTTACCACAAGTATGATGTGTGGTGAATGCAGATTTTATGCAGCCTTGCAGGTGTCTACATGGTGTTTGAACATCTGTATTCTTGCCAGGTTAAAGGTAAAACATTCTATGAAATCGCGCCGTATTACGTGAACACAGCTCTGGTTTTGTCCGTGGGTACTGACATTTTACCACATCTCTCACCTCCACGCGAGTTGGCGGTGTGAAAAAGAGCTGCATAGTAAATCGGATTCCTCCAATCTAAAGATTCTGGTTTGATGATCTGATGTATCATTGCGTTGCAAAGCACGCTCATACCATACCTTTGCTGGCCAACAAAGCAACTTCACAAGTAAATTTTCTGTTCACATAGCAAGTATATCTCCCCGCATCTTCAAACTTAGCCGATGAGAGCAACAGCGAAAAGTTGCCGGTTTCGAATGCACGCTCTGGCACGGATGCCCTGTTTGTGAATAGAGAATGCACAGACGCACTGCTGCTGCTTGTTTGGTACAACACGTTGAATTTGTGTTGGTCATTTGTAAAATACCAGGACACTGAATATTGATGAATGGCATGGCTTCTACACGGTAGCCAGACACTGTGAGTCTCTCCTGCTCCCAATCACGCACAGACAAGGGGTGAGAGAAGAGAGAAATAACCCCCATTAATACAATCACAATGGCTGACATTGCAAAGACAAGCACACGCATGGCTGACATTGCAAATACAATCACATTTATGGCTGACATTGCAAATGTGCTACGAAGAATTAAAAGTTATTCATCTTTAATTTCTACATGGCCTTGCCCCACCTTATCTTTCCTCTCATTTCTTGTCCCCTCTCGTGTTCACAATGAATGCCCTACAAGCTGCACCATCAGCACCCTACCATCTGCAGCAACCGGTTTTAAAATCCTCATACTCGGACTACGAACCCACAAACTTAGGCTACGAACCCATACACCTGATTTAACCACATAATAGACCCGGACCCACGAGACCATAAACACAGCCTTGGAACCCACAGCGAGCGTGAGAGTTCCAGACGTAACGCAAAAAACGCGTGAGAGCAGTGTAAATGCCCGTCGCATGGCAGCCAAACTCACCAGCGGGCTGGTGCAGGTGGACCCCGGTAACCACCACCAGCGCAATGAACACCACCGTCTCGCTGGACCTCATGGCTGTAGAGATGAGAGCGCAAGCGCTAATCAAGTGGGCGCTTCCTCTTAATTGTAGCTTGACAACTAAAAAAACCCACCCACCACTCAAACATTTGCATATTTGCTCAACACCGCCCATTGAGAAAATGCCTATAAACCCTACAATGTCCATAGCCCACAGACCCAACACTGCCCGTAGAATCAAAACTGTTCTTAGACCAAACAACCACTGCACGAAGGCCTACCACTTACCTCCAGCCATTTGGATTTTACAATGTTTTTCCTGCGCAGATTGAAATTTGAGGAAGTGAACTGAAATCAAGTCCCAAAATTATCATTTGTGACGTACACTGAACATCTGTGCAGGAAGCGATACGAAACTTCATGCAGATATTGACACCCATTTGGCAAGTGGATCCAGGCAGACCAGGGTGCTACACAGCATGGAGTCTCTATGCGTCTCTATGAGTCTATCTCCGAGTCTCTATTTTAGTTTATTACATTTGGTGGTTGCGACTTGCAGGGTGAGTGGGTGAGTGGTTGTAATCCGCAGTGTGGCGATTGAACTTGGTGTGGATGAGTTGGTCTCCAGCGTAGTTTTGCCATTTGATAAAACCACGTGAATGCGTTTTTGTGCGCAAGATTTGAATAAAGTGGCCATGAATGAATAAAAACATTTTAATTAACAAAAATAACAATATCATTCCAGAAATCCACTCACATCATAGAAACACATCTCAATGTTTTTAGGGATGTAAAGATACATCTATTAATATCAACTCCACAGAATACACACGCATCAGATCATGCACGCTAGGAATGGTTCTGTACAATGTATGGTGCGCGAGTTGTTGTGACCTGCAGCGTGGTAAGTGGGTGTGGTGAGTAGGTACAAGTTCAGAGATATTTGATAGAACTTGACAGTGTTATCAGTGGGCCCCTCCATCAGTGGGCTCCTCCTGAAAAGGGGGAATGTGTTGGGCTGGGTCATGTAGCCTGCATGTCAAGTCACCACACAGCCCAGCAGTTGCTGTCTGGTTGGCTAGAGGGGGCTAAATAGGAGGCAACATGGGCTTAAGAAGAGATGGGCTGATGGGTGAGTGGGTAGGTGAGTAGGTGGGTTAGTGGATTGGTGGGTGAGTGGCACGGGCTAGAGATTAACTGATATGGTACAGGATGTGGAGCTGATTGGACTTGCCGAAGACTGGTACCAGCAGTGTCTAGGTCGGCCTCTATGAAGGAGGCTCGTGAAGGTCGCTACCAGGCAGTTAGAGATTATCACCTTCCAGCAACGATGCGAGGCCAAGGAGCAACGCTCACAATGAGCGGAGCGCCGGTAAGCTGGTACAGTAAGGGGCACAGGTGGTGATGCATCTGCCAGTCATCTCACTTAACCACCCCTCACACCTGGGTCTGTACGTATGTTGAACTTCTTTCGCACCGTACATAGCCAACTGTGCTAATTGGAGGTGCGGGACCTCCTGCCAGCAAGTCTGAGACTTCAATGTGTACCTAGCTTGTAATCAGCACTGTGGGGGCATCACCAATTAGTGACGTGAGGAAGTTTGTACGTGTGTATCGGAGTATTCATATCATGAGGAATGGTAGTGCAGTGGTTAGTGCACGTGGTTATGGCCAGTCACCCCCTCGTGTGTCGTGCTGGCCTTCATAGTTGCTCCTTAACAGCACTTGCCCCAACAATCTACGAAAAGCTATGCAGGGCATCTTTGTATTTATATCAGAGAAGACTCCGATAAATGAGCCAATGAATAAAAAATAATTTGCATTTACTTGGGAGAGATGGACTTTGTGTCTTTTTATTATTTACATATACCGTAAATGTACATGTGCGTATATACACGTGTATGCGTGTATACACGCGCACGCGTGTGTATACACGTGCGCATGCGTGTGTATACGCTCTCCCCCTCAAGAGTTCTTCTGCCTCTTCCAGAACCTCTTGACGTCCGTGTGCCCGGCGGGAGTGACCACCATGAGCCTGCGAGCAGCACACTCCCACTGTAGCACCCCCAGCTCCTTCGCCCGCACGCACAGCACCTCGTAGTCCGCCTGAGACAGGAACTGGCTGTACAGCACGCCTGGAGTACAGCGTACACACACAGCACGAGTACAGCATACACACAAACAGGACATGTATAGAACACACACACAAGGCATGTGTACAGATAAGACAAAAGATTCCCCGAATAGCCTTAGGAGACTTTTAGAGAAAGTGCTCTTAGTGAGCACCTATGAAGGCCAGCACGGCACACGAGGAGGTGGGTGGCCAGCACCACGCCCAGTGCCTTTGTCTTCCCAGTGGTTATGTTTTCAAAGGTACTTATTTGAGTCTGAGTCGACCTAGAGGAGGCCTAGAACCAGTTCAGAAATCGTCACTGGTGTTGGCCATGAGTGTAAATCACACCCGGGTCGCTGGATTGGTAGTGCAGCACGCTAACTGCTACACATACAGCATGCACATTGCACAAGTGTGAGGAGTGATTCGTGCAATCAAATTCCATGAGTAGCAATGTACATATGGTAATTTGCATTTGTAATCTATAGGTGCTATGTATTTTGTGTGCAGTGATCTGGGAGTAGTATGCACGGGTAGCTATCTATGAGAGTAGTGATTGGTGTAACTTAATCTATGTATAGTGATTGGTGTACAGTAATCCGTGTGTAGTGAGTAGTGTACAGCAATCCGTGTGTAGCAAACATCAGTAGTCGGGAGGGCGTTACCCTCGGTGAAGACGAGTCGGTCTCGTTCCATCTCCCACAGTCTGATCTGGTCTGTGATGGTTGGTGGCAGCACAGGCGTCTACAAAGACAACGACAACTCTGGTGCTCATGTTCTAGGTGGCCTAGAGCCATCGATGAAAATTCCACATCTCCATGGCAAGAATCAGATTTTCTATGCTAGATGACCACCGTTGACTATGTGACGATGATACTCATTTCATTGTCCCTGGATGGAAGATGATGATTATGATGATTGTAGTGAGTGGTAATTATGGTGATGGTGGTAACTGTGATTCCGCATTCCTATGGCAGGGGCGAGACTCTCTATAGGACAACCGCTGTTGACTTCTCCACAACCCACAAAGTTGGTACCCATTTTATCAAACCCCGGAGGGTGATGGGCTGAGTGAACCTCCAACCGGGGTTAGAACTTGCAACCTTGCGATTATAAGCCGCTCGCTCTACCGCTGAGTCATCGGGCAAGTTAATGATGATGGTGGTTGTATGTGGTGGTAGTGGAAATGCTGATGCTGGGTGGAGTCGCAGTGGATGCTCCATACAGCAGGACGCATGACTGTAACCTCCTCTGTGCCATGGCTGGGAAATATCCTTGGATGTGAGAAGACATTTTCACCGCAGGGATATTTTTATTTATAAGGTTATTGCCCTTTATTTGTCTGACCTGTGGTTATTACCGTTAGGAAATCCTAAAAATCTGTGACGAATGTAATTTTACAACAATTATGATAAGTTTGTTTTTTAAATCTGTAACTGTAGAAAGCTTTGATGTTGTCTGCCAGCTAAGTCTCCCCCTTGAAAGAGAGCTTCTTAGCTCAATGGGCTTTACTCTTGGTTCTCATGAAGAGGCGATCCCTGTACCACTGTGCTGTACCCATCCCCCCTGTGTGCACTCACCTGCTTCATCATTTCTGGGTGGGCATGCGTCCTCAAGAAGTGGATAATCTGCATTGACAGATTCAAGGAAGGTTGCATTATCCCTCTGTGTGTGTGCATTAGGCTTATTCGTGTTACAAGTGTTATGGGTTTTAAATGAATTTGAGATTTCTGGATAGCATTGGCTGTATGGCTAGTGCTGTGGTTAGACGAAAGGTTTGTTGTTAGAGATGGGGATTCGGTTAGGGTGAGGATTAATGTTAGGCTTAGTGTTAAGAAAAATAATCTACTGTAGAATTACAATTCTATAATAATGGACGATATCTTTACAAAGACGAAGTTATAAACAAATCTTCTTTGGGTCTTTCGGTAAAGTCACGTAGAATGAGAATAAAATAATAAATTGATAAAATAAAATAACACAATAATATTCTCACGACGTTTCGGCCACAACACAAGTGGCCTTCATCAGGTGAAGGGACGAGACTGTCTGGTAGGACAGCGCTGGAGTGAAAGAGCCACGTTCAGATCACGGCCTTTAAGCTGTGTGAGAGGAACAAAGAGTCTTGACAAAGTAATTAGCATATAATTTAGCATTGAAATGGCTGAATGATTAGCTTGTGACTGGTCACAGAAATAGCTATGTTAAAAGTTAAAGCATACACATCCGCAGAGGCACCTCTTGATAAAGGAATTAGCATAGAATTTAGCATTGAAATAGCTGAGTGATTAGCTTGTAACTGGTCACAGAAATAGCTACGTTAAAGTCAGAGCATACACATTCACAGAGGCACTTAGTACAAATCAAACAGGAGAATTTAGCATTGAAATAACTAGGCGAATTTAGCATTGAAATAACTGAGTGATTAGCTAGTGACTGGTCACAGAAATGACTATGTTGAAGTCAAGGCCTACACATCTGAGCTATTCACAGTACTATATAGTGAACCAATAAAAAACTAAAATATAAATTACCTTAATGTTATCAATAAACTCTATATTCTCCAATCAGCTAAGCTACCAACAATAAGTCGTTATATATCACAATGCTATATGGCGAAAAAATGGGTGGATTCTTACCCTCAACTTTAGCACCACGGATAGCTACGGGCCCCGTTCAGACGGACGAGTTCGTCCATGGTCGGAACAGAGGAGGGGGAGAGACAGCTGCGAGGCGCTATTATACTCCATGTTGTAAAACCATACCATTAACCGTGGTGTGAGAGGTATTAAGAGTCAATGCTGGCGAAGGAGCTGCGGTCTGAAGGTCATCGTAAAAATACAATTAATTAAGAACAGAAATGATTTAAAACATCTTTCCAGTGGTTACTAAGCCAGAATCCATCTTCTCGGTTGAAATTGTCTCTGTGCTTGTATATGTGAATGGCCTCATGAACGAATCTCTCATGGTAGCCGGTTGGTTTGCAAAGAACCTCCGTCTTGGAGAAGTCAATGTCATGTGAGCCCACTGAATTATAACAGTGATCTGCCACGGCAGAGGAGTTCGTCCTACCGTGTTTCAAGTCTGCTTTATGTTCGCGGATGCGGTCCGAGATATGTCTTTTGGTTTCTCCAATGTAGCTACTACCACAGAGGCACTTTAGTTTGTAAACGCCCGGGTACTGTATGTCTGGAACAGCATCTTTTACAGATGGAACTAAATCACGGATTTTATGTACTGTGTTGAATCGGACCTGGATCTTGTGTTTATTCAGGATTTTGGAGATCTTTTTAGTGACCCCTGCAATGTAGGGTAAGGTGATGGTTTTGAGTGGCTCCACAAGAGGATCCTTCTTCATGACTGGAGTGATGGCTTTGCGGATTGTGTAGTCGGAGTAGCCATTAGCCCTGAGAGCCTGGTGTACGTGCTTGAGTTCACTGGTAATGTGTTCCTGGTCGGAAATGCATTGGGCTCTATGGTATAGAGTCTTGATGAGGGAGTTCTTCTGGGATGGATGGTGGTGGGAATCCGGTTTCAAGTAAGCATCTGTATGGGTAGCTTTCCTGTAGACAGAGTGGCTCATTGAACCATCACGTCTCCTTTTAATTAAGACATCCAAAAAGGGTAGTTTGCCATCTTTTTCGACCTCCATGGTAAATCTGATGGCTGGGTGTATGGAATTGATGTGGTCGTGGAATTGGTCTAGAGCAGGCTGGCCATGTGGCCAGATGACAAAGGTGTCATCAACGTACCTCTTCCATAAGGTCGGGCGTAGAGTGGCAGTCTGGATGGCGTCAGTTTCAAATTTTTCCATGAATACGTTGGCTACAACCGGAGATAGGGGCGAGCCCATTGGGGTGCCCTCAGTTTGTTTGTAGAAAGTTCCATTCCAGGTGAAGTATGTGTTGGTTAAGCAATGTCTCACCAGGGGGGGTACATCAGTATGCAGTCCTTGATGAACCAGGTCTTCAATGATAGCGATGGTGTCAGGTACCGGGACTTTGGTGAACAAGGATACCACATCAAAACTGACAAGCAGGTCGTTCGGGGACAGGGAAATGCCTTTGATTGTCGATACCAGGTGAGTAGAATTTAGTACCGCAGAGGTGGTTTTCCAGTGAAAGGTCGCAGTATATCAGCAAGAAAACGTGCCAGTTTGTAGGTGGGGGAGTTGATAGTAGAGACGATGGGACGAAGGGGTGTATCTTCTTTGTGTATCTTTGGAAGGCCATTAAATCTTGGTGGCCTGGCAGCAGAGGGTTTCAACGAGAACTGTTTGATCTCATCAATTAATGCTGTTGAATCAGAGATGATTTTGTTCGTTTTGGTGACCAGGCTGTTGGTGGGATCTCTTTTTATTTTTGTATAGCTGCCATCGTTGAGTAGTTCTTGAATTTTGTTGTTATATTCTGTTTTGTCCATGATGACAGTGGCATTGCCTTTGTCGGCTGAGAGGACGACAATATCATACCTCTTTTTTAATTGAGATAATTCAAAACGTTCGTCTTTGCTGATGTTGCTGGGTGGCAACTTAGCGTTTTTGAGGGTTGCAGCGATTTCAGATCTTGCTACGTCTGCAGAGATGTGACTCAAGCCCTTGAGTGCAACGTCGACATGGGCAATGATATCATTAACCGGTAAGTGTCTCGGTGTGACAGCAAAGTTTAGACCTTTAGCTAAAACGGATTTCAGACCATCAGAAATGGTTACTGCGATTAATTACGACTTTGTTGACGTCTATCTTTTCGGTGTGTGGATCCGATTTTTTGCTGGAGAGGTGATTGAATTTGGAAATCAAATTGTCCCTACATTTGTTCGACATAGTGGCAGCCGAAGAGGTAGTCATATTGTCTACATGTTCCCAATCCGATGTAGACATTGTTTTAGCCACATGGCCAGCCTGCTCTAGACCAATTCCGCGACCACATCAATTCCATACACCCAGCCATCAGATTTACCATGGAGGTCGAAAAAGATGGCAAACTACCCTTTTTGGATGTCTTAATTAAAAGGAGACATGATGGTTCAATGAGCCACTCTGTCTACAGGAAAGCTACCCATACAGATGATTACTTGAAACCGGATTCCCACCACCATCCATCCCAGAAGAACTCCCTCATCAAGACTCTATAGCCAGAGCCCAATGCATTTCCGACCAAGAACACATTACCAGTGAACTCAAGCACGTACACCAGGCTCTCAGGGCTAATGGCTACTCCGACTACACAATCCGCAAAGCCATCACTCCAGTCATGAAGAAGGATCCTCTTGTGGAGCCACTCAAAACCATCACCTTACCCTACATTGCAGGGGTCACTAAAAAGATCTCCAAAATCCTGAATAAACACAAGATCCAGGTCCGATTCAACACAGTACATAAAATCCGTGATTTAGTTCCATCTGTAAAAAGATGCTGTTCCAGACATACAGTACCCGGGCGTTTACAAACTAAAGTGCCTCTGTGGTAGTAGCTACATTGGAGAAACCAAAAGACATATCTCGGACCGCATCCGCGAACATAAAGCAGACTTTAAACACGGTAGGACGAACTCCTCTGCCGTGGCAGATCACTGTTATAATTCAGTGGGCTCACATGACATTGACTTCTCCAAGATGGAGGTTCTTTGCAAACCAACCGGCTACCATGAGAGATTCGTTCATGAGGCCATTCACATATACAAGCACAGAGACTATTTCAACCGAGAAGATGGATTCTGGCTTAGTAACCACTGGAAAGATGTTTTAAATGATTTCTGTTCTTAATTAATTGTATTTTACGATGACCTTCAGACTGCAGCTCCTTCGCCAGCACTGACTCTTAATACCTCTCACACCACGGTTAATGGTATGGTTTTACAACATGGAGTATAATAGCGCCTCACAGCTGTCTCTCTCCCCCTCCTCTGTTCCAACCATGGACGAACTCGTCCGTCTGAACGGGGCCCGTAGCTATCCGTGGTGCTAAAGTTGAGGGTAAGAATCCACCCATTTTTTCGCCATATAGCATTGTGATATATAACGACTTATTGTTGGTAGCTTAGCTGATTGGAGAATATAGAGTTTATTTATAACATTAAGGTAATTTATATTTTAGTTTTTTATTGGTTCACTATATAGTACTGTGAATAGCTCAGATGTGTAGGCCTTGACTTCAACATAGTCATTTCTGTGACCAGTCACTAGCTAATCACTCAGTTATTTCAATGCTAAATTCGCCTAGTTATTTCAATGCTAAATTCTCCTGTTTGATTTGTACTAAGTGCCTCGGTGAATGTGTATGCTCTGACTTTAACGTTGCTATTTCTGTGAGCAGTTACAAGCTAATCACTCAGCTATTTCAATGCTAAATTATATGCTAATTCCATTGTCAATCATTCAGCCATTTCAATGCTAAATTATATGCTAATTCCTTTGTCAAGGCTCTTTGTTCCTCTCACACAGCTTAAAGGCCGTGATCTGAACGTGGCTCTTTCACTCCAGCGCTGTCCTACCAGACAGTCTCGTCCCTTCACCTGATGAAGGCCGCTTGTGTTGTGGCCGAAACGTCGTGAGAATATTATTGTGTTATTTTACTTTATCAATTTATTATTTTATTCTCATTCTACGTGACTTTACCGAAAGAACCAAAGAAGATGAATCATTGCAGTCACGAAAGCTTTAAATCGAAAATTATAAACAAATATCAATATATGCAATAATGCAAAGTGAGTAAGACTAAGCCGCCTTAGGGTTAAAAGTTAAAGTCAAAAACTCGAGAGCAAGTTAAGAGGAAAATCCGCGAGTAACCACATTGAATGTGCGCACGTCTGAATGCGTGTACAGTAATTCCCCATTTTACGCGTGTCGTTCACACTGTGTTTTTGCGTACTGCTGGCAGCTGTTACTGTAGTACTGGTACTGTAGTACTAATGCGCACTGTGTATGTGTACCCGTGTCTCTGTGTGCGTGTAACTGTGTCTGTGTGAGTCTACCCGTCTCTGTGTGCGTGTAACCATGTCTCTGTGTGCATCTACCCGTGTCTCTGTGTGTGCGTGTACCCATGTCTCTGTGTGTGCATGTACTCATGTCTGTGTGAGCGTATACCCATGTCTCTGTGTGTGCGTGTGCCCTTGTCTCTGTGTGCGTGTGTACTCGTGTCTCTGTGTGCGCGTGTGCCCGGTCTCTGCGTGCGCGTGTGCCCGGTCTCACCTGTTCAGCCGTGATGCCGTTAGCAATGGCCTGCTGCACGCTCTCCCTCGTCACCTGCGCCACCACGAGGTTGGGGAAGCGGTAGAGCATCTCACAGAACAGAGCCACCAGGGCCACCTGTAGCTCCGAGTCTAAGACAGCCACACACAAAGATAAGATCACCCCTATTAGCATTTATAACAGACTCATGGGGATAGTGCTGTTAGCGAGTCGTGCCTATGAAGGCCACCATGGCACACAACGGGGTGGGTGGCATGTACCATGTCTGCCTGGCCACCTTTGTCTCCTTAGTGGCGAATTTTACACACAGCACAAGTAACTCCCTAGTTGCAGTGTGTAAACGTTCGCCACTCGGGAAGCAAATGAAAACAGGCGTGGTGCTGGCAACCCACCCCCTCGTGTGCCGTGCCGGCCTTGAAAGGTGCTGCTACTTGCGAACAGCACTTTCCCCAACATAAACCACACACACACCCAGCAAACAAAACGGTTACAACAGTGGTCGCCATTCACCACCGAGTGACGGCGCCATCACTGCGGCTCGTGCCAGGCTAGGTGCGTGCTCTGTACCCGTGTAAGCGTAGACTCGGTAGTTGGTTTCCACGACGAGGTATCCTTGCTGGTGAACGTCCGTGCTGCCCTGGGAGATTCCTGAGGCGAGGTTGATTGCGAGACGGGTTGGGTAGTAGCGGCGAGACTTGCGCTGTAAGGAACAGCATGGCCTCAAACTACAGCAGAGTAGCGGCAGCAACGGAAGCGGCAACAGTCATAGCAGCAGCTGACGACACCACATGGAGAGGTTCAAGAGGGACGTACATTTGGGCACACCGTGCGAGCAGAGGATGCTACACAAGACAAAGATACCCCCCCCCCTCCCCCGGTATACCCTTAACAGACTTGGAGCAAGTACTGTTAGCGAACAGCACCTATGAAGGCCGGCACGCCACACGAGGGGGTAGGTGGCCAGCACCAAGCCTGACCGCCTTTGTCTCCCTAGTGGCAATGTTTAGACATCACACCAAGGCCCACGCCTTTTAAAACACCTTACTCTCATCTATATATCTGTCCACAGCCTTTCCCTGCCTTGTTTCGCCTATCTCACCCCTTTTTATGCTCCCCCTCATATTTGTTCACAATCTTCCATCTCTCTGTCCCTCCTCCTCCTCCCTGTGCCAAATCCCGTTTTTGGTCCTTCTCCCTCCTTGCACCCTCCACTGGAATCATCTTCCCCTGCAGATTGAGCAGTTCCCCTCCTTAACCTCCTTCTGTTCCTCTCTCAAAGCCTCACCTCTTCTCCATTGCCCATTTCCTTCCTCTTCCCTCCCCTTGCCCCTCGACTCCATCCCTCCCAAGAGCCCTTTTGTGACCCCATATTCCCTCTGCTATGGTCGCTCGGCACTTGTACACCCTTGCCATCTAAATCACTCTATTTTTGTTGCCGCTTCTAAACTCTGTCATAGAGCTCCTAAGCTAAGGCGTTATATAAAATAAGATGATTATTGACAGAGGGGGGATCCACTACCCCACATCAAGTAGAAATTTCCACAATCCCCTTTGTGTGATAGAGACTGACACAAATCCTTTAACGATGTTACCACTAATGTTTTACCTCCTCCTACAATTCTCACACTTCTGCTCTACTTTCCCAACTCCACTGGCTTCCTGTTAACTATCGCTGTCTTTTTAAATGTCTCACTCGTCTACAAACACCACCACAGTCTTTCCCCGCCCACCCCTTATTTTGCTTCTCTCATCTCTTACTACCTCTACGCTCTCAGTCTCCACCGTCACTCTCTATCTCTCCCTCGCCCTGCGCCCAGTTTTGCTCCTCTCTTTGAAACCAACTACCGCTGCAGCACACAGAGCAACGATATTAACTAGAACCTGCTTCCGTTCCTCCCTTACAACAGTCCCCATTCTCTTCTCCCCTAACCCATACTGCTACTGTTACTTCCTACCCCCCAGCTACGACCAGGCCTATCAACACATATCACTACCCCAACCCCTTTCACTACTGCTACTCCCTGCCCCCACCCCCAGCTATGACCAAGCATACCCCAACCTTCCCCACTCCCGCCTGTCCTCCTGTCACCATAACTACACCACCACTTTTAATATCAACCCCACTCTTTATTTTAACCACTATCTTACATACAATTGCATAATTGTAAAAACCTTGGATTAAGGCACTGCTATATAAATATATATAAGATAGGGGCACTAAAGCTGGCCCCAATGGCACCTTTCTCTGGAACACCATCCCAAACTCGCGAAGGTGTTGAAGGAAGTTGAGCAATGACTCACTCATCCCCTCCACAGAGTAGTCCTGCAAAATGTAAGTACAGAGAAACAGCGACACGCACGGAAACACGGTAAGACAAAAATAAAAACCAATAGTGATGCAGTGAGACACAAAGACAAAGATCCCCAATATAGCCTTTAACAGCGTGTTGGGGAAAGTGCTGATAGTGAGCTCCTATGAAGCCTGACACAGCACATGAGGGGGTGGGTGGCCAGCACCACGCCTGGCCGCCTTTGTCTCCCGTGTAGGGACGTTTACACATTGCACCAAGTACTCATTTGAGGCAAAGTCGACCTAGGGGAGGCCCAGGACCGGTAGAAATAATCGCTATCACTGGTGTTCGTGTTGGCCGTGAGAGGGAATCGAAATCAGGTCGCCAGGTTCATCGAGCAGCGCTCTAACCAATACACTATCGCTCATGTGAGACACATAAGATAGAGTTTTACACACGTGGAGACAGTGACACAATGCAGTTAATGGTTGCGAGCCAGAGTGCATCAACCTGCTACACTTGGGAACCCAGTGGGAGCATGGGTGGCTAAAACCCCGATTTGAAACACCACAAGGATTTTTGCATCACTTGCTCGGTGTCTCTGACGCGACCATTATGAAGCGTCTGAGAGCAAGAGACATGCAAACCCAGGGCTTGAACCTTAAATCCAGGATCTTAGAGCAGCACCGGTTGCATGTTTCTGACCCTGAGCTACCGGACAACCTCAACTGCCATATTTGTCAATGTAAAGTTCAATGCATGGTAAGTCCTTACTTAACGCGTGGTGTTCATAACACGTTTTTGCTATCACGTGGTTTTTCCATCAGAAAACACTTTTTGGATGACGCAAAATGTGCACCGTTATAATGCGGAACGTGTACCGTTAAAACATGAATTCTGAGCGGACGACAATGGGACTACTTTTTTGAGCTGCGTGGCTGAACGGTAGTGATACAGTACATGGAATAATACAGTAACACGGCTGCGTACCCTCAGTTATTTGTCCCTCCATCTTGCTGTGGGTGTGTACTGTGTATTTTGCCAAATTTTACCATTACGTTGAGGAGAAATTGTTTCCGCTTAACGCGGCATTTTTCAGGAACACATCTCCCATGTTAAATGAGGACACTCTACATCCACTCGTTGCTTCCACAAAGGAGTTTTAAATTTGCCTACAGGAACAGCAGTGCCACTCGGGCCACCATATAATCATTAGTAAATAATTATTTACTGTTTAAATCATGTGTCGGTACGATCGGCGAACGGTAGCTCAATAAATTTGGCACGAAACCGCAAAACCACAATAGCTAAACCCCTGAGAGGGGTTTGCCGTATGATAGAACAAATGAGACAGACCATAGAAACAAGACAGAGTTGTACAGACAAAACTGTGCAAAATAATGTTCTTATATGGATTTTTGACCCCCGAATCGTGAGGATTCATCCGATCGCTGGGGGGCTGTGCGAGCGTTGGTGGGGTGGGTCTGCCCTCTACCTCCAAGTCAATGTATGGGACTCACTTTCCCAAGGGTGGAGAAGCTCAGTTGAAACAGGAAGGACAATATTTCCACCAAATCCATGCCTCTGGTCTAGAGACAACAGTGACAAGACAAGATTAAACAACAACAGCTGCTATTCCAAATAAGTGAAGTCACTGCGGTGCTTGTGCCAGGTTACTTGCACTTTTGAGCCCACATGAAGTGTGGAATGCTGGGCGCTGTTTGCGAGTAGCACCTATCAAGGCCGGCACAGCACACAAGGGGGTGGGTGGCCAGCACCACACCCCGCCACCTTTGTCTACCCAGTGGCAATGTTTACATATCACACCAGCTACTCATTTGAGCCGACCTACGGGAACCCAATTCCGGTTGAAATATCACTCGTCATTGATGTTAGCCACCATTAGTAATTCAACTGTGGTAGCCATGTTTATAGTGCAGTGCACTAGCCACCGGCCCCACATACATGCATGCATGCACACCAACAAAGCCAAATATTCATCGTATAGCCTTCACAGACTGTAGGAGCAAGTACTGTTAGCGAGCACCTACAATGGTCGGTATGACACATGAGGGGGTGGGTGGCCAGCACCACGGCCGGCCACCTTTTTCTCCCAAATGACAATGTTTACAGAGCACCAGGTACTCATTTGAAGCTGAGTCGACCTAGGGGAGGTCCAGGATCGGTTCAGTTAATAGTCACTGGTGTTGACTGTGAGCAGGATTGAAACCTGCATTGTATGTATGTTGAACTTCTTTCTTACCCTCCGTAGCCAACCGTGCTAATCAGAGAGTTGCCGGGTTCATATCGCAGCACACTAACCATGACCGCTCCCCACCATGCACACACAGACACCCTCTCTCCCATGCACACGGATACTCACCTCCGTGGAGTTCAGGTACTGCAACATGAAGTACCAAACTTGTGAGGCTGTGTCGAGCAGCAGGAACTGAAACCCGGCCGAGGTGATGCATGGTGGCTCCCCAGTTTCACTACACGGGGACGCACCACCCGGGGGGAGGGGTGGGGAGACTTAGGCGACGGCATGCATCTCACGGCGATGGTCAGTATGAAATTACACATACAGCAAACCCTTGCCCACCGTTGGTCTGGTTATTTTCTTAAACTAACTGCAATCGGAAAATCAGCGATCCGCAAACTCAAAGGCATTGTATGGAAAACTAGAGTTTGGTTGATGGTTAATAATTTGAAACCTCCTCCTTTTGTTTTACGTTACCCTACATCAACCCAAACATTAAACAGGAAGTATGTGGAATGTAAAATATGATTAATATCTTCTCGTATTCAATATAACATATATGGTAAATGTATACAATTAAAAACAATTGTGTAGTCTACATTACAGCACACATATCCGAGTACAGTACTGTACACTACAGGAAGAAAAATCGTGGATGGCTGAACCTCACTGGAAGCTGGGAACACGTGACCTGGGACCCGCGATGGGCCGCTTGGGAGACAAGACGGCTAGGTGTGTTGTTCCGCAACAGCATCATCGCGAACAGTGCAGTAACGATGCGAACAGGAAATTCGCGTTCAACCGTGAATGGTCGAACTGCCACAGGGGGCGTGATCGGTGAACTTTACTTCAATTAATTTGGCGTGAAACTGCAAAACGGTGATAGCTAAACCCGCGAAAAGGAAGGGTTTGCTTTACTCAACAGCCTCCAGTCCGTTCGTCCATCGCTTTAGTGGCGAGATGCTAACTACCTCTCCTGGTATTTTTGGAGGTCGTGATTTTGATCCTTGACACCTGTACATGTGGAGTTTGCATGTTCTCCCCGTGGTTGGATGGATTTTCTCCTGGTCCTCCGATTTTTCCCTTCACATTTAGAAACATGTGTTCAGAGTATAGGCGACCCTAGAACCTACGACCTAGTTAGGTCCTGGATGACGGTCGCAAGTAGAGCTTTCCGAAGTTGAACCCTTATTTCCCATAAGCGCAATGTTATAAGTTGGGGTTCCGTTCCTGGAAACCCATTACATACCATAAGTACCAAATTTACCACGAAAATAAATGAAAATAACCCTAACAAAAATTTATTGTAACCTAACATAACTTTTATAAACAGTAAAAACACTTACATTTGAACATCCTGAAGTACTTTTCTGCATATGCATCACAAAAAAGTGAAGAGCGTTGCAAAAGAGATGCGTTTGGTCTAAGTGCAGCGCCAGTAGTAGTCGTTAGGCGGTTGTAGACACGAGTTTTGGTCAAGACTGTGAGGGTCTTAATTATTATAAGAAAGGTCATAAGAGCGGGGGGGCGCAAGTCGAGCCGTCGAAAGTTGGGGGTCACCTGTATTTGGCTGCTATAAATTTCCACATAAGCCACGACGCTGAACTATCATTTGTGGCCATGTTGCTTCTGAAAAAGAGCTATATAGCTCAGGGGGCTTTACCTGGTAAAATGAAAATTGTTTAGTTTTAGCATCATTTCTAAATGACAGGGTTCCGTTAGTCAAAATATCTATACTGTAATTAAAAATAATTATGTGCTCTAGTAGAGCTTCGTGGGTAATTAAATCAATCTAATTCCATTCTGTATCTCTACTCCCTTCTTGGCCATTGTCCATAAATCTGCTCTTTATTTAACTGATCTGTGATTACCATTTGGACAATGATATGAATCTGCGAAGCACATCTGATTGTCTATTTATAGTTCCCAGATTTCCCAAGCAATTTGGATAACAAGTATTTAATGCAGCTGCCCCAAAGTTTTGGAACCTCTTGGCATCTCCAATATGCCATCTCTCTCTTCATTTAAACTATCATTAAAATGACTAAAGCTCAAGTGTGAATGTAATTTTAGAACATATTTGCTTTTAATAAGTTTATTTGTTTTTTTAATCTGTAAATTGTGGAATGTTTTGATATTTCGATTTAAAGCTTTCGTGACTGCAAGGATTCATCTTCTTTGGTTCTTTCAGTAAAGTCACGTAGAATGAGAATAAAATATTAAATTGATAAAATAAAATAACACAAATTCTCACGACGTTTCGGCCACAACACAAGCGGCCTTCATCAGGTGAAGGGACGAGACTGTCTGGAGGACAGCGCTGGAGCAAACAAAGCCACGCTCAGATCGCGACCTTTAAGCTGTGTGAGAAGAAACAAAGCGCTTTGACAAAGGAATTAGCATAGAATTTAGCATTGAAATTGCTGAGTGATTAGCTTGTGACTGGTCACAGAAATGGCTATGTTAAAGTCACAGCATACACATCCACAGAGGCACCCCTTGACCTTGGAATTAGCATAGAATTTAGCATTGAAATAGCTGAGTGATTAGCTTGTGACTGGTCACAGAAATAGCTATGTTAAAGTCAGAGCATACACATTCACAGAGGCACCTAGTACAAATCAAACAGGAGAATTTAGCATTGAAATAACTAGGATAATTTAGCATTGAAATAACTGAGTGATTAGCTTGTGACTGGTCACAGAAATGGCTATGTTGAAGTCAAAGCCTACACTTCTGAGCTATTCACAGTAACTGGGTATACACTACACTATATAATGCATACTATATAGTGAACCAATAAAAAAACTAAAATATAAATTACCTCAATGTTATCAATAAACTCTATATATTCTCCAATCAGCTAAGCTACCAACAATAAGTCGTTATATATCACAATGCTATATGGCGAAAAAATGGGTGGATTCTTACCCTCAACTTTAGCACCACGGATAGCTACGGGTCCCGTTCAGACGGACGAGTTCATCCATGGTCGGAACGGAGGAGGGGGAGAGAGACAGCTGCGAGGCGCTGTTATACTCCATGTTGTAAACCATACCATTAACCGTGATGTGAGAGGTATTAGAGTCAATGCCAGCGAAAGAGCTGCGGTCTGAAGGTCATCGTAAAATACAATTAATTAAGAACGGAAATGGTTTAAAACATCTTTCCAATGGTTACTAAGTCAGAATCCATCTTCTCGGTTGAAATTGTCTCTGTGCTTGTATATGTGAATGGCCTCATGAACGAATCTCTCATGGTAGCCGGTTGGTTTGCAAAGAAGCTCCGTCTTGGAGAAGTCAATGACATTGATATATACAAGCACAGACAAGCAGAGACAATTTCAACCGAGAAGATGGATTCTGGCTTAGTAACCATTGGAAAGATGTTTTAAATCATTTCCATTCTTAATTAATTGTATTTTACGATGACCTTCAGACCGCAGCTCTTTCGCTGGCATTGACTCTTAATACCTCTCAGACCACGGTTAATGGTATGGTTTACAACATGGAGTATAACAGCGCCTCGCAGCTGTCTCTCTCCCCCTCCTCCGTTCCGACCATGGATGAACTCGTCTGTCTGAACGGGGCCCGTAGCTATCCGTGGTGCTAAAGTTGAGGGTAAGAATCCACCCATTTTTTCGCCATATAGCATTGTGATATATAACGACTAATTGTTGGTAGCTTAGCTGATTGGAGAATATACAGAGTTTATTGATAACATTGAGGTCATTTATATTTTAGTTTTTTATTGGTTCACTATATAGTATTCATTATATAGTGTAGTGTATACCCAGTTACTGTGAATAGTTCAGATGTGTAGGCTTTGACTTCAACACAGCCATTTCTGTGACCAGTCACAAGCTAATCACTTAGTTATTTCAATGCTAAATTCTCCTAGTTATTTCAATGCTAAATTCTCCTGTTTTATTTGTACTAGGTGCCTCTGTGAATGTGTATGCTCTGACTTTAACTTAGCTATTTCTATTTAAAGCTTTCGTGACTGCAATGATTCATCTTCTTTGGTTCTTTCGGTAAAGTCACGTAGAATGTGTTGTGGCCGAAACGTCGTGAGAATATTATTGTGTTATTTTATTTTATCAATTTATTATTTTATTCTCATTCTACGTGACTTCATCGAAAGAACCAAAGAAGAAAGCTATTTCTGTGACCAGTCACAAGCTAATCACTCAGCTATTTCAATGCTAAAGTCTATGTTAATTCCTTTGTCAAGGGGTGCCTCTGTGGATGTGTATGCTGTGACTTTAACATAGCCATTTCTGTGACCAGTCACAAGCTAATCACTCAGCTATTTCAATGCTAAATTCTATGCTAATTCCTTTGTCAAGGCGCTTTGTGTTTTCTCACAGCTTAAAGGTCGCGATCTGAGCGTGGCTTTGTTCGCTCCAGCGCTGTCCTCCAGACAGTCTCGTCCCTTCACCTGACGAAGGCCGCTTGTGTTGTGGCCGAAACGTCGTGAGAATTTTATTGTTATTTTATTTTATCAATTCATTATTTTATTCTCATTCTACGTGACTTTACCGAAAGAACCAAAGAAGATGTTTTGATATTGTCTGCTGACCGAGTCTCCTTTAAAAAAGAGCTTCTTGGCTCAATGGGGTTTACTGCATTTCCGACCAGGAACACATTACCAGTGAACTCAAGCACGTACACCAGGCTCTCAGGGCTAATGGCTACTCCGACTACACAATCCGCAAAGCCATCACTCCAGTCATGAAGAAGGATCCTCTTGTGGAGCCACTCAAAACCATCACCTTACCCTACATTGCAGGGGTCACTAAAAAGATCTCCAAAATCCTGAATAAACACAAGATCCAGGTCCGATTCAACACAGTACATAAAATCCGTGATTTAGTTCCATCTGTAAAAGATGCTGTTCCAGACATACAGTACCCGGGCGTTTACAAACTAAAGTGCCTCTGTGGTAGTAGCTACATTGGAGAAACCAAAAGACATATCTCGGACCGCATCCGCGAACATAAAGCAGACTTGAAACACGGTAGGACGAACTCCTCTGCCGTGGCAGATCACTGTTATAATTCAGTGGGCTCACATGACATTGACTTCTCCAAGACGGAGGTTCTTTGCAAACCAACCGGCTACCATGAGAGATTCGTTCATGAGGCCATTCACATATACAAGCACAGAGACAATTTCAACCGAGAAGATGGATTCTGGCTTAGTAACCACTGGAAAGATGTTTTAAATCATTTCTGTTCTTAATTTATTGTATTTTTACGATGACCTTCAGACCGCAGCTCCTTCGCCAGCATTGACTCTTAATACCTCTCACACCACGGTTAATGGTATGGTTTTACAACATGGAGTATAATAGCGCCTCGCAGCTGTCTCTCTCCCCCTCCTCTGTTCCGACCATGGACGAACTCGTCCGTCTGAACGGGGCCCGTAGCTATCCGTGGTGCTAAAGTTGAGGGTAAGAATCCACCCATTTTTTCGCCATATAGCATTGTGATATATAACGACTTATTGTTGGTAGCTTAGCTGATTGGAGAATATAGAGTTTATTGATAACATTAAGGTAATTTATATTTTAGGTTTTTTTTATTGGTTCACTATATAGTACTGTGAATAGCTCAGATGTGTAGGCCTGGACTTCAACATAGTCATTTCTGTGACCAGTCACTAGCTAATCACTCAGTTATTTCAATGCTAAATTCGCCTAGTTATTTCAATGCTAAATTCTCCTGTTTGATTTGTACTAAGTGCCTCGGTGAATGTGTATGCTCTGACTTTAACGTAGCTATTTCTGTGAGCAGTTACAAGCTAATCACTCAGCTATTTCAATGCTAAATTCTATGCTAATTCCATTGTAAAGGGGTGCCTCTGCGGATGTGTATGCTTTAACTTAGCTATTTCAATGCTAAATTCTATGCTAATTCCTTTATAAAGGGGTGCCTCTGCGGATGTGTATGCTTTAACTTTTAACATAGCTATTTCTGTGACCAGTCACAAGCTAATCATTCAGCCATTTCAATGCTAAATTATATGCTAATTCCTTTGTCAAGGCGCTTTGTTCCTCTCACACAGCTTAAAGGCCGTGATCTGAACGTGGCTCTTTCACTCCAGCGCTGTCCTACCAGACAGTCTCGTCCCTTCACCTGATGAAGGCCGCTTGTGTTGTGGCCGAAACGTCGTGAGAATATTATTGTGTTATTTTATTTTATCAATTTATTATTTTATTCTCATTCTACGTGACTTTACCGAAAGAACCAAAGAAGATGAATCATTGCAGTCACGAAAGCTTTAAATCGAAATTTTACACTCCTGATTCTTAACTTCTGATTACCAACTGCAGTCTAAATAATTGATACAAAATTATACAAAATGGTTTAGATAAGGGATGATGATGAAGATGATAACGATGGCGGGCACTCACCTGCGCATGAGTCCAGCTTTGATGAGCAGCTGGGCAACGTCTGCACTCACCTCGGCTCCGGGTGACCCCACCATGAAGTGGAGGATCACCTATGGGGGGAGGCACCGAAACCCACCATGCGCATCACAACAACAACCGCCCTTCCCTACACAGTGACGGTGACGTCACTTTGAGACCATCATGTGAAGTGTCAAACGCCCGCTGGCAAGTGGTCACAGACCTAGGTGCCATGGATTGACTAAGATGACTGGCACATGCACCACCTGTGCACCCACTGTGCCAATTTTCTGCGTTTTAGCCGCCTGGGTGCGCCGCTCATTGTTGTGAGCATTGTCCATTTGCCCTCCGCTGTTGTTGGAGGGCGACTGCCTCCAACTGCCCAGTAGCATCCTTCACAAGCCTCTTCCATTTTATCATTACAAGCATCGAGCCCACATTGCCCAGTTTCAAAGACAATGCATACATTATTATCAAAGTGCTTGTTTGCATGGTTTACCACAGGCATGATGTGCGGCTAATGCAGACTTGATGCCTTGCAATAGGTATCTATTTAGTGTTTGAACATCTTTACACCTTCTGTTTTATTGCCGGAAAGGGTAAAGCCTATTCCTATTTTTATCATTTTGATATACCAGAAAAAAGGATCCCGTAGATACATATATCATGGGTTTAAGAAATTATTTTAATAAATTAATGAAATGTATCGTTACATGACTCGTGTTTATGCTATTGGTACTGATACTGCTGATTATGATAATGCTGCTGCTACTGATGATGAGACAATACCTCCCATCGCTCCAGGGCGTAGCGGTCTAACGATGTCACATCGCGAGCATGCTTGTCTGGGCCCAGTCCAGTCGTGTCATCGGACCAAGGGTTACCACTGTGTGCACATAGAGGAGCACAAAGACAAAAAACCCTCAGATAGCCTTAGCAGACTGTTGGGGCAAGTGCTACTAGCAAGCACCTAGGAAGGCTGGCATGGCACACGAGGGGGTGGGTGGCCAGCACCCTGCCCGGCTGCCTGTCTCCAAAGTGGCAATATTTACACACCGCACCAGGTACTCATTTCAGGCCAAGCCGACCTAGGAGAGGCCCAGAACCAGTTCAAATATCCACCACTGTTATTGGTCGTGAGCGGGAATCGAATTTGGGTGGCCGGGTTCGTGGCGCAGTGCACTAACTCTTGTGTCACCTCTCCCCCCATTGGGGAGCACACCGACATTAGCATGGTTGACTATGTAAAGTACCACAGAAATTCAACATACATACATGACAGAACTAAAGATGCACACGTATAAACAGATGTAGTGGTGTGCAAGTTTGTGTGTTGTGTGCGAGTTAGGTTAGTGCGTTTGAGAGTCAGTGTGGTGGTGTATTTGTAGCATGGTAGTTTGTGTGTGAATCTGTGTGGTGGCGAGACAGTGTGGTGGTGTGTGAGCTAGTGTGGTTGTATTTTTTTTGTGTGGTTGTGTTTGTTATTGTGGTGGTGTGCGTGTTAGTGCGGTGATTTGAGTGTTATTGCGTGGTGTGTAAGTGTTATTGTGGTGGTGTGTGTGTTAGTGTGGTGGTATGAGTGTACCCGCCCAGTAGGGCAGTACGCAGGTTCGCTCTGAAGACCGGGTTGAGCACCAGGCCTGGCAGCCCCCCGGGGATCACGTGGTCCTGCCACACGCGCAGCTCTCGTAGCAACTGAGCACTCTCCTCATGGGCCCTTACAAAAAGACAAAGATCCCCCATATAGCCTCAACAGACTTTTGGGGCAAGTTCTGTTAGCGAGTAGCACCTATGATGGCCGGCACGGCATATGAGGGGGTGGGCGGCCAGCACCATGCACTACCACCTTGTCTCCCCACTGGTGATGTTAACACACTGCACCGGGTACTCATATGAGGCTGAGTCGATGTAGGGGAGGCTCAGAACCGGTTCAGATAATTGTCACTGGTGTTGGTGGCCGGCAGTGGGAATTGAACTCTGGTCGCCGGGTTTGTGGCACAGTTAAATAAGCGCTATCACTCCCCACACAAAGATAAAATCCCCCCATAGAGCCTTTAACATACTTAGAGCAAATGCTGTTAGTAAGCACCACATATACAGACATATGCACATAGGATGCACAAAGATAAAGATCCCCATATATCCTGAACAGACTGTTGGGGAAAATGCTGTTAGAGGGCACCTATGAAGGCTAGTACGACACAAGAGGAAGTGGATGGCCAGCACCACGCCCAACTGCCTTTCTCTTTGCAGTGGCATTAGCGATATTTTTACACACTGCACCAGATTTTCAATTAAGGCTGAGTCGATCTAGGGGAAACCCAGGACTGGTTCAGATAATCATCACTGGTGTTCACAATGAGTGGGAATCAAACTCGAAATGGAGGGCTCATAACGCAGCATGCTAAGCGCTACGCTACCACTCCCCACAATAGGACGCGCACACAAAAAAACAAAGACACACACCCTACCATGTGTCTACATGTTTCCATTTATCCCTTTTTGCCGGTATCTAAATTATGAAAAAAGAACATGCTTTACCCTTTCTGGCAATAATACAGGTGTTTAAATACCAAATAGACACCTATTGCAAGGGATTATCAAGGGACAATACATACACTATTATCAAAGCATGTTTGTTTGCATGTTTTACCACAAGCATGTGTGGTTAATGTAGACTTGATGCAGCTTTGCAATAGGTGTCTACTTGGTGTTTAAACATCTTAACGCCTTCATTATTGCCGGGTAAAGGGTAAAGCCGATTATTTTTCCATCATGTTCCCATGTCCCTCCTGTGTTCCAATGTGTATCCCCATTACTCTGATGTATTCCCACGTGTTCTCATGCATTCCCATCCCTGGATGTCCCCATGTGTCCCCATGTGTCTCCATGTCTCTGTAGGTCCTCGAGTGTTCCCCATATCCATGTCGTGTCCCCCTTGTCTCCCTGCTCCGTGTCGTCCAGTCTGTTCCCCGTGTCCCCCACACGTACTCATGTGTCTACATCACATCCGTATGTTCTTCCCACGTCCCCCCCTCGCATTCCCTGTGTCCCAGTGGGTAGGAGGAGGTACTTCTGTGCATCCTTGCAGACCCAGGAGTCGATGGCGGCTGTGGGGAGTGGCGTCTCTAGGAAGAGCATTCGCATAACGTAGTTCCTGGCCAGCGGTGACAGCTCTCTGCTCTCTCACACGCGCGTGGGGTCACGAGTAAAATATTCGGAGTTCAGGGGTGCGCGCTTAAGGGGTGCGCGCTTAAGGGGTGCGCGCTCGACCATTCATGGTTGATCGCAAGATTCCTGTTCGCATCGTAACTGCGCTGCTGTGTTGAATCGAACCTGGTTCATAAAATTCGTGATCGGATCCCATCTGTGAAGGATGTGATCCCTGACATGCAATACCCCGGTGCCTACAAACTAAGCTTTGTCTGCGGCAGTAGTTGCATTGGGGAAACTAAGCGACATGTCTCAGACCGTGTTCGTGAACATAAGGCAGATCTGAAACACGGTAGGACCAATACCTCGGCCGTGGCTGATCATTGTTTTAACACTGTGGGCACACACGAAATATATTTTTCCAAGACGAAGGTACTCTGCAAACCCACTGGCTATCAACAAAGATTCGTTCATGAAGCCATCCAGATATATAAACACAGACACAATTTAAACCGAAAAGATGGGTACAAACTGTGCAATCATTGGAAGGACGTTATTAATCAGTTTAAGTCATAACTGGCTGTGATGTTTCCATCCTACCTGCCGATGTTAGCAATTATTTCCGACCCATCTCAAACCTATATAACATCCTGCCTCAGCAGCTCTCCTGCTATATTTTTTCACCTGATGACGATTGCTTGTGTTGCGATCGAAACGTCATATTTTTATTATTTTTCTATCTACGTGGCTTTACCGAAAGACCAAAAGAATATAACTTGTCCAGTAAATGCAAAAGTTATATTTAACATTCGAAAATATGAAGCATATTTTACATTATAAATACTTCCTCTTTAATGTTTGGATTGATGTAGTGCAACATAAAACAAAAGGAGGGTGTTGTCGTATTACGAACAATCAACCAAACTCTCATGTTCCCATTTGAGTTTGTGGATCGCGGATTTTCCGATTTTGGCTATTTTCGATAATGTAACCCCTGCGATGGCCAGGGGTTTGTTCTATTTGGAGTTCAGGGGTGCGTGCTTCAATGACTGGGGTAGAATATTTGAAAGAATCAAGTTCAATGGGCTAGGGGTATGTATTGACTCTTCTGCTTGTTTACCCTGCAGGAGAGTCTCGCAGAGACTCGAGACTTATTCCAGGAGGGTCCTGCCAAGTTTTATCAGTTGGAGACGATGCTGCAGCTGCAGTATAATCCCCCAATGGCGGTATTTGCAGGTAATTTCTCTACATTGGGATGTTTGGCCAATACCAGTTACAGTGTATATACGTTTTTAAGCTATGGAAAGAAATCAGAGAATACTGAGGAAACCTATGCAAAACATGGGAGAAAATTCAAACTCCACATTGAAAATTGCTCTGGTCAAGGAATCCAACTGTCGCACTTCTTCCTGAGGTCACAGTGCAGTACTGGGTTCAGCAGTAACCTTTAACACAAATTAGACAATACACGACGTAAAGAAATCACGAACATACTGTACGTAAATAATATATTGTACTCGACAGTAGGGTACATTTGTTTATGCGCGACGCAAAGTGGTTCATGTAGAGGGTTAGGCTGAGGCGACGGGACGACGCTGACGATGTCGTCAGTATCGTGCGGGTTGAGGCGACGTGTGGGTTGAAGCGAAGTGTGGGTTGAGGCGACGTGAGTGTGGGTTGAGGCGACGTGAGTGTGGGTTGAGGCGACGTGCGTGTGGGTTGAGGCGACGTGCGTGTGGGTTGAGGCGACGTGAGTGTGGGTTGAGGCGACGTGCGTGTGGGTTGAGGCGACGTGCGTGCGGGTTGAGGCGGCGTGTGGGTTGAGGCGACGTGAGTGTGGGTTGATGCGACGTGCGTGCGGGTTGAGACGACGTGAGTGTGGGTTGAGGCGGCGTGTGGGTTGAGGCGACGTGAGTGTGGGTTGAGGCGACGTGAGTGTGGGTTGAGGCGACGTGAGTGTGGGTTGAGGCGGCGTGTGGGTTGAGGCGACGTGCGTGTGGGTTGAGGCGACGTGCGTGCGGGTTGAGGCGGCGTGTGGATTGAGGCGACTTGAGTGTGGGTTGAGGCGACGTGCGTGCGGGTTGAGGCGACTTGAGTGTGGGTTGAGGCGACGTGAGTGTGGGTTGAGGCGACATGAGTGTGGGTTGAGGCGACGTGCGTGCGGGTTGAGGCGACGCAAGACAGCCGTGGTGGTGGTTGTTAAGTGACGAATTTGCAAAACGATGTAAAAGGAGACCTAAATCGGAGTATTTCTGTACAACCAAAAACCAGACATGTGATCCTCTAAAGAACGAGTAGCGAAACTACACGAACTCTCTCTGGGGAAGTCCTCTCGTCGTGGACTAAGCAGAGATCTCGCCTTTACTTATAAGTTGTTATTGATCTGCCGAAACACAATATATAAGGGACTGTGATAAACAGTGGCAGCCGCTGCCATATACGAGACCCTTTTAGCCGGTACGAAATTCATGAAATGATCAATCGGCTTTACCCGGCAATAAAACAGGATGTGTAAAGATGTTTAAACACCAAATAGACACCTATTGCAAGGCGTTAAATCTACATTAACCACACATCATTTTTGTGGTAAAATATGCAAACAGTTTGATTAACATGCATTGTCCTTAAAACGGATTGGCCTACAACAGAACTACAACCTCCTTTATGGTTAACCTGCTCCGGTGTAGGCCAATCCATTCAATAACAGCCGCCATTCACCACTAAGTGGCGGCGCCGCCACGGTGCCTGTGCCAGGCCAGGTCCACTTTGAGGCCAATCCATACAAACATTGCCATACAACCAGCCAAGAGACCGCGTCAAACGTTCACCACCTGAGCAAGGCGAGGCAGGGGGCCGGGTGCGCGTAGAGGCGGTCGAGCGCCCTCGCCTCCAGGCCGCGCAGGAACTCGTGGAGGTTGCGGCACGCGAGGAGGCCTCGCGACGCCGCGCGCCCCGAGTTGGCGGCCGCCGAGTTGTTGTGGTTCCCCGCGCTCCCTGCGGGGCCCGCACCGGACGACGCCATTGGCAACTGAGGCAGAGGTGGAGGCAGGGAGAGGGGTGGCACGGTGACGTCATGTATCCCGCGCCTGCTCTCACGTCGCCACTTGTGTGACGTCATCGCGCAGGATTGTAAATCAGAATCGGCATCTTTTTCACAGATGTCCAGTAGGGGTTTGGGGTAAGCAAATTACAACAACAAACAACGCAAAACAAGTACACAATTTAGGGAAAGCAAGTCACTATGAAACAATGTATAATTACAAGTACAGAAATTCCTACCGAATTTAAAGCGCGCTGCCCCCGTGTCGGCTATGAGTGGCGTCACGAAATCCCGCGCGCCTGTCGTGACGTCACCGAACAAGTTTGTAGACAATAGGGGTTTTCCCCTTTTTCTAGCAACAAAACTGAAACCTTTTTTTTACAAGGAATCATGTCTGCATTAACCACAATACTTGTGGTCAAAATGCAAACAAAAAACACTCTGATATATGCATTGTCCTTAAAACTGATTGGTCCACACCATGAAGGGGGTAAAAGCGCGGCTCGGGGAAAGTGACGTCCCGAAATATTTTTTTGGGAGGGGTCCCATGACGCAAATTTAATGCAGTACGCGGAACGTCATCAACAGCGGTAGCCCGGTGACGTCACCATGAGGGGATTATACAGTGACGTCACGTGTGTTTGTGTTCACACTTTTCCCACCCAGTGATGGTGCCCAGACACGGATAAGGGGACGTCCACAAATTACGTCACGCACCTAGCGGGGGAGGTCAGACATTTGTGACGATGTGACAAGGGGGGGGGGGGGGTTGAGAAATGTTACGTCACATCAAAATGCGCAACTTTAAATAAATATAGACATGTTCTACTTTATTAAAGACTTTTTAATAAACGTTTTCTCCTATAACATCAGAGTGCAGCGCCACATAAAAAACGCACTACAATGACAATAGTTCAAAGCGATTTGAAGCATGTTTTATTTCAAAATGGAAATATGGTTTGGGGGGGGCAGAGCTTTGTGACGTCATATTTGAAGGGGGGGTCTGACTTTTTGTGACGCCGTGTGACGATGGGGGGGGGGGGGTCAAAAATCGTCCAAAATCGCGTGACGTCATTTATGGACGGTCCCTAAGAACAACTCCACACGTTCGTCGAGTCTTCATATTCAGGAGCTCATTGAATTATAGATTTAAAGCTCATTGATGTCATGCCCCAGCAGGAGCATTAAGATTTTGCCAACTTGTGCCCTTCCATGCACAAAGATCACCTGTATAGTCTGTAACACTGTTGGGGCAAGTGCTGTTTGCGAGCAGCACCTATGAAGCCCGACACAACACACGAGGTGGTGGGTGGCCAGCACCACGCCCGGCCGCGTTTGTCTCCCCAGTGGCGATGTTTACACACCGCACCAGGTACTCATTTGAGGCTGAATCGACCTAGGGGAGGACCGGTTCAGATAATCGTCACTGGTGTTGGCCGTGAGCAGGAATCGAACCCGGGTCTACGTATTTGGAGCGTGGCGCACTGATCGCTCCACCACCGCTTCCCAGCGCAGTGCTGCTCTATACGGTAGACCCCGCTTAGCGTTACTCGAATCAGCGCTAAAATAGGTCATTACAACAGCTGCCATTCGCCACTAAGTGACCGTGACGTCACCACGACACTTGTGCCAGGCTATGTGCACTCTGAGGCCACGTGAAGTGTCGAAGGCTCGCTGACAGGAGGTCAAAGGACAGACCCAGGTGCCAAGAGTTGACTCACTGGCAGATGCACCATATGTCCCAACTTGCTGCTGTGTTTTAGCCGGCCGGCGCTCCGCTCGTTGTGATCGTCGCTCCTCCGCCCTCCGTTGTTGTTGGAGGGCGACTGCCTCCAACAGCCCCGTCGCGTCCTTCACGAGCCTCCTCCAGAGGCTGATCTTGACACCGCTGGTACCATTAATCGGCAAGTCCACTCAGCTCCACGTCTTTCTCTACCGCATCAGTCCATCCCCTCTCCAGCCCGTTCCCGTATACAGTACGGTAAGTACTCATTTAACGGGTGGTGTTCACACAACGCGTTTTTACGATAACGTGGATCTTCCATGAAGAAACACTTTTCGCACAACGCGCACCTTTTAGCACGGTTGGTGAAGTTCAACGTACTACAACATACTGTACCTGTGCCCATTGTAACGTGGCTCGTGAGCGGTCAACGACAAACTACTTGCCTGAGCGGTACAGTGATACTGTACGCGGAATGATACAGTAACGGGAAGGCGACGTACCCACAGTTGTTTGTCCCGCAATCTCGCTGCGTGTGCGAGGTTCATCGTCTCTCACCAAACCTGATCGTCCCATCATTTATGGGGAAATCGTTTTTCGCATGACACGACACGTTTTAGGAACGCATCTCCCGCGTTAAATGAGGACTTACTCTGCACTGCGCGCACGCCGACCGAGTGCCGTGGAGTGCTGTCAAAGCGGCAGAGTCGCCGCTGCAGGTGTCGGGCGCTGTGGTTACCGACACGGGCGAGTGACGACAACAATGTCTGTACAACACACTGAATCACTTGGCTCGCTCTGCACGCATATGAAGATATCCGCAGGAAGTCTGCGTTTATAGTGTTCGCTTTTAAATTGACCGAAATTAGCTGTGCAAATAAGTTTACACCAGCGTGACTCAAAAAAACAGTAAGTCCTCTTGTTTAACGCGGTAGTAAATGCGTCTGTAAAAAAGTGCTGCATTGAAGCGAAAAACGCGTGAAGCAAAAACGATTTTCCCATAAATTATCTAACGATAAAGTTTGGCGAGATTCTCTGTACGCACACACATTGAGATAGCGGGATCAATAACAGGCTATGCGTACTTTATCATTACACGTACCGTATCGTGTTGCTCAGCCGGGCAGCTTAAGAAAGTAGTCGATCGCTCATAAACCGCGTTATAATGGGCGCATTCCGCATTGTGAGAAAATTATTCCCTTGTAGATGAACCGCGTTACAGAGAAAACGTGTTGTGTGAACACCAGGCATTCAGGACTTTATGTAATTCCAATCATGCTCATTGGCTACTTTCCTTTTTCGATGCCCGCATTTGTAATTCATCTGTAATAGCAGGCAATGTAAACTGCTTGAAGCTGTATTTTTTAAAATGCATAGTTTTATGTTGCTTTTGCATGATCAAGTATTTAAAAAAAGAAAAGTCCAATCTGCTCTCATGTGGTTCAATTTGATTGTACCTCCTGTGCTTTCACAATTCTGCTTATGTTTTGAAACGGGTCTCCCTTGAAAACGAGACGTTTATTAAATGTATCAATGGGCTCGTATCATAAACATTATCAGCAGGAGCCGTGATCAATCCACTGCTAGATAATTGCCACCCCCACGTCACTGCCCACTGCCACTGGACATCTGTGAAAAAGAGCTTCATAGATCATCGGATTCTTCCAGGATAAATAAATTAAAATAAACTGCCACCTATTACGATCCTGAGATGCACTAGTACAACCAGCACCACCTGCATGTGAATTGATCTCATCACTGATGGCCTCTGACAAGCTTATAAGTTAAGGTCTTATGTCGAAGATTCATACTAAGAAAGCACAGTACTGTAATCGCATATTTAATGAAGATTATATTTCATCTCAAAGAAACATGATTATCCCAAAAAATTTCGAGTAACCAGAATGATTTACGTTCCAAAAAGAACCCTTAGACATTGTGTATAATCCCTGCTTGTGCAAAATATACTCAAAGGGTATACGTGTTGCTGGTCTTGTGGTTATATCTGTGGAAATACAAATGTGATTGTATTTACTTTCTTTTCTAAGCATAGGCAAATCGCCTTATCCATCCATAGATATTTGGACATACTTGCGTGTTCTGTCAAGTTTACCCAGGGGTTGTAACCGTGACGACTTTGCACACCCTTCCAGTCATCCTGTAATGTTTGTATTTGGTCAAAGGTGGGTTTGCCATGTGCAGAGCGATATATTGCGTTGCAGCACCACGCAGCTTCACAGAGACCCTCACAGCTCAAGGCTTTAAAGCCCAGGACTAAGGACTCGGGACACAATGATCGTGATTCAGAATCATGGCACCGGATTTGCAGCGCAAAAGCTTGGAATTCTTGAACGGTGACAGATCGGCGTTCAGATCAATATCAGGAGTGTATTTCCCATTGAGTAAAGCCCATTGAGCTAAGAAGATCTTTTTCAAGCGCGAAACGGCCAGCAGACATCAAAGTATTCCACAATTACAGATTTTTAAAAACGTAATATAAATTCTGTTTAAAAATTACATTTACACTTTTAATGATCGTTGAAATGAGGACAGATGACGAGACGAAACGAGGTCATTCCAAAACTTTGGGGCAGCTACGTTAAATGCTTTTAAGTGTACTTTTTGTGAAAATTCTGGGAACTATTAACAGACAGACGCGCATCGCAGATTTGTATGATTGTCCAACAGTAATAACAGGTCAGACAAATAGAGAGCAGATATACCGACAATAACCTTGTTGATTAAAATTGCCCTGCGGTGAAAATTGCTTCTCATGTCCAAGGACATGGCACAGAGGGGTCCGATTAGCACGGTTGTCTATGTACGGTGCGAAAGAAGTTCTACATACCGTGCATACATGTATGGAGCATCCACTGTGGATCCTAATGTAGCACGGTAAACCGAGTAAAGTTTGTTTGAATGAACCAAAGGAGGAACCCTATATGCTGCTACATCATAGTAGTCAAATAACGGAATGACTGTCGCTTCAATCATCTGTCTAGACACTGGAATCTGGGATTTCGGGCTGAGAGTCGGACGGCAGAACGTGAGATGAAGCCGGAATCCCAACGTGAGTGACTTCATGCACTGCACCCGTGCGCTCCATGCATCTGTGAATACGATCCGTACCGCGCGGTACTGTATTTCTCGGAAGTAAATTTACCACGACTCATTGCAATTCCAATGATGTATTTTACCTGGTACAGCAAACGGTCTGTTATCTGGCATGTTACCATCCAGCATGCTCTATTAACTGGCATCTGTCATAGATAGGAATACAAATCTTCTTTCACGTATACAGACAAATTCCGACAGCCATCTGGCATCTTGCCGTGCGCTTTTCTATCTGTTGTTTACGGGAGCTTCAGGACACTGCCAAGTGGAGACCTCGCTAGCGCCAGTCTGTACACGGAGTACGGTAACTGCTCTCTATACTTTACTCTCAACGGCCCCACCAGTTCTCGACAATCAACTTAGAATGCTCTACAGCTGACTGGTGAGTACCTCTATAAAATTGTATATGATTCATATTCTTGGTTCTTTCGGTAAAGTCACGTAGAAGGGAAACAATAAAATAATAAAAATATAAAACAATATTTTTATTATGAATCCCTGCAGTCACGAAAGCTTTAAATCAAAATGTATATGATTCTTTGTATAATTTTTAAAATGTAGGCTTAGTTTCTAGAAAAGTTGTATGGTCTTTGACAATTTGTTGAATCATATACATTTTGATTTAAAGCTTTCGTGACTGCAGGGATTCATATTATTGGTTCTTTCGGTAAAGTCATGTAGAAGGGAAACAATAAAATAATAAAAATATTGTAGAAGGGAAACAATAAAATAATAAAAAATATTGTTTTATATTTTTATTATTTTATTGTTTCCCTTCTACGTGACTTTACCGAAAGAACCAAGAATATGAATCCCTGCAGTCACGAAAGCTTTAAATCAAAATGCATATGATTCCTTGTATAATTTTTAAAATGTAGGCTTAGTTTCTAGAAAAGTTGTATGGTCTTTGACAATTTGTTGAATCATAAGTATAACTCTCAGATAACTGGCATATTTGATTAACTGGCACCCTCCATTCCCCATAGATGCCGGACAAGAGCTTTGGCTGTCGTGTTTTGACTCTTGAATAGAGGTTACATGACTAATTGTAATGATGCCGTACATACATATCTCATTTTATCCTTACTGCTTTGTCTGCTTGCCTATTTCTATATTTATAATGTACTTTCATAAATTACGTCCTCGTTTCATGCGGCAGATGCGTTCCTGGAGAAATGAGCGGTAATTCATTATACTCTACCATTGTATACTACATGGGGATGCGTTCCAAACAGTATTGTCTTTTACATTATGAGACCTCCTTTGCCAGTAACAAGATATAGTAATAGGTTTTACCCTTTTAACTTGCACAAAAACTGACACCTTTATTCAAGGCATCATGTTTGCAATAACCACAACACAAGCAGTCAAAATTCAAACAAAAGAGTGCTTGTGTTGTGGTTATTGCAAACATGATGCCTTGAATAAAGGTGTCAGTTTTTGTGCCAGTTAAAAGGGTAAAACCTATTACTATAAGTATTGTCTTTTGTATGAGCAATATTGGTAATAGCGCTAATAATACAGATGGTAAAAATTTAATAAAAATACATCTCTGTGGTGAGGCTTCTTTAAGGTGATTTTTTTGATTTAACAAAAAAAATGTCGTCGTGACCACGATTCGTGATAATCGGATCGCGGGGGGTGGGGTCTGGTTGGCTGAGAGCATCCATCGCTCTCATTGGCTGAGATAATAATGGGGGCGGGTACGTTTCCTCGGCCTGTGCTGCTGCGTGTTCTCATTCGTCAGAACTTTGTCGATAAAGTTTTAATTTAATTTTTTTTTTGTAAAAATGTTCTCCAGGATGAAGAGCGCTCTACGAGGTCACGCTAAGCAAGGTCTGCCTGTATTAGGCAACGTCAGTGCCTTCGGCGCTGACACGAAATAAATCACGTATAACAATGGGTTCGTGAATCGGTCTCTCGGAATTCTGGAGCAACGTTTCCCAGTCTCATTTGCTTGGGCATGAACCCCTCGTTCATCCGCAAGAGTGCGCGTGACCTGTTACCTCCATTGCCGCTAGGATTGTCTCACTTGTCTGTTACCAGCAATTCCAGGGAAGCTAAATTGCAGTCCAGCCACGTTGGTACGACGTTAATATAAGATGTTGTCCTCGTGGATTGCTGAAGCTAGAAATAAACTTTGGGCCAGTTTTGAATTTCTAAGTCTTGCTCCCACCTTGGAGGCTGCACAGCTCAAGTCTTTGTTTATTGTGGTAGTAGTCATCAAGGCGTTTCCGAACAGTGCCGCATTACGCGAAAACAATTACACCTAAATATAACGATACAGTTCGACGAGGTACGATGTACGCTCACAGTGAGATGGCGGGACAAATAACTGAGGGTCTGCCGCGTGACTGCATCATTCCGCATACTCTATCACTGTACCGCTCAAGGAAGTAGTTTGCCGTCGACCGCTCAGAAAGGGCGTTATAACGGGAGCGCTGCGCATTATAATGTACGCGTGCTGCGTTGTGCGAAAAGTGTTCCCAAATGGAAGAGCCGCGTTATAGCGAAAACGCGTTGTGTGAACACGATAATACGGACTTACCATATTATCGTGTAATAGCATGGTGGGTCTTTGATGACTGATATGCGGAGTAGGCCACTGCCTCGTGTGTGTCTTATGAGTTCTCTCTCGTCGATATCCTCCCGTATGCAAGTCAGTGGAACATCGCAGTACGGTAGCGGATATTCAGGTAACACTGCACAGCTGCTCAATAAGTGCTGCTGCTATCATTGCGCTGCTGTTGCAGTTTCAGTTGCAGCTCCCATGCTTTCTGTTTATTGTGTATATTACAAAAGCTTTCACTCAAATTTACGAGGTATGTTTTACTGGTTTTGTTATTCTAAATATTACGTTTTTGGTTGGTTGCAACGGGAGTAAAATTACTCTCAGCAATGCTATGATTAGCAATACTGTGCTGCATTGCTGGCCAAGCAGATACAGTATTGAATTACAGGGCGACTTATAAATATATGGATGTATCTGTGTGTTTAGTATAGCGAGGTAACGCGCTTTGCTACGAAACCAGCTATCCGAGTTCGATTATCGCTCACGGCCACCAACACCAGTGACGATTATCTGAACTGGTCCTGGGCCACCCCTATGTCAACTCAGCCTCAAATGAGTACTTGGTGCGATGTGTACACATTGCCACGAGGGAGACAAAGACGGCCGGGCATGGTGCTGGACACTCATCCCTTCGTGTAGCGTCCCGGCCTTCATAGGTGCTACTTAAAACACTTGCCCCAAAATCCTGCTAAGACTATAGGGGGGGTCTTTGTCACTTCCCCGTTCGAGTTCAACGTTGATAATGTATTCCGCCTGGTGTTGTATGTGTGTGCTATAGAAATAATTTGGATACTTTTTTCATATCAACAGCTAACCTTGAAGCGTAACATGGCACAAATGGCAGTGGACATGCCGGTCTGCAGGTTCCTTCGTCAACACCGCGTGGAGCTGGAAAGCTGCCTGTCCAGAAACCCATTGTCCGTGCTCACACTCTCAGATGAGCGGGGCATAGTTCAGCCCCCAGAGTATCGCACCCTGAACAGTGTGAGAGACCCCCGTGAGCAGATGCGGCAACTGATCGACAGAGTTACTGCCAAGGAGGAGTCGGATTGCCGGAGCTTCGTGGCACACGTGCTCACTCCGCTGTGCTGCACGGTCAGCGGCCTGGACGTGTGGTTCACGCGGAACGAGTCCATGCTGGCCAAGATGGGTTTCCTGTCCGTAGAGAGTGAGTGCCCTGGGGGTCTGAACGGTAGCACGCATTACGGGGTGTGTGTGTGTTCAGAGTATCTTGCCAAACTTTATCGTTACATTATGGGAAATGTTTTTGTTTTTGCATTTTTGCACGCAACGCAGAACTTTTTAGGAACACATCTACCACGTTAAACGAGGAATAATTTTATATATTCTTTCGTACGTTAACTTGTTTATTGAAATCTACATCTCGTTGTGGATTAGGTTGCATTTTGAAAACCTACAAAGAATACTTGAAGGAAAGGACTTCGATCATGAGAAGCTATGATGCCAGGCCCACAGAGCACAGTTGCATCAAAGAGCGGTGTGTGGAGCCCATCTTGGTGACTTATGATTACGTGGATGAAAACAAACAACACGAGAGTGAAGTCAGACTCAACGCACACGAGAACATTGTACAGCGAATGAAGAGAGATGGGTTCAAACACAATCAGCTGTTTGACCCCATTGAGGAAGAGCGACCATTGATAGTGTTGCTCGTGGGCACTGCAGGCAGTGGCAAAACTACAATGAGCAACTTTATAGTGCACCGCTTGCTTTCTGGAGAGCCAGTATTCTCCTGTAGCTTCCGATATGTGATATACATTCGATTTAGAGATCTAAACCACTATGCTGAAGAGACCACACTCCGAGAAGTGTTTTTCGATTTGCATACAAATTTGGGGGATGAAGCGGACACGATATTTTCCAACGCGAAGGAGACATTGTTCGTGATGGATGGCTTGGATGAGTTTGCGAAGCCTCTTGACTTTCAGAGACCCTGCAGTGACCCTAACAGTAGGAGAAGCGTGGAGGCGATTCTTGCCGGCCTACTGGAGGGAAGGCTTCTGACGGGCGCCTCGTTTCTGGTGACAACCAGACCCATCGCCCTGCAGCAGCTCGCTTCCATGAAGATCAAACGAAGTTCGGAGATCATGGGCTTTTCGCCTGAAGAGCGCGAGAAGTTCTTTTGTAAATTCCTCAGAGATGAAGCGCTGGGAAGACAGGCGCACGGCATATTGCAGCAGTATGAGATCCTCAGCATTCTGTGCTGCAACCCGGCTTTTTGCCAGATAGCAGCCATCACTCTCAAGTCATACCTGAAAGATCGCAAATCTGACATATTCATGCTGACCTCCATGACCGACCTCTTTACAAAGTACACGTTTGTTCTCGTTCGACACCACAACAATGGCTGCGGTGGTAGGAGCGCCATCAACGCCAAGGAGACGATAAGAGGGCTGGCTAACATGGCTTTCAAAGGCGTTCAGGAAAACAATCAGCTGTTCAGCGGAATGCACCTGCAAGAATTCAGCATCGATTCCGATCGCGTGCAGGAAACTTTTCTTAGTGAGGTTTTCAAATGCGAAGGCGTTAACGTCTCCAAGAGCTATTCGTTCTCCCACCTGACAATCCAAGAGTACTTCGCGTCTCTGGCTGTTTATCTGCCACAGCCCAAGCTGCCCGTTCCTGCTGTCATTGAGGAAATCGAGAGGTGTTCTGATGGCCGGTTTGACATCTTTCAGAAGTTTTTCACCGGATTAGCGTCAGGCATTCATTGGAAAACGCTCGCCGAAATCCTCGACCATCCATCCGCGGACTCCCAGCGTGAGATCATCCAGTGGCTCAAACGCAGGGTGAAGGCCAGCGACCCCAACAAGCGCAGGCTCATTAGCCTACTGCACTGCCTGTACGAGCTGCAAGACCCCGACGCCATTCGCGAGATCATGCAGACAAGAGAGTCGCTGGATCTGTCTCGTACTCCACTCAACCCGTTCGACTGCACAGCCCTCTCTTACGTCCTGCAGAGTCGGAACAGGCCTCTTGAGAAACTAAACCTCTGGGATTGTGGCATCAGCGACAAAGAATTGGTGAGGCTGCAGCCCACGATACAGAGATGTCACGAGCTGTGGTGAGTTTCAGCATTGAGGAAAGTTGTTAGCGGTTTCATTCAGAAATGTCATGGATGTAATGTTTGGTGTGGTATGCATAAGGTATGTTAAGTGCTCGGTTAACGTGTAGTGTTCACACAACACGTTTTTGCTATAACCCGGTTCTTCCATTAGGGAACACTTCTCGCACAACGTGAAACGCGTGCCCGTTATAACGTGTAATGTGTGCCGTTATAACGTCTACTGAGTCCATTATAACTTGGAACCCGCCCATTATAATGCGGTTTCTGAGCGGTCGACGGCAAACTACTTGCTTGAGCTGCGCAGCTGTGCGATACGTATGTTGAACTTTGTTCGCACCATACGTAGTAAACTGTACTAATCGGAGGTGTGGGAACACTTTTTGATACAGTACACAGAATGATACAGTAACACGGCGACGTACCCTCAATGATTTGTCTCGCCATTTTGCTGTGTGTGTGTGAATTGTATCTCGCCAAACGTTAACGTTATATTTATGGGGAAAGAGTTTTCGCTTCACACGCTTTTCACTTAACGTAGAACTTTTCACGAACACATCTACCACGTTAAACAAGGACTTACTGTAAAGTCCCCAATACAATAATAGTCCCTTATACAATCCGTCCTCTTTTAACGTGGTAGTAGGCAAATAACTGAGGATACGTCGTCACGTTACTGTATCGTTCCGCGTACTCTATCACGCCTCAGCCGCGCAGCTCAAGAAAGTAGTTCGTCGTCGACTGCTCAGAAACCGCGTTATAACGGTGGACATTGCACGTTCTAACGCACACATTACACGTTATAACGGTACGTGTTCGGCGTTGTGCGTCCGTCATGGAAGAACTACGTTACAGAAAAAACTCTTGTGAACAAAGACTTGTCGTACTCGTCTGTAAGTGAAGTTAACAAAGTTCACTGTTCACATAAGTCTGTGCATAAAAATCCTGTGACATGTTATAGCCTGTACTGTTGTACAATGAGCACTTATACCAGATCTTATGCATCAAAATTAAATAATAACTGTTCAAAGGAAGTATTCTTTGAAAAAACCTCAGTGGCTCGTTGTTATATTACATACACTGGGGGTCATTGTCTTGTTGATGCACAGGGATGTCTCGCTGACAATTTTATTCAGTCAAGCACGATCAAGTGTCAAATAGTGCCACAATGCATGTTTAATGTGCATGCGTTGCTGCGCTAGTTACTTGGTTAATAATATAAGCATGTGTGTGCACCAGTCATCCCTGTTATTGTTAATGTGGGCTCTAGCAGTGTGCAGATTTTGCTGGTGTGATGGACGATACCCTGGTTGTAGGGATGTCATGTGCAATGGTGGTGTAGTGGTGGTCGATGGTAAAGCATTGCACTATTATTGATGTTCAGGTTTGGAAGTGAATCATTTGGAGATAATGGAGTAGAGCTCATGGCCAAGTATATGGAAGGGAGCAGTGGACATCTGGAGGCGTTAATGTGAGTGCTGTGTGTGCTACCTGTCATATGCTGATAACAATGCGATAACAATGTGCATGCATAATGTACGTTGATTACCATATGAATAACCAAACCGGCAATGGATACCCATTGTAATTTATATGCATTCATTAACCCCCCCCTTCAAACGTGAAGGGCTCACAAGTGTTGTCATCACACCTATCCCTCTATTTAAGGAACGAAACAGAAGGATGTTTCCACAAATCTGGCTATCACCTGATTATGCTAGTTGTAATTACTGGCGAAACGCCGTACTCAGATTGTAATGAGCGACTTCCCGAGACACAACGTATAGAGGGCTTCTTATTTATTTCTCACACTTGGGCACGAACACTGGGCGACATATATATAAACACATCTACATAGCTACACACAGCCGGCCTTTCTACACAGCCCCATCGTCAGCATCTAACTACATAGCTGGCTGACTAATGTAGCGATGACGATGATGGGAGCCGTGCAGAGGATCGGCCATGCTGCCAGACGACGAAGAAAGATGACGGCGAGCAGCGACGCAGCCAGGACCCGGGACCCCGCGACAGCCCGAACATTCGGTTACGTCCCCCCTATATACTTGCCGGCGTGGCCAGGCCCCGCCTCCGGTCACGCCCCACCTCCGGCCACGCCCCCTTCTAGAACCTTCGAGCAGGTTCCCGGAGCTTCCCGACAGACCCCGCCTTTTACCTATAAGCCAGATACACTCCCCTTCTAGTTGGTTATTATATAATGTGTCCATACCCATGATTACCCCTCCTTGCCGACAGGTGGCACCCTGTCATTGCATCAGGAACGAATTTGCATGTTCTTTTTACATGACAAACCTTACTAATTGGCTGTGTCGGGTGGTGGCGGGTTTAACGACACATTTACATGAACGCGATCGAACCCAAAAAACCTATATTATGAACAAATTCAGTGTCATTCACAATTACCGTGAATAAGCTACATATACGAGAGGGGGGACTCATGCAAGGCTCAAGACTTTAGCGTGTGTGCGTATAATCAACGTTTAATTAATGAAACAGCACGTTATGTGTTGGATGTTGAAACTTGTACAATAAGTCTTCGTTTAATCTGGTAGATACAATCCAGAAAAGTGCTGTATTAAACGGTACTTTTCGATAAAGTTTGGCGTGATATGCCGTACCCACACACAGTACTGTGGCGGGACAAATAACTGAGGGTACACCGCCACATTACTGTATCATTACGCGTACTGTATCGTACCGCTGAGCCACTCAAGAAAGAAGTTCGTCATCGACCACTCAGAAACCGCGTTATAACGGTGCACATTCCTCATAACGGGTGTATTCCACGTTATAACGGTGCACGTTCTTCGTTATAGTGGGCACGTTCTACATTATAATGGTGTACGCATTCCGCGATATCACTGTCGCGTTCCACGTGCGAAAAGTGTTCCCTTGTGAAGGAACCACGTTAGAGCGAAAACGCGTTGTTTGAATGCCACATGTTAATTGAGGACTTATCGGAGTTACTTTCCGTATAAATCTGCAATACCTTGTCTGCCCTTTGTCTCCAGCATGGACTCGTGCTGTCTCACCTCCAAGTCGATCCCGGCTCTCCGGAACATCATCACCTTAAACCCAAACCTTAAAACGCTCATGTAAGCATGCAGACACAACGATCTCCATAACCCTTTGTGTGCGACTTGAGACAGCTAAAGTGGATGTTTACATCTTTCTGCTGTCACATTTTTTTTTACAATAATCTTTCAGGTTACTTTCGTTAGAACAGTGGCATTTTAAATCGACATCTTGGTAAGTGTCTCCCACTCTTTAAGCTTCTTGTCGTCATGGCCACTGATGTTCCCAAACAGACATTACATTGTGCTGAGACATGATATAGACACCTCATCACTCCTCTCACAGCGCTACCTCATTGTGAAGTAAAGGAGGCGGTCTCTCGTGTAGGCCAATCGGTTTCAGGGACATTGCATACATTATTATAAAAGCATATTTGCATGTTTAACCACATGATGTGTGTTTAATGCAGACTTGATGCCTTGTAATAGGTGTCTATTTGGTGTTTGAACATCTGAACACCTCCTGTGTATTTCCGGAAGGGATAAAGCCTATTCATAGATACTTATGCCATTATTACTCTTCAAACTTGTTCAGTTCAAGAAACTTATTCAATCATTTGCATAATACCTCCACTGCTGCTGTTGCTGGACACTTCTGGGTGTTTGGGCCCTGTGCTCAGAAACTGTCATTTAAATAGACAATAATAACTATAACAAGCTGCTTGTGTCTGTAGGCTTTCCGGAAATGACCTGGGGGATAAAGCAATGGAGGATCTTGCTCAGGAGATGCAGACACATCCCATGAGACTGGAAAAACTCTAGTGAGTTCTCAACACGTTTATACAGCAAACCCTTGCCCATCGTGGGGGTATGGTCTCGAAAATAGCTGCAATCGCAAATTATTGATCCGCAAACTCAGAGACGCGAACTGTACCTTAATACATTTGGCATAAAACCACGATAGCTAAGGGTTTGCTATAAATTTCTTATCCATTTGTGGAACTTGCGTCATAATGTTTCTGCGTGATTCTGTTATTGGTATTTTTGAATTGTTCTCTACAGGACTGGGCGATAAAGCCTCCTATAACAGAGTAGATGAGTTCCTGAAAAGCGCGTTAAGCGAAAACAATTTCCCCATAAATAATAATCTCTTATATATAAAAGTCTCCGCACGCGCGCTTGCGGGGGATTTGGCTCTCAAACGGTGGGGTTCAAGTCTGAAAAAAATTGCCGGGTGGCACGCCCCGTGCCCCCTGCTTGGTATAGATTATTCCGTTTTCCCAGCCGTCAACTTTAAATTAGTTAAATTAGCGATTTAGTGCCATTCTTATTTTAATTATTTACTTACTCCACGAGCTCGACCGTACCAACTGACGCCAGTTGCGTGGGGGGGGGGGCGGACCCTGCCAAGTGATGCGCGTTCAGTCGAGCTCACGGCCACACCACGGAACTCTGTCATGTGAGTACTTTGTCCTATAGAGTCACTAAATATACTGATAAACAGTCAGCATGTACTCCTGTAGAGTCTATAAATACTGCTGTTGAGTCAGCATGTACTGCTGTAGAGTCCATAAATACTGCTATGGAGTCAGCATGTACTACTGTACAGTCCATAAATACTGCTATGGAGTCAGCATGTACTACTGTACAGTCCATAAATACTGCTATGAAGTCAGCATGTACTACTGTACAGTCCATAAATACTGCTATACAGTAAGCATGTACTACTGTACAGTCGATATATACTGCTATAGAGTCAGCATGTACTACTCTACTCAGCAGGTACCACCACTGTCGCTTGCCCTGCTGTAATCATAGCTTACACCACAGTATACATGCACTGCTGCAGGGAAAGCAGGTACCACCACTGTATGCACTGTTGTAATCATACCAGCTACCACAACAGTATGTATGCACTGCTGCAGGGAAAGCAGGTACCACCACTGTATGCACTGTTGTAATCATACCAGGTACCAGCACATTCAGTATGCACTGCTTTTGTTAAACCATGTACCACCACACTATGCACTGCTGTTATCATAGCAGCTACCACCACAGTTAGTATGCACTGCTTTTGTAATAGCAGGTTCCACCACAGTCACTAGGCACTGCTGTAGTGATACCACAAACCACCACAGTCGGTATGCACTGCTGTAGTCATAGTGCATACCGTCGTGGTGTGTGTGCGTAAGTCCATGTATGTGTGTGCGTAAGTCAATGTGTGTGCGTGGTGTGTGTGTGTAGAAAACTACTCTTTTTTAATTAAGTTACTTCTTTAACAGTAATAATGCCTGCGTCTAAGTCCATGTGTGTGTGTGGGTCGATGTGCATGTCTGCGGCCATGTGTGTGTGTGACTCAATGTGTGTGTGTGTGTGCGTTGCTCCATGTCAGTCAGTGTAAGTACATTTCTTTCTATGTGTGTGTTTTTTGGTCCATGTGTGCGTGTGAGTCCATGTGTGTGTGTCTGTACGTACATGTGTGTGTGTGTGTGCGTACGTCCATGTGTGTGCGTACGTCCATGTGTGTGTCTCAGTCCATGTTTGTGTGCCTCTATGTGCGTGTGTCAGTCCATGTATGTTTGTGTGGGAGTCTATGTGTGTCAGTCGATGTGTGTATGGCAATGTGTCTATGTGTGTGTGTGCGTCGATATGTATGTGTGTGTGTAAGTTCATGTCTGTGTGTGTGAGTCTATGTATGTGTGAGTCGATGTGTGGCTGTCAGTCGATGTGTGTGCGTGGGTCCATGTGTGTGTTTAAGTCCCTGTGTGTGTGTGTGTCTGTAAGTCCATATGTGTGTGTGTAGGTCAGTGTGTCTGTAAGTATATGTATGTGTGTGTGTCAGTCGATGTGTGTGTGTAAGTCAGTGTGTGTGTGTGACTTGATATGTGTGTGTGTCAGTCCATGTGCATGTGTGTTTGTCGCTGTGTGTGCGTGGCTCCATGTTAGTCAGTGTTAGTCCATTTCGTTGCGTGCCTGTAGGTCCATGTGTAGGTGTTAGTCCATATGTGTGCTTTATTCACTTGCTCAGGGCCTATTATACAATCATTAGGCCTGGGCTCTGGGTTGCTCTTCGTACTTTTCGAGTCCCTGACCCTCTGCTCATGATCCTTAAGGACCTTCATGATGGTGAGCGGCCCCACATCATCAAACTACGTGACCGTGAATCAGAGCCACTCCCTGTACATCTTGGGGTGCGACAGGGATGTCCACTGTCTCCCACATTATTTTACATCTATTTGGACCACGTACTTCGTTAAGCCTTCAATGCCTCTACCGGAAGAATTCACATCTGGTACAGATACAATGGGAGGCTCATCGATGCCTGGGTGCGGTCAATCGATGGCTCCCTATTGGTCAACCACGTTATGTATGCCGATGATCTGGTAATTAATGCTCACTCAGAAGAGGAGTTGGACGCGCTGCTGCTCAACCTGGAGCTTGCCACTAAGAGGTGGGGCCTTACCATCAGCCCCACCAAAACTAAGCACCTGCCTGGGTATTTTGTACGATCGGACAATCCACCCCCATAACTCACAATTGGTGATGGGCCAGTTGTGGAGAGTGCAGAGTTTGCCATACCTGCCCAGTGTAGTCATGACCGGCTCCGGTTTAACAGCAGAGGTCTCACTCCGAATCAGTCGAGCGGCATTATCTTTTCATCGGCTGTGTAACACTGTGTGGAAGCTACCTGGTCTCTCGCTCCACACGAAGCTCCACGTCGTCTCGCCCACGGTCATTCCCTCCCTTCTCTACACTTGCGAAACTTGGACCGCCCTAATGCAACATTTTCGCCGCTTACAAACATTTAGGCTGGCATGCCTACGATCCATCCTGGGTTTAACCAGGCTGGATTGTGTGATGAGCTCACAAATACTTGAACGTTCTGGACAGAGTCCCATTGGTGACCTCCTACGCCAGGCAAGGCTGCGTTGGCTGGGCCATGTAGCCTGCATGCCCAGCCACCGCATGCCTAAACACCTTTTGTTCCGCCGGATCGAGGTCTCTAAACGGGCACGGCACAGGCTAGAGAAGAGATGGAGTGATGTGCTACAGGACGATGTGCAGCTGAGTGGACTTGTTGATGACTGGTACCAGCGGTGTCAAGGTCGGTATCTGTGGAGGAGCCTCGAGAAGGACGCTACAGGCCAGTTGGAGGCAGTCGGCCTCCAACAACAACGGAGGGCGGAGGAGCGACGCTCACAAGAACGAGCGATGCACCGTGTGGCTAAAGCACAGCAAGTTAGCAGGGTACAGGGCACAGGTGGTGCATCTGCCAGTCATCTCAGTCGACCTGTGCCATCTGGGTCTGCCCGTGACCTCCTGCCAGCAGGTGTTCGACACTTCACGTGGCCTCAAGGTGCACATAGCCTGCCACAAGCGTTGTGGTGACGTCACTGCCACTTAGTGGCGAATGGCGGTTGTTGTTGTTCAGTCTATGTATGTATGTGTGAGTCAATATGTGTGTGTAACTCAGTGTGTTTGAGTCGATTTGTGTGTGTAACTACATGTGTCTCTCAAGTCGATGTCTGTGTGTGTGAGTCCATATGTGTTTGCGTGCGTGTAAGTCAGTGGGTTTCTACGTGTATGGCTCCATGTCTGTTTGTAAGTCCATGTGTATGTCTGCCTTTTTCGCCCGGGCAACGCCGGGTACTAACCGCTAGTGTAATGATAAAGTTTGACGAGATATACTGTAAGCACACACAGTGGGATGGCGGGACAAATATCTGAGCCTATGCCGTCGCGTTACTGTTTCATTCCACGTACTGTAGCATATCGCTCAGCTGAGTAACTGAATAAAGTAGTTCGTCATTTACCAGAAACCGTGTTATAAAAGTGTGCGTTACGCGTTATAACGGTGGGTCTTCTTCATTATAACGGTGCGCATTCTGCGTTGTAACGAGCACGTTCCACGTTATGCGAAGTGTTCCCTAATGGAAGAATCACGCATGAATCTACGTATGTATTTATGTTGAACTTATTTAGCACTGTACATAGCCAACCATGTAAATCGGAGGTTAAGGGACGGACTTAACATACCCTTGAGTCATAAACGCTCATTGCTGTGTCTAGTCTTGCTCTCGACGTGCTTTCTTCACCATTTGATCATGGATGATATGAGACTAAACACTAATATAAAACTAAACATTGATCAGTGAGACTGGACACAGGGATGCATGATTGTGCAATAATATAATGTTGTAACGTCCCTCTCATGAACATTCTTTTTGGAATAACGTGTTTTTAATTCCTTGAGAGATTTACTTGCATGCACAGCAGCACTGTTGTTGTATATGTGGGTGTGTGAAAATTTGATGAAAATAATGAAAATTAAATGAAATTTGAAATTTGCATAAGAGATAATCGTATTAATGTATGCGAGTGGGTGTGGTTATGATAATGCAGGTCGTTATGGATTATGTGGTCCAGCCTCGGTGACGAGGTTTGGTTATTAATTGGAACAATGCAATTGATCGTATGCAGTTCTGTAGGTGTTGTGAGCATGAATGAGAGAGTCGATTCGAATCTGCTATTTAATTCCGTATTATCGATCAGGATACGATTACTCTCGATTGAACAATATGAATGATGTGTGTTATGGATTATGTGCGGTGATAGGTCCCCTCAAGGTTCAGATCTCATACGCAGAACAATATTATGCAGAATTTCAGGAAGAATCACACACAAACCTGCTTTAATACATTTTATTTTCTAGCTAAACTTAAATTTTTGAATAATATGAAAACTCTCGATCTTGGAATTTCAACACAGCGTTAACATGATACCATCACGATTGCGTTGTTTCACTTTGATAACGGCACCTGTGGTTAATTCCCGACGCGTAACGCAATCGATCGGTTGTTGAGAGAGATTAATACATGCAAACTATTCTATCAAAAACCTTAACTTATCATGTGCAAATTCGTATACTTGAATTGTTACACAACACGGCACTCGGTCTTTGATTCGTATCCAATTCTTAACACATTCTGATATGCGAAATTATTATGCTTTAAATCGTCAGCACAGTACCACGGCGATGTTCGTTCATTGATTCATAAACGATTATGCAATTAAAGCGTTCGACTGAAATACTTCTGATTGCCTCATCAACGTAACTCAATGGGTGGCGATGTTTTTCGTTATCAGCTAATAGTTGACGCATTTATCATGGGTCTTGTATGTTTAATGGGAGCGTTGTTGATTTCTTGCGTTGAGCAAACGCCTAGGTTGATTTCCTTGTCAAAAAAAATGTTTGTTCGTTGTGTAGCGGTGGGGGAGTGAGGAGGGGGGAGAGTGTGGGTGGAGGGCATACGAACGGCTGCTAGTTTCTGTTCACCGCTGGCTGGATGAGTCAGCACGACGCTCATCGTCGTGCGCCGATGGGTGTTGAGTGCGGGGCCGCTGCCCTCTCAGCGCTGGTGACGCGAAGTGGCGTGCTGTAGCACGCTGATGGCACGCTGGTGGCGCGCGCTGGTGCTGATGCTGGTGCTGATGGCACGCTGGTGGCGCGCGCTCCCTCTCCTTGAAGATGCGCGAACGCGCCCGTGCTGGTTCACTGACAGCAGTTTCCTCCACTGCTGGATGAGCTGCTGCACGCTCTTGCTTGGCGTTGCTGGCCGCGCTCTTTCTCCTTAAAGGTGCGCGAACGCGCCCGTGCTGGTTTGCTGACAGCAGTTTCCTCCACTGCTGGATGAGTTGCGCCGGCGCGCGCTCTTTCCGCTGCTGTAGTATCTGACGCTGCGCTCGCGGGCGACAGGTCAAGTTTTTCTTCTGCTGAGTGAGCCGAGTCGCACGCGCTCTCTTTGTTGAGGTTGTTGGCGGCTCTCTGACAGCAGGTTTCCTCCACTGCTGTATGACTCAAGTCACACGCGCTTGGTCACTGGTTTGCTGAAGTTGTTGGCGGCTGCTCGTGCTGGCAGATACAGGCTCTTTTCCGCTGCTGGATGGCTGCTGCACGTGCTTGCTTGGGGGTGCTGGCGGTCTTTTTCCGCTGCTGGATGGCTGAGTCGGCACAACGCTTGGCCGATGGTTGGTTGACTCTTTGTTGGCGCTGGATGTTCCGCTCTGCCGCTGCTGGATGGCTGGCACTTGATGTAGGAATAAAGTTTAGATTGATACTTTGCCTTTCGCTCTGAACTGTGCTCGTTGATACATCGTGACTCAGCGATCCTCGCTACTCAGAGAGGCTCGGAGCCAGCCGTTCCATGCGACTGCTCATGCCTTTTATCCGTCTTGACAGTCTCGTTCTGCTGGACTGCGCTGACTGGAAGACTGGAAGACGTTATATTCAAAAATAATTATCTTCGCGCAGTGAAGGCGGGGGGCGGTCCGTGTATGTGTTTTTATCTTTGTGTGTTCGTCAACCCATCTGCGTGAAGATGGTGGGGGGCGGAGGGGGTGACCCCCTTTGTAACACAACCATTCTCACTAGGGTGTTAAATTCTTTCCTCGGGCTGCGGGGAGAGACAAAGGCGGCCGGGAGTACCTCTCTCTCTGGCTGCTTTCGGTTTAATGTTTCTAAAATACCATTTGGTCTTATGTTTACCAAGGCTCGTGTTTTGTAACTATGTCCTTCCGACGCACCTCTCGGATTATTCCGAGGTTTGCGTTGTTACGATGGAGTTATTATTTATTTTATAATATAGATGTTTATCCTGATTTTAAGAGGTCCGTTTCTTGATTGTTGGAATCCATATCCCTTGGTTCTGTAAGGTTCTATAATGGAATGTCTTTTAAGGTTAACACGTTATTATTAATGTTATGTGTGATTTGTATTGCAATTCCTTTAACTTAAAACTTGTTCGCTGGCTGTTGTGTGTGGGTGGGGTGTGTTTCCTCATTAATCCGACTGGCTCGCTCCAGATGGCCCCTTGTGATAAGGTGTGGTTCCTGCTTCTCCGCGCTGCGAGAGAGACAAAGGTGGTCGGGGTTGCTTGGGATATTGTTTAAACTCTTTCGTAAGTTTGCCCGTTCGCCTCATTCCTTCTCGATAACCTTTGATGTGACTCGGTATTTCTGTCTCCAAGCTTTGTCTTAACAGTAAAAGTATTAAAGGTGAAAATCATTTGATATCGAATTAATATTTGGATAAGGATTCACTGATGCATCTGGTGGCCTGGTCTTAATTGGAGTGATCGTGAGGATCGCTAATTTTAGCTTATTCTTGTTATTGCATTTTAAATTGTAACCGTTGTTTTAATGACAAAGGGAGAAAAAAAATATGGTTTAACCCGTGGGCGTCCTCGTGTCTGGCTTGCGGAGGGCTTCCCTCTGCGTGACCTCCCTTAGGGCACATCAAACACTTGTTCATCTGGAGATCTTCGCCGATAGCTGTTACATCCTCGCCTTGAGAGTCTCATTATTTATTTATTTATGGCCTGCTTATGATATCCATCTGTGTTTGCGTGTTTTTGGGTTTGTGTGTTTTATGCATTATTTCTCTTTATTGTTAAAAAAATATATATCGGCAGATATTATTGTTAATATCAAATTTGGAAAAAGGCTTTTATATCCAACACTGTGCATGGTTTTAATTGATGATAAACTCTCTTTTTTTCCACCTCCACAGCTTGAACAAATGTTCTCTGACGGACAAATCAATTCCTGCCCTGCATCAAATCCTCACCACTAACCCTTGCTTCGACTGGGTCTCGTGAGTCTGTGTGGCGTGTGCTGCTGCATGTATTCCAAAATGAAATGTCTAATTTTAACAAACATTTCAAGTCCTGCATATTTGTCATGTTTTGCTCATGGCCACATCGTTAAACGCTTACACATTTACAGCAAATCCCAATAGATTGTTAAAATGTATACAGTAAATCCGTTTAACGTGTGGCGTTCACACTACACATTTGTCCTTTCACATGCTTTTTCGCTTAACGCGAGGCACACTGCTATAACGCAAGGAGTCTAGCGCGTGACAGACTACTTTTCTGAGTTGGCGTGGGTGTTGGCAGCATTGTTTGGGGAGGCTGGTACTGTAGTACTGCGACTGTAGTAGTGATGCGCGCTGTGATACACGGTGTGCCTTGCTCTTCCTCAGTCTTTTTTCTGGCATCTTTGTGTGCGTCACTTGTGTGTCGAGAGTCCACGTTTGTATCTCTTGCTGTCGACAACAACCTCATGACCCTACTGTACACGTAAACATGTACAATCGTGTACACTATATACATTTGTCTCATTCTGTGGCTCGACCATTCGGGATTGACTGCAAGATTCATGTATGCATCGTAACTGCACTGCTCAAGCTAATGATGATGCTGCTGCAATAACACACGTGACGTCTTATCTCCATGTTGTCTCTCAAGCGGCCCATCGCGGGTCCCAGGTCACGTGGTGTTCCCAGTCTCCAGTGAGGAGGCAGTGAGGTTCAGTCGGCCGCGATTTTTTTCTTGTAGTGTACAGTAGTTATACACTTAATAAAAAACATCTATACATTTACTGTACAAGTTATATTTAATGCTACAAGAATATGAATCATGACTTAAAGCTATCGTGGCTGCAGGAATTCATATTGTTTGGGTCTTTCGGTAAAGTCACGTAGATAGGTACAAATTAATAAAAAAAATCATATAAAATATGTATTATAATAATATTAAATATTTATTACTTTAATAAATTTGTACCTATCTACGTGACTTTACCGAATAACCCAAAGAATATAATATTAATCATATTTGACATTAAAAAAAACTTCCTGTTTAATGTTTGGGGTAGCATCAAATAAAAGTAAGCGGTATTGTATTACGAACCGTCAACCAGACCTCAAGTTTTCCCTGTAATGCTTTTGAGCTTGTAAATCGCGAATTTGCCGATTGCTGGTATTCTCAAGAACGTAACTCCCGCGATGGGCAAGGGTTTCCTATACACTCCATACTGGGATCTCCATGAGTCTCTTTATAAACTATGCTCTTTCATCTTGTGAGCAGTTAAATCTTGACTTAAAGCTTTCGTGACTGCAGGAATTAATATTCTTTGGGTCTCTTGGTAAAGTCATATAGATAGGTTCAAAGAAAAATAACAAAAAACTACGATGTTTTGATCGCAACGCAAGTGGTCGTCATCAGGAAAAGGGGGTTAACTTCTAAAGGCAAACTGTTTATAAAGGTTTAAAATGGGCATAGCCAAAATCTCAGCAGCATGGGTGGGGCAGCTAATGTTAATGTAAGTGATGGGCAGCGACCGCAATGGCGGTGGGTTTCCACCAATTAAAGGGCTGCCAGGTAAAAATTAGCATGTTAATGTGAGATCGGTGAGCAGCCTCCACGGCGAGTGCGCTGATGTGGCTATGTTAATGTGAGAGATTAGAATGTTAATGTAAAATCGCAGAGCCACCGCCACATCGAGGTACTGCGCGTGAAGGTGGCTGTGTTGATGTGAGAAATTTAACCTGTTAATGTAAAATCGCAGAGCCGAAAATAACAACTAACGTCGGAAGGTGGCAGGATGAGAACATCACAGCCAGTTATGACTTAAACTGGTTAATAACGTCCTTCCAACGATTGCTAAGTTTGTACCCATCTTCTCGGTTTAAATTGTATATATGGATGGCTTCATGAACGAATCTTTGTTGATAACCAGTGGGTTTGCAAAGTACCTTCGTCTTACTCTTTGTTTTTTTTTCGGTAAAGTCACATAGGTAAAAACTCAATAAAATAAAATAAATGAAAAAACAACTAAATTAAATCACGACGTTTCAGAAGCAACACAAGCTTCCGTCTCCAGGTGGAAATCGTCACAGCACCTGAAGACGGAAGCTTGTGTTGCCTTCGAAACATCGTGATTTAATTTAGTTGTTTTTTCATTTATTTTATTTTATTGATTTTTTTACCTACGTGACTTTACCGAAAAAAAAACAAATAGTATGATTCCTTGCAGTCACGAAAGCTTCAAATCTAGAATTACCTTTGTCTTAGAGATATCAATATTGTGTGAGCCCACCGCATTAAAACAATGATCAGCCACGGCCAAGGTATTGCTCCTACCATGTTTCAGATCTGCCTTGTGTTCACGAACACCTCAGCACGCTTGCCTTGGAGGCTGCTCACCGATCTTACAGTAACATGCTAATTTTTACCTGGCAGCCCTTTCATTGGTGGAAACCCACCGCCATCGCAGTCGCCGCACCTCACTTATGTAGTGAGTTCAACTGAGTCGCAGACGTACTCTTGGAGGCAACGCATTTATTTAACACCAACACACGGGGTAATTGCCCCTTAACAGAATAACAACCTGTGGTGGTGACCACCAGGCTAACTACACTAATTACAACATGACTAGCTACAATGGACCGGACCACAGCTCGGGTCCAGGTCCACGTGTTGGAGACTCGGTAGAACGTAGGGCGTAGACAAAGGCTTCAAGATGAACAACGCCGGTCCCTCTGGGGGACCCGGCCTATATCCTCTGCGGCGTGGCCAGCTCCACCCTTGGCCACGACCACCTTCCAGAATCCTTGAGCAGGATCTGGACCCGGACCACTTGACCACCCCTAGCCCCCACTTGGGGCCCCTTTGTAGACTTAACCGGTCACATGTCCTCTCGGGTCAACCAGAGTGCCATGGCCTTTAGTAACCCCGGCACACCCACACCCTATCCTGTAGGGCTGCCACTGCACGCCAAGCGTGGTGCTACCTCGCGCTATCACCCAGCGCTCACCGAGCCCCTCTAGGGCCGGTACTACACCCACATCATAGTGGTGTCCGTGATGTCGTTACATTGCACGCCGTGACTCTCTAGAGCCGGCACAGCACAGTGACATCCCGCGATGTCACTACACTTACATTAACATTAGCTGCCCCACCCATGCTGCTGACATTTTGGCTAAAAGCAGTTTGCCTTTAGAAGCTACCCCCCTTTTCCTCATGATGACAGCTTGTGTTTTGATCGAAACGTCGTAGTTTTTTGTTATTTTTCTATGAACCTATCTACGTGACTTTACCGAAAGACCCAAAGAATACTTGTGAGCAGTATTGTGTTTTTCCTCAATGCCGGCTTTCCCATGGCAACATTGGCTCTAATCTAATCTCCTTCTGTCACATGGGTATACTTTTTACATGCTGACACCTAGTTCAGTTAACTTAATTTAATGGAATGTCCACTCAACATGCATCCCCTTTCTCCATTGCAGGTTAATTGACAATAAATTCAGCCCAGAAGGTATTTTCAGACTGAAGGACATGAAGCAGACAGGGCAGAAGCTCTACATTCAGCTGAATTGACCGGCGCCAGCATCAGTGAGAGTCCCTCAATCGCATGGCACCTCGGTGGTGAATGATTATAACGTGGGGAATTATTCAAATGCGGCAATGTTGAAGGCACCAGCTGATGTCTAACATTCCACATATTGCTTCAAGCCAGCATTCAGAAAAGTCAGTGATCTGCTGCTCAAATGAGCATTGAGGCAGTGCTCATCTTCTATTTATACACCTTTGAGCCAATTTTGGATATTCCACATTGCTATGGCTCTAGGATTTGGTGTTACATGTTATTTATGTAGTTTATTGTAAAAATTCGGTCACAGTCCCTGTGATCACTGTTACGTTGCAATTATGGCTTTATTTTTTGGTGATTTCGAAAACGTTTTTTGGTTTGGACATGTTTGTTTTGTTTTAGTAGGAGTTAGACTGATGGCCTTAATCAAATTTTTCTTGTGGTTGTTGTTGTTTGACTTGCATCCCACTGGGATTATTTGCCCAAAGCGTTGGTGTGCGGTGCTTTTTTCAGGAACCTTTTGCTGTTTTTTTTTCATGGATTTTCTGTTTGCACAGTCACATAGTCATTTTAAGATGTTTTTCTTGTTCATGTTTTTGTTTTTTTTTGTTTGTTGTGGTTGCACCCGATTCAAGAGCCGAATGGCTCACAGGGCTATACCAAAATAAATAAAAACAAACAAAAAACAAATTTTAGGCTCCGTAGGAAGGAGGGATGACCTGGTCTCAAACTTCCGTTCCCTCCCTTTAAGCTTGTGGCTTAAGTACTCAATACCTGCTTGGGCTTAAAGAGTGTTGTGCCACTGTTTCCACGAGGGGGGTGCATGATCTTCCCAGTTAGTCAATATGTTCTTCCTGGTCCTGAAGGTTTGAAGTAGAGCGTGTTGGTGTTTCGACAGGGCATCTAGTATCAGGCCCCACAAAGTCATTTCAACTGAAGGGGTGATTTTTTTTATTTTAAGAATGTATGGACATGTTTGTCACAAAATATGTCATATTTATACCTGGTCTAACCAAGCTCGTTCAACAAGTAGTGTGGTAGTCAAATCTGGAAGATCTACATTAAATGTGATCTCACACCGTTGTAAAACATATTACAGCAAACCCTTTTCTCTCTCGGGTTTAGCTATTGCAGTTTTGTGGTTTCACACCAAATGTATTGAGGTACAGTTCGCCGATTGCGCCCCTGTGGCGGCTTGACCATTCGCGGTTGGCCGCGAGTTTCCAGTTCGCATCGTAACTGCACTGCTCGCGATGACGATGGTGCTACAGCTGCTGCGGGACAACAAACGTGTGCCGTCGTCTCCGTCTTGTCTCCCAAGCGGGCCATCGCGGGCCCCAGGTCACGTGGTGTTCCCAGCCTCCAGTAAGGTTCAGCCACCCACGATTTTTCTTCCATTAGTGTACTGTACAGTACTGTGCACTATATTTAACACTAGCAAATAATATTTTACAATTAACATACTTGCAGTGTAATGTTTGGGTTGGTGTAGGGTAACGTACAACAAAAGGAGGGGTGTGTCGTATTACAAACCGTGAACCGTACCCCCTAGTTTTCCCAACAATGCCTTTGAGTTTGCGGTTCGTGGATTTTCCAATTGCCGCAATTTTCAAGAACACAACCCCTGCAATGGGCAGGGGTTTGCTGTATTTATATGAGGATGAAGAGAGATTCATATATTTAACCCAAAATGTATTAAGACCAAAAAAACAGTAAGTTTAAATTGGAATAGGTCATTGTAAACTGTAGTGTATTGCACTGCATGTAATGAATACTTAAGGTACAATTAGTTTGATGTTGGAACAAAAAGGCTTCCATTCCAACATAGGATGCTTTATTACCACATTGGAAAGCGAAGTTTGCTGGCTCAGGAATGATCAAGCAATGCTCCATTGACTGTCAGATGTAAAAATAAAACTCGCATTGCATGTTGTTACTTAGGTGTCCACAAATGCATAATCCATTGTTAACCAACTATGATAATGAGATCATCGTTTGATCAATACAGGTTAACAACAATGCCTGACATTCGCCACCACGGCACTTGTGTAGTGTTTTTATTTCACGCAGACACCTTTTTCTCCTGTGTCACTTTTATTCAACAGGACTCCTCAACACCACCACATGACTCCGTCGCAACTCTCCCGCCTACGCTGCTCGCCTGCCACGCTTCGCTTGCTCCACTAGCCCATCGCTACACACTCTGGTAGCTTCCCACCGTACACACTGCTAGCCTCTCCACTGCAAGCCTGTTCTCACTCTCCTAGCCTCTCCACTGCTAGCCTATTACTATATACTCTGGTAGCTTCTCCATTGCTAGTCTATATACTCTGCTAGCTTCTCTACTGCTAGCCTGTCTACCCTCGCTCCTCCATCCTCGCCCCTGCCTCCAGCGGGGCACCAAGCATCCCCACTGGAGAGGACGAGGTGTGGAGAGCGGGGCCCGGACTTGTCGTCTCTCCAACCAACCCAACTCACAACTCCCCGCGTGTCTCTGCACATCGCCTTATATCCCCTCACTCATTAACTCCTTAATTAATCTGGCGACCTCCTGTCGCCTCACGCCCGTGGCTTCCGCCGCTATCGCCTCAATCTCCAGACCCCGAGACGCTTACACCGTGTCTGCATTTGCAGCCAGCCAATCACCGTTATGCATCTTTATTGGCCACCTCTGTCATTATACCTCCTTTGCCAGTACCAAAATGTAATAATAGGGTTTTTATTTTGAAACCTTTTTACAAGGATGCATGTCTACATTAACCACAATACCTGCAGTCAAAATGCAAACAAAAAAACATACTATGATAATATATGCATTGTCCTTGAAACTGGTACTGGCAAAGGAGATCTAATGATGTAGATGCTCACCCCGAGCCCTCATTACTTTGATAGTGCATTGTCTTTGAGCTGTACGCCTTTTGGCGTCATCTGGTCGAGCACCAATTGGGTCGAGGCTCAAAAGAAAGCCGTCCCTTGGTGTGGACCAATCAGTTTCAAGGACAATGCATATATTATCATAGTATGTTTTTTGTTTGCATTTTGACTGCAGGTATTGTGGTTAATGCAGACATGAATCCTTGTAAAAAGGTTTCAGTTTTGTTGCCTGAAAAAATGGGAAAAACCCTATTACATTTTGGTACTGGCAAAGGAGGTCTAATGATGTAGATGCTCACCCCTGTTGTATATATATAGGCCTTTTTTCCATTTTTGTTATTAATGAGGATTTTGCCAATATATTTTTAATCGTGGTGTCGCTTGGAGGCCGGAGGGGTGAGGTGAACAACCCCCTCCCCTCACAGCAGCCGCCATTCTCACACACAATAGGCCGCCGGAGATAGGCCATAAAAAGTAATAAACCCAAAACAAAGATGGCTTGAGGAGGGCGACGGTGACCACAGGGAGAGACACAGATGGCTTAATAAATGACACACACACGCAGACACACATACAGCCCCCCCCCCCGCCACAACACAGAGTGAGATCAAAGGAAGTTCCGGTCCTTTGTAAGAAGGCGAGCCAGAGGAAGAAATTTTGGCATAAAAAGAGACAAGCCAGCATTGATCACAGCTACCAGCGGCAGAAGACGGCGAACATCAGCTACCGAAGATGACCAGCTAGCCACCGGCGCAGAAGAAGACTCCGCAACTCATCCAGGATGGCGAGGCTCGCTGAGTAGCGACTTGCTACGCCGTACAAATTCAGCGCCATCAGAAGAAGTATCGCTCGGAAATCACTCCGCTCTGGGCATCGACTCACAAGAGCCACTGCAGTTCGAGCTAAGCTGACGAGAATTCCAGCATCATCCGTCAAGAGAGGGCGGGAAGCGCCAAACGTCGACCAAGCCAGCCATCAACGAATGAAAGCATCATTCATCGCCAGAGAGCCGGAGCAGGAAAGAGCACGCCGCAGTGCCAGCATCCTCCACCAAGCAAGGGTGCCAGCTGCCAGCGGACAAGCGTTGTGCCGATTCGGCTCATCCAGCAGGGGAAAGAGCCTGACCAGCCGCCCGTGAGCAAGAGTGTCAGCGCCAGCGAGCGCTTCGTGGGTTCGAACCACACGCACACCGACCAGCACCAGCTGGGAACCGAGACAAGAGCAAGGGAACCAGCCGTCGTTCGTATACCCTCCTCCACCCTCACAAACCCTCCCCCACCCTCACAATCCCACGACGCTCCCGGCGTCTGCTCACACAAGAATTTACCAAAGAGACAATACAACGATCCACAATAAGAAGACTAATTATAAAGTGCACCACCATCAGCTGGCCGTCAAGGCATCGCGGCTCATCGAGTAGTAAGAATACGTCGTTTATAAGTACATTAATATTTTTATTTTTTATGTGATTTTACTTCCAATCGCATAAATTACCAATAGATTAATCGATACAAACTAAACTTCAAACCTTCGTCACAAATCTACACGCTCACAGAGAGAATATCGTGTTAAACCTGTTTCTTCATCATATGATCTTGTCTGCGAATTAATTAAAACTTAGCCAAAGATAATCTCCCGTAGGAAGGCACGCACCCCGTCGCACACCCTTAATCCAAGACATTTAGTTAATTATATAATCTTGCCAATGAATCTATTGATGTATACTTTTGCCTTTGGGGTATAATAATTTGCTTTATTGCCTGTCGTATGAATGTCGTCGCATGAATGTTTAAGGACGTTTTCCTCTCGCCGTGTATGCTCGCGTACTCTGAGGAAGTAATCAATTCTGTTACCCAATTAACAAACGTGATCATTGAGGGTTAAATGTATGGATCAATGAGGGGAACATCTGGAGTAGTGTGTTGACAATTTCAAGCATAAAAATTCGCATATTAGAGTGTTAAGGTTTTGCTTAGAATTAAAATTGCTTAACACAGAAGTGTTTGAGTGTTTCTTTCCTGAGTTCATGCGTAATAATCTTAATTATAAGAACTGTATCCTGTGGTGAGATTTGAATTTGGAGACCTGACATAAACACTAATACATAATCAGTAAATGTTAAAGTGAGAATAATTGCATTATACCGATCGATAATACGAACCTAGACAACGAAGCCGGGTTTAATCTGACGTACTTACATCACACCTGCATAACTTCATAAGATGTATTGTCTTATCCCGATTGATGATACGATCCTCGTCAGCGAGTCAGGGCCTAATTATCATAACGACTCGCATTAGCATAATCACATACATTCACATAAACTAATACAATTATCTCTCAAATTAGCATAAATGTATGCACATAATTACATCAATTAACATAATTTCGGGTAATTATGCATATTTCCAAATTTTATTTAATTTGTATTATTTTCATCAAATTACCCGGCATATACAACACCCCGAGCCCTCATTACTTTGATAGTGCATTGTCTTTGAGCTGTACGCCTTTTGGCGTCATCTGGTCAAGCACCAATTGGGTCGAGGGTCAAAAAGCCGTCCCTTGGTGTGGACCAATCAGTTTCAAGGACAATGCATATATCATAGTATTTTTTTGTTTGCATTTTGACTACAGGTATTGTGGTTAATGCAGAGATGAATCCTTGTAAAAAAAAGTTTCAGTTGTGTTGCCTGAAAAAATGGGAAAAACCCTATTATTACATTTTGGTACTGGCAAAGGAGGTCTAATGATGTAGATGATCACCCCTAGCCCTCATTACTTTGATAGTGCATTGTCTTTGAGCTTTACGCCTTTTGGCGTCATCTGGTCGAGCACCAATTGGGTCGAGGCTCAAAAGAAAGCCGTCCCTTGGTGTGGACCAATCAGTTTCAAGGACAATGCATATATTATCATGGTATGTTTTTTCTTTGCATTTTCACTGCAGGTATTGTGGTTAATGCAGACATGAATCCTTGTAAAAAGGTTTCAGTTTTGTTGCCAGAAAAAAGGGGAAAAACCCTGATTATGGTAACCTCTGGTTGCTGTCTCTCCGCACCTGTGTGCCCTGACGTGACTTTACTGTCCGCAACTCACGCATGCGTGCACACCACTTGCAAACCCCGCGCGCATTACTCCACTACACTTGTACCAGGCCAGGTACACTCCCAAGGCCACGTGAAGAGTTGAAGGCTCATTGACAGGTCAGGGGACAGACCCAGATGCCATGGATTGACTGAGTCGACTAGCAAATGCACTCTTTACTCCCTACTGTGCCAACTCGCTTAATTTTATCTGCTCCTTTTTGCGAGCATCGCTCCTCTACCCTTTTGGAGTGAGACTGTCTCCAACTCCCCAGCAGCGTCCTTCACGAACCTCCTCCTTAGAGGCCGGTCTTGACACCGCTGATACCAGTCTTCGGCAAGTCCATTCAACTTCACATTCTCCTATACCATCTCTTCTCTCGCCGGTACCACCCACACCAACAACCCACTCACCCACCCACTCACCCATCCATTCACTTACCCACCCACTCGCTCGCCCATGAACTCTCATCTAGCCCGTGCCATGTCCGTGTAGCCTCTATCCAGCCAAACAAGCTGTTTTTGCATGCAGTGGCTGGGCATGCGGGCTACAATTTAAACACACACGGTTGTAAGTATGAAGATTTTATTTCACGAGTCTGAACCCTCCAAATGTCCACTTGTCTGCTATGGCACTGGTGACACATCGCATAAATATTTTAAAGCAATGTAAAAGCACGTAGGCTTTCACGACAAATATCCATAAGATATTTTTTTGGGTTAGATGGCATAAATATATAAATGTCGTTAAAACCCGCCACCACCCGACACAGCCAACTAGAAAGGGTTGTCACATGAACAGAACATGCCAATTCGTCACTAGTACAGCACAAGAGCGCAGAAGCGTGGTCACCACATCTACGCCTCTATATAAGGAACGAAACAGTTAAGACTTCTCCACAAATCTGTCTGTCGCCTGATAAAGCAAATTGTAATCACTGGCGAAACGTCGTACTGAGATTGTAAATGTTGTGGCTTGGCTCCAACACACCGGTGTGCTGTACTAGTGACGAATTGTCATGTTCTGTTTACGTGACAACCCTTACTAGTTGACTGTTGGGTAGTGGCGGGTTTTACCGACGCATTTATACAGTGAGGGAAAAAAGTATTTGATCCCCTGCTGATTTTGTACGTTTGCCCACTGACAAATAAATGATAAGTCTAGAATTTTAATGGTAGGTTTATTTGAACAGTGAGAGACAGAATAACAACAAAAAAATCCGGAAAAACGCATGTCAAAATGTTATACATTTATTTGTATTTTAATGAAGGAAATAAGTATTTGACCTCTCAATCAGAAAGATTTCTGGCTCCCAGGTGTCTTTTATACAGGTAACGAGCTGAGATTAGGAGCACACTCTTAAAGGGATTGCTCCTAATCTCAGCTTGTTACCTGTATAAAGACACCTGTCCACAGAAGCAATCAATCAGATTCCAAACTCTGCACCATGGCCAAGACCAAAGAGCTCTCCAAGGATGTCAGGGACAAGATTGTAGACCTACACAAGGCTGGAAATGGGTGTAAGACCATTGCCAAGCAGCTTGGTGAGAAGGTGACAACAGTTGGTGCGATTGCAAATTGAAGAAACACAAAAGAACTGTCAATCTCCCTCGGCCTGGGGCTCCATGCAAGATCTCACCTCGTGGAGTTGCAATGATCATGAGAACGGTGAGGAATCAGCCCAGAACTGCACGGGAGGATCTGGTCAATGATCTCAAGGCATCTGGGACCATAGTCACCAAGAAAACAATTGGTAACACACTACGCCGTGAAGGACTGAAATCCTGCAGCACCCGCAAGGTCCCCCTGCTCAAGAAAGCACATACATGCCCTTCTGAAGTTTGCCAATGAACATTTGAATGATTCAGAGGACAACTGGGTGAAAGTGTTGTAGTCAGATGAGACCAAAATGGAGCTCTTTGGCATCAACTCAACTCGCCGTGTTTGGAGGAGGAATGCTGCCTATGACCCCAAGAACACCATCCCCACCGTCAAACATGGAGGTGGAAACATTATGCTTTGGGGATAACTTCACCGCATCAAAGGGACGATGGACGGGGCCATGTACCGTCAAATCTTGGGTGAGAACCTCCTTCCCTCAGCCAGGGCATTGAAAATGGGTCGTGGATGGGTATTCCAGCATGACAATGACCCAAAACACACGGCCAAGGCAACAAAGGAGTGGCTCAAGAAGAAGCACATTAAGGTCCTGGAGTGGCCTAGCCAGTCTCCAGACCTTAATCCCATAGAAAATATGTGGAGAGAACTGAAGGTTCGAGTTGCCAAACGTCAGCCTCGAAACCTTAATGACTTGGAGAAGATCTGCAAAGAGGAGTTGGACAAAATCCCTCCTGAGATGTGTGCAAACCTGGTGGCCAATTACAAGAAACGTCTGACCTCTGTGATTGCCAACAAGGGATTTGCCACCAAGTACTAAGTCATGTTTTGCAGAGGGGTCAAATGCTTATTTCCCTCATTAAAATGCAAATCAATTTATAACATTTTTGACATCCGTTTTTCTGGATTGTTTTATTGTTATTCTGTCTCTCAGTGTTCAAATAAACCTACTATTAAAATTATAAAATGATCATTTCTTTGTCAGTGGGCAAACGTACAAAATCAGCAGGGGATCAAATACTTTTTTTCCTCACTGTATATGTACGCCATCTAACCCAAAGAAACCTCTTATGAATGTAAAAGCAGTCCCGTAGAAGTGGCTCAAGGACCCAAAATGCCAAGCGGTCAGCAACAAAGGGGTTGAGAGATTCCCAGGCGTTTGCCAATATCTCTAATGCTTGTGTTATGGGCTGTTTAGATCACTACAGGTTCTCGATTTAAAAACGATATGCATTTACCAAATATTTTTCCGACATTTCAACCAGGAAATTCAAACTGCTCTATAGCTTTATTTTTTCCTCCTGATGACGATTGCTTGTGTTGCGATGGAAACGTCATAGTTTTTTGTAAAAAAAATTGTTCTACGTGACTTTACCGAAAAACCCCAAGAATATGCTCTATAGCTATACACGTGTAGTAATGAGTGTAACTTTATGAGTACACTGCATGAATTCCAAGTATAATAAATGATTGAATATAATTGAACTTGCAAACACTGAAAATTTTAGATAAATTATCACTACTAAATATAAAAATTGTTAGAATTGCATGAAATACATCCAAATGGTACAACTGTAAAACTCTCATCCACAATTATTTGATTACATATGCATGCAGATGGAATCATAGAACATACAAGCAGACCTCGCTTAGCGGTGAGAAGATACAGCGCGCCGGCCAAGGAAACGTACCCACCCCCATCATTCTCTCAGCCAATGAGAAAAACGCACGCTCAGCCAACCAGACCCACCCCCTGTGATTCGATTAACACGGTTCGGAGTCACAATTACATTTTTTAAAAATCTATTTGTTTAGGCAGGCGAGACCAGGATAGTTTACCTAAAATAAACCTAACCACGCAAATGTAGACTGAGGGCATGACTAAGATCACGGAGGTCCTGAAGCTGACTCTAAGTGACCTGGACTGGGTGCGTAGCAGTAGCTCCTCCAATCTTGTCTTCCACCGCTTTTTGTATAAATTCCATCAACTGTTTATCTAAATGCTCTTTTGTATTTTTTTGTGGTTGAAACAAAATGATGTAGCATTTGTGGAAGAACAGAAAAATAAGGATTCCGTAGCCAGAGAGAATGATAGAGATGACCTCGACAACGACCCTGTGCTCGTTACTCAGAATGTAAGCGGGAATGAATGATATCCACACAATAAAGAACGTTAAGGCACTGAACATCACGAACTTGCCCTCGTTGAAGTTATTAGGAAGCTTGCGTACCATGAATGATAGCATTAAACAAATCAATGCCAAAACGTACAAATACGCGATAATAAACGCGAAGTTCAATGGAGAGCCTTCATCGCATTGCAGGAAGATTGTGTCGGCTTTTATGTTTTCATTCCTAAATACGCTTGGAGACGCTAGGAAGTACCAGACCACGCACAATGCAACTTCGATGACAATAACCACGGCTACGATAGGGATTTCTGCGCGTGTCATTTGTCTGTGGAATGTGTTATTCCTGGTTAGACTGGGCTTGAACGTAATTATCATTGAGATTGTTTTGACCAAGATGCAAGACAAGCAGGACGAGAAACTGACACCGAAAAAGGGCTGGCGGGCAATGCACATCCAGGGCTTTGGTATGCCGACAAACACGTAGATGCAGAGGAAATTGCAGAACAAACAAATCAATAGCATGAGGCTTATTTTGAAATTTGACGCCTTTACGATTGGTGTTTCTCTATACTTGTAGAAAATGAAGAGTACATCGAACGTGAGAAAGATGCCAATGATCGCAGCAATGTGAAGAATGAGCCCTTCGACTGAGTCCCACTTTAGGTACTGCACGGGTTTAACAAAGCAGTCGGTGTGTGTTCCCGTTGACCAGGAGTCCGGAGGGCACCTCATACAGTTATTGGCGTCTGCAACGGAACACAGCAACAAACGGTGAGAGGGCATGGGCACTGATAGTGTGGTCTCATCAACACTCCGTTCGACCACCACACTTTGCAGGTCACAACAACGTATAGCAAACCCCTCCTTCTTGCAGGTTTAACTATCGCGGTTTTTTCTGTTTCGTGCCAAATCTATTGAGGTACAGTTCGCCGATCGTGCCCTTGTGGCGGCTCAACCATTCGCGGTTGACCGCGAGATTCCTGTATGCATTGTAACTGCACTACTCGCAATGCTGCTGCTGCGGAAGAACACACCTAGCTGTCTTGTCTCCAAAGCGGCCCATCTCGGGTCTCAGATCACGTGGTGTTCCCAGCCTCCAATGAGGAGTCAGTGAGGTTCAGTCACCTGTGATTTTTATTACTGTACTGTACAGTACTGTACATTACATTGTTTTTTAATTCTATACATTTACCATATAAGTTACATTTAACACGATAAAATATTCGTCATATTTTACATTCAAAATACTTCCTTACTCTTTGGTTCTTTCGGTAAAGTCACGTAGATATAAAAATAAAATAAATAATATATCATGACGTTTCGATCGCAACACAAGCGGTCGTCCTTAAGCAGAAAAATAATAATCCAGCAGTGGAACTGCTGAACCAGCGAGAGAGCTGTTACAACAACAAGAGGTTATATATGTGGCGATGGGCAAGCAGGCGGGGTCTGAGCTGGAAAGGAATTCCATCCCCGGCCGCAAGCACGTCAGTTGTGTTAATGGGGGAGATTAGGGAGAGAGAGATTAGGGAGAGCGATTAGCATGAAATGAGCTTCCGTTGCCGCATAAGCGTATCATCCCCGCATATGGCACAACAGCAGTGTTAATGGGAGATTAACACTATATTGATGGGAGAGATTAGGCAGAGAGATTAGGGGAATTAGCAAGTTAATGTCATGTCTGTGTAACACAAGCTGCTGCGCTGCCAACTGCGCTGTGAGAGGCAAGCGCGTCCACGCAAGAGAACCACCATAACACGATGGTCGCGCCAGTGAGACACAAAGCCCATCACAGCCAGAGCCATCGATACATCGAGGCTAAGGGAGCAGAGGGGACCATGTTAGTGAGACCCCAGCCCGTTAATGAAGAGGCACCTAACAGGGCAATGCAACTCAGAGAGATAACAGCACTGTTCTCTCCGACTATCTGAATTGCAAGAAAGGGGCTGCGTATGCGACATGGGAGGATAAGCGAAGGGGGGGGAGAGAGAGAAGGTGGGGTATAGATAATCGGAGGCAGGGGGAGAGAGAGAAGCTGTGATAGTGAATGTGACTCAGAGTGTCGAGAATAGCTGCTAACAACAGTAGGTAGGAAGGGGGGGGGGGCATCATAGCCAGTTATGACCTAAACCGGTAATAACATCCTTCCAATGATTGCTCAGTTTGTACCCATTTTCTTGGTTGAAATTGTGTCTGTGTTTATATATCTGGATGACTTCATGGACAAATCTTTGGTGGTAGCTCGATGGTTTGCAGAGTACCTTGGTTTCGGAAAAAACAATATTGTGTGAACCCACCGCGTTAAAACAGTGATCCGCCATGGCAAAGGTATTGGTTCTGCCGTGTTTCAAATCTGCCTTGTGTTCGCGAACATGGTCCGAGACATGTCGTTTCATTTCCCCAATGTAACTGCTGCTTATCTCTGCCCCCCCTCTCCTGCCGCCGGTCCTCCCATGTCGCACACGCAGCCCCTTTCTTATCTATGCCCCACCCCCTTTCTCTCCCCCTGCCGCCGATCCCCCGCTCAACAGTCGTTTATGACTCTTGGGCTATGCCCATTTCTACCCTTTAGAAGCAGCCGGCATAAGCAGCTTGCCTCCTACCTTATATAACCTCTTGTTGCAGTAGCTTTTTCTCCTTTGTCAGCAGTTCCCCTGCTGTGTTGATCCTACCTGATTACGGTTGCTTGTGTCGCGATTGAAACGTCGTGATTTATTTTATTTTATACCTACTACGTGACTTTACCGAAAGAACCAAAGAGTATGGATTCCTGCAGTCACGAAAGCTTCAAATCCAGATTAAAATACTTCTTGTTTAATGTTTGGGTTGGTATACGGAAACAAAAGGAGGGGGTGTTGAAGAACGAACCGTGAACCAACTACTATTTTTTGCCAAAATTCCGTTGAGTTTGCGGATTGCAGATTTGCTGATTGCAGCTATTTGGAAGAATGTAACTCCCGCAGTGGGCAAGGGTTTGCTATACTCACTATTAGCGAGTGACACCTATGAAGGGCGACACGGCACAAGAGGGGGTGGGTGGCCAGCACCACGCCCAGCCGCCTTTGTCTCCCCAGTGCTGATGTTTACATTCTGCACTAGGTTACTCATTTAACACAGGTGTTAAGATGTTCAAATAATAAAGACACCTATTGCAAGGCATCATCAAGTCTGCATTAACCATATATCTTTGTGGTAAAACATGCTTTTCTAATCATGTATGCCTTGTCCTTGGAAATGATTGGCCAACACCAGAGACAGCCTCCTTTCACACCAGTATTATTGCTGGAAAGGATAAAGCTTACGGTAAAATTTGTTTGCATTCACAGCAATACCTTTAGTCTTGCTGAAATCGCCATCTGAGCATTGCACACATCTGTAGCAGCAGGAGGGCTGCCCCGCTTCGTATTCCTTCTTGCTGCCTTCTGGACAAGCAGCCACGCATAATGAATCTGGAGCCTGTCATGCATTGACAACAACATTGCTCAATTAGATTTAGCACAATGTACGAATCGTACATTATAACAAATGAAAAACAGGCAGACCGCTTAGCGCGACGCCGCTATAGCGCTCTTTGTCCTCGAGAATCTTTTTTACGAATTTTTTAAAATCAAAACATCTACAAAGTGCTTACGAGTGAAAACACAGCAGCAGTGGCCGAGGAAACGTACCCTCCCCCATCATTCAGCCAATAAGAGCGACGCACGCTCTTGAGTCAACCAGACCTCGCTTCCCATAATTATATTATGTATGCTGAACTTCTTTCGAACCGTACGTAGGCAAGACGATTCGTAGTGACGATTACATGTTTTTTATCGATTTGTTTAGCCAGGTGAGAACTCACGAGACCAGGTTAGTCTCAGGCGCCACCTAAAATAAACCTCACCACACAAATGTAGACTGAGGGCATCACTAAGATCACGGAGGTCCTGAAGCTGTTCTCTGAGTGCCCCCGATTGGGACCGCAGCAGAATCTACAACCTCGTCTCCCACCGCTGCCTTGTAGGAGTGCAATAGAATGCACTTGTGAGTGCAGTACTTACTGATATAATACATTTTATTGATGAAAGAGTGTTTATCGTCTTTATTATTATCGCTATTATCCATACCCCAATAAACCCCTCATGTATTGCTCATACAAAAAAAATCACATTGTTGGGAACGCATCCCCATGTAGTAAACAATTGTGTAACGACCCCTTTTCGCGCAGATTCGATTCTCGCTCACTTGTCCAGGAACGTATCTTGAGGGGCGCTAAGCGAGGTCTGCCGTATCAGATGGCCGAGATGGACATTGGAGTGGTCTGTATGAGTGCGGTGACAACGGGAAGGCTGAAAAGCGGATGGTGGGGAGACTGAGGGCGGATGTCGGGGAGACTGAGGGCGGATGGTGGGGAGACTGAGCGGATGGTGGGGAGACTGAGGGTGGATCACAGTGGCGTTTTTCCTGCACAGCAGCTGCAGGATCTCGCAAGAGGGGTAGAACGCATTGGCAAGGATTGACGCCATCAACAGCTTTGGCCACAAAGGCATTTTGATCTTTAATTATTTGAAAACTTTTTTTTTTACAAATTATATTTGTGTGAACATCACTCACTGAGCTAGGATTGTTAGAATTGTGACCGTTTAATGAGCAACAGTTGGTAAAACGTCAAACGTTGCTTTAAGAGTCTAAGACACTCAGCTCCCTTATATAATGACATAGGATTCACAACACTGGCTCAAACGATTCACACACACGAGTCATTTTACTTCTTGCATATCTGCAACATTACACATCTGTGAAGGGAAAGTCAATCGCAACTAAACATAAACATGGGTTTATAAAGTACTGGGGTACATCTCCACAATCTCTCAGTGTTCCCTCACTGTTCATCTGGAAACACTTTGTACAAAGATATCATAAATTGCACTCTAGATGCCAAAATTGCCCTTTCCACAACCAAATAAATGTATCTGATATATGCATCTGGATAATATGTGTGACATGATATTGCCCCACTTTATCTTGCCTTTCTCATCTCCTTCCATGTCCCCTCCTCTAGTCCTCTTCGTTCCCAATCTTGTCTGTCTCTGCCCCTCCTGCTCTCTGTGCCCATTCCCATTTTCGGTCTTTTTCCCTCATTGCACCCCTCCACTGGAATCAACTTCTCCTGTACGCTTGTAGTGACTGGGAATGCCACTGTGTGGGGTGCCGGGCCTGCGAGGCCACGGCGGGATGTCTACTGTTGTGTGTACGCCCCGGACATGGGGTGTAGTACCAGCCCTAGTGGGGGCTTGGGTGAGCGCTGGTTAAGTGCGATGGCACCACGCAGAGCGTGCGGTGCGGGCTCCCGTTGTCAGCCAGCTCGGGTTACGTTGGGGGCATGATACTCTGGCTGACCTGGGGACATGTGACTGGATGATACTGGAGGGGGGCCACCGTTGGAGAGGGCCAATGGGTGGTCACATGGTCTGAGAAGAACTCTCGAGAGCCTTCGGGCAAGGGCGAGAGAGATCGAGAAGGTGGGCGGGGCGAGAGGTGGAGCCAGCCCCAGCCCGGCCCGATATAAGGGGGGGGCCCTGTGAGGGGCTCACGGTTCTTGCTGTTGGAGAGGCAAGGAGGTCCACGTCAAGCTTGAAGAAGCCTCCAGCCACGCGGTCCGGGACCCATCTTGTCGTCCGGACCGGAATAGTGGAACCGTGTCTAGTTCCGCCGTAGCGTGGTTAGTTGGGTGGTCACCACTCGAGAGTATGTTGTGTTAATAGCCCTGGAGTATGTTGGGTTAATAGCCTGGAGTATGTTGTGTTAATAGCCTGAAATGTGTTGTGTTAATAGCCTGGAGTGTGTTGTGTTAATAGCCTGGAGTGTGTTGTGTTAATAGCCTGGAGTGTGTTGTGTTAATAGCCTGGAGTGTGTTGTGTTAATAGCCTGGAGTGTGCTGTGTTAATAGTCTGGAGTGTGTTGTGTTAATAGCCTGGAGTGTGTTGTGTTAATAGCCTGGAGTGTGTTGTGTTAATAGCCTGGAGTGTGTTGTGTTAATAGCCTGGAGTGTGTTGTGTTAATAGCCTGGAGTGTGTTGTGTTAATAGCTTGGAGTATGTTGTGCTATGAGTTTAATAAAACGTGTTGTTCCCAAGACAACGTCTGCGACTCAGTTGTACTCACTACACATTTAATAGCACTGCCCAATTAATCAGCACTGCCAATAGACTCAACACTGCCCATAGACTCAACACTGCCTCTGTATATTAAGCAGTTCCCCTCCTTAACCTCATTCCCTTCCTCTCTTAAAGTCTCACCTCTGCTCCATTGCCCATTCCTATTCCCTCCCCTCGTTCCTCCACTCCATTCCATCCCTACCCTTTTGTGTGATTCCTAAGTAACCCTCTATCACTGTCACTCATTCCTCAATCCTTGTAGTATGCCCCTGCCAACTACATCATTCTATTTTGTGTCATCATTTTCTAAGCAATGTCAAGCGCCTTGAGTGAAGGCGCTCAATATACAATTAGATTAGGATAAAAAGGAGCTACTTTGTAAAATAAAATGCACAAATTACCTTCAGCTGTTTCCCCATCCAAATGAGGAGCTCATCGTTGATGATGAGATGTCCTTTGTTGGTGCTGTTCGTGTTGTTGTTTAGATTGGTGTAGGACCCGACTGCTACCATCTTCATGTTCTCATCGTCCTTCCGCTGCCATTGCTTCAAGATGTAATAGGCAACGGGATCTCCATTTGCGTCAAATCTAATGTTGTAGCCGTTATCTTTGAAGTCAACTTTCTTTAAGTACCTCATAACCTAAAAATACATAATAATTACTCAGTTTAACACGTAATCTTTCGCGACCAGTATTATTCATAATAAAGGTTTTGGGTTAGATCGTGTTATTATAAATGTGTCGCAGCCCTCCACCACCCGACACGGCCAATCCGTAAAAAATGTGTCACGTTAACAAAACGCCAATTAGAATAGAATTGGAGTCACTCTTCAAACACACCGGTGGGCTGAAGAAGTAACTAATTGGTGTTTTGTTAACATGACACACTTTTTTACTGATTGGCCGTGTCGGGTGGTGGAGGGTTGCGACACATTTATAATACATACTGAAAACCAAAAATGTAAAAACAAAACTGTACTGAACTTGACCAACACTGTATTAACCGGTGACATGGTCTCTATCCTTTCTAAAGGCCTTAACTTTGCCGTTACCCCACGCACAATTCCAGTGGATGAGATAATTGCTGAGGTAGAATCAGCAGTTAGACTCCTTCCACATAATGAGGCAGAGATGACTAGACATGAGGTTGCTAAAATAATTGAGAATAGCAAAGTTCCAAAAGTAAATATTAGCTCTAACGAGGCAAAAGCCTTAAGAGAGCTGCGTGTAAATAAGGATATCCAAATCCTAGCAGCTGATAAAGGCCGCACTACTGTACTGATGTCACGAGCCGATTATGATAATAAAATTAGAAATTTACTAGAGGAAAGTACCTACATTAAAATTAAACGAGATCCAACTAATACTTTAGAACGTAAGACCACTGCAATAATTGCAAATTCATTAATCCCTAAAAATGAGCAATACCTAATTAAGCCAAGGGCCTCAAAACCACCTAGACTCTATGGGCTACCAAAGATTCATAAAATCGGCATCCCATTACGACCCATAGTCAGTACAATTGGCTCTGCCACATATCAATTAGCAAAATATATAACCAAACAAATACAGCCCTACATCAGTAAGACATCTTCATTTATAAAAAATTCAGAACATCTTGTGAATGTGATTAAAGATATTAAACTTACTCCTGATGATATTCTGGTAAGCTTTGATGTGATTTCTCTATTCACTAAGGTTCCAGTGGACGAATCGCTTAAATTACTTGATACACTAGTAAAGAATACCGGTTTACAAAAAGATATTCCGAAACTTGCTGGCCATTGCTTAAATAACACTTACTTCTTATGGAGAGGGGATTTCTTTAAACAAAAGGAAGGAGCAGCAATGGGTTCTCCTTTATCCCCTGCTATAGCAAATTTGTACATGGAAAACTTTGAAATAAGAGCACTTGCCTCGAGCACATTAAAACCATCCTTTTGGTTTAGGTATGTGGATGACACTTTGGTTGTCTGGCCACATGGTAAAGATACACTTAATGATTTTCTAAATCATCTCAATGCACAAAACCCGGCCATCCAGTTCACCATGGAAATGGAGGTGAATAATACACTCCCATTCCTAGATATTTTGCTTGGACATGGCCTAAACGGTAAAATAACACACAGCGTTTACAGAAAGCAAACGCACACTGATGCCTATCTGAATGCAGAATCACATCATCATCCAGCTCAAAAATCCTCTCTTATTAAGACGCTCGTGCATCGGGCGAAAACAGTGTCAGATGGTGAGAGTCTAGTGAGAGAGATTAAACACGTTAAAGACGCACTACGACAGAATGGCTACAATAATGCTCAAATTAACAGAGCACTGAATGCCAAATCACGATCGCAAAGCAATACTACTGAAAGCGACCAGATTGTTAAAACAATAAAAAAAAATTCCATATATCTCAGGAGTAACTGACAAATTAGCCCGCGTTTTGCAAAAGCAAAACATTACAGTAAGATTTGGTACAGTACACAAAATTCAAAAACTAGTATCTTGCACTAAAGACGCATTACCTAAACTATCAACAGAAGGTGTATATCGGATTAATTGTTCATGTGGCAGCTGCTACATTGGGCAGACGGGACGTAACATCAGCGTAAGACTAAAAGAACATCAGAGAAATATTAAATTGTCTCAAACACAACTGTCGGCAGTGGCAGAACATGCTTGTCAACAAGGACACTCAATTGATTTTGACAATGTTGCAGTGGTGTGTAAAACTAATTATTACTGGCAAAGACTAATTAGAGAATCCATTGAAATTGAGAGGAACAAGAATAACTTTAATCGCTCTGACAGCTACCGGCTCAGTGCGGCCTGGAAGCGTATTATTAAATAATACACATTACATTTTGATTTAAAGAATTACTAATCTACAACTCATTACTAATCATAACCAATGACTGATTACTAATCGATTATATAATTACATTACCCCCCCCTCCGCCTCTAATCACTGCACCTGATGAGTTAAGTGATGACGTCACTCTTCTGCTCTATATAAAACCGGGAGCAAGCGAGGGCTTTACCATTCTGGCGAATTGCCCGATGATGCTGGAAGTATTTACCAGCGAAACGTCGTACTCAAACTGTAAATGTGGATTAACTCTTCAACACACCGGTGGGCTGAAGTAGTGAATTATTTGTCTTTTGTCAACGTGACACTTTTCTTTGCTGATTGGCCGTGTCGGGTGGTGGAGGGTTACGACACATTTATAAATAAACGCGATCTAACCCAAAAACCTTTATTATGAATAATATTGGTCGCGAAAGCCTACGTGTTAAACTGACTAACCTCTATGGGGAGGATACTTTTCTTAAAACCAGAAAATTGGAGAAGCTTCGCATTAAGCGGATGAAATTGATATCTTCACTGGCGTTCCTCAAAAGGTGCAGAGATTCAAAGGTAATACCAAACGCAGTTAAAATAACACATCACATAAAGTCTTCTAAAGCTAACCAAATACTACACAAAGCTAGCGAATTATTATTAATAGAGAGAATACAGCACAATAGGAGTGAATTATCTTACATTTCGGAATCGCTAAAGCAGTTACACTTAGATATAAGCAATAGTGTATCTATGCATTATTGGAATATAATCGATAACATAACACAACAATCGGCTGATAATGTGTTTAAACTAACAAAAACTAACCAAATTAATAAATTTTCTAGACTACATAATAAACAAATCCCTACTGAAAACCAAAAATGTAAAAACAAAACTGTACTGAACTTGACCAACACTGTATTAACCGGTGACATGGTCTCTATCCTTTCTAAAGGCCTTAACTTTGCCGTTACCCCACGCACAATTCCAGTGGATGAGATAATTGCTGAGGTAGAATCAGCAGTTAGACTCCTTCCACATAATGAGGCAGAGATGACTAGACATGAGGTTGCTAAAATAATTGAGAATAGCAAAGTTCCAAAAGTAAATATTAGCTCTAACGAGGCAAAAGCCTTAAGAGAGCTGCGTGTAAATAAGGATATCCAAATCCTAGCAGCTGATAAAGGCCGCACTACTGTACTGATGTCACGAGCCGATTATGATAATAAAATTAGAAATTTACTAGAGGAAAGTACCTACATTAAAATTAAACGAGATCCAACTAATACTTTAGAACGTAAGATCACTGCAATAATTGCAAATTCATTAATCCCTAAAAATGAGCAATACCTAATTAAGCCAAGGGCCTCAAAACCACCTAGACTCTATGGGCTACCAAAGATTCATAAAATCGGCATCCCATTACGACCCATAGTCAGTACAATTGGCTCTGCCACATATCAATTAGCAAAATATATAACCAAACAAATACAGCCCTACATCAGTAAGACATCTTCATTTATAAAAAATTCAGAACATCTTGTGAATGTGATTAAAGATATTAAACTTACTCCTGATGATATTCTGGTAAGCTTTGATGTGATTTCTCTATTCACTAAGGTTCCAGTGGACGAATCGCTTAAATTACTTGATACACTAGTAAAGAATACCGGTTTACAAAAAGATATTCCGAAACTTGCTGGCCATTGCTTAAATAACACTTACTTCTTATGGAGAGGGGATTTCTTTAAACAAAAGGAAGGAGCAGCAATGGGTTCTCCTTTATCCCCTGCTATAGCAAATTTGTACATGGAAAACTTTGAAATAAGAGCACTTGCCTCGAGCACATTAAAACCATCCTTTTGGTTTAGGTATGTGGATGACACTTTGGTTGTCTGGCCACATGGTAAAGATACACTTAATGATTTTCTAAATCATCTCAATGCACAAAACCCGGCCATCCAGTTCACCATGGAAATGGAGGTGAATAATACACTCCCATTCCTAGATATTTTGCTTGGACATGGCCTAAACGGTAAAATAACACACAGCGTTTACAGAAAGCAAACGCACACTGATGCCTATCTGAATGCAGAATCACATCATCATCCAGCTCAAAAATCCTCTCTTATTAAGACGCTCGTGCATCGGGCGAAAACAGTGTCAGATGGTGAGAGTCTAGTGAGAGAGATTAAACACGTTAAAGACGCACTACGACAGAATGGCTACAATAATGCTCAAATTAACAGAGCACTGAATGCCAAATCACGATCGCAAAGCAATACTACTGAAAGCGACCAGATTGTTAAAACAATAAAAATTCCATATATCTCAGGAGTAACTGACAAATTAGCCCGCGTTTTGCAAAAGCAAAACATTACAGTAAGATTTGGTACAGTACACAAAATTCAAAAACTAGTATCTTGCACTAAAGACGCATTACCTAAACTATCAACAGAAGGTGTATATCGGATTAATTGTTCATGTGGCAGCTGCTACATTGGGCAGACGGGACGTAACATCAGCGTAAGACTAAAAGAACATCAGAGAAATATTAAATTGTCTCAAACACAACTGTCGGCAGTGGCAGAACATGCTTGTCAACAAGGACACTCAATTGATTTTGACAATGTTGCAGTGGTGTGTAAAACTAATTATTACTGGCAAAGACTAATTAGAGAATCCATTGAAATTGAGAGGAACAAGAATAACTTTAATCGCTCTGACAGCTACCGGCTCAGTGCGGCCTGGAAGCGTATTATTAAATAATACACATTACATTTTGATTTAAAGAATTACTAATCTACAACTCATTACTAATCATAACCAATGACTGATTACTAATCGATTATATAATTACATTACCCCCCCCCTCCGCCTCTAATCACTGCACCTGATGAGTTAAGTGATGACGTCACTCTTCTGCTCTATATAAAACCGGGAGCAAGCGAGGGCTTTACCATTCTGGCGAATTGCCCGATGATGCTGGAAGTATTTACCAGCGAAACGTCGTACTCAAACTGTAAATGTGGATTAACTCTTCAACACACCGGTGGGCTGAAGTAGTGAATTATTTGTCTTTTGTCAACGTGACACTTTTCTTTGCTGATTGGCCGTGTCGGGTGGTGGAGGGTTACGACACATTTATAAATAAACGCGATCTAACCCAAAAACCTTTATTATGAATAATATTGGTCGCGAAAGCCTACGTGTTAAACTGACTAACCTCTATGGGGAGGATACTTTTCTTAAAACCAGAAAATTGGAGCAGCTTCGCATTAAGCGGATGAAATTGATATCTTCACTGGCGTTCCTCAAAAGGTGCAGAGATTCAAAGGTAATACCAAACGCAGTTAAAATAACACATCACATAAAGTCTTCTAAAGCTAACCAAATACTACACAAAGCTAGCGAATTATTATTAATAGAGAGAATACAGCACAATAGGAGTGAATTATCTTACATTTCGGAATCGCTAAAGCAGTTACACTTAGATATAAGCAATAGTGTATCTATGCATTATTGGAATATAATCGATAACATAACACAACAATCGGCTGATAATGTGTTTAAACTAACAAAAACTAACCAAATTAATAAATTTTCTAGACTACATAATAAACAAATCCCTACTGAAAACCAAAAATGTAAAAACAAAACTGTACTGAACTTGACCAACACTGTATTAACCGGTGACATGGTCTCTATCCTTTCTAAAGGCCTTAACTTTGCCGTTACCCCACGCACAATTCCAGTGGATGAGATAATTGCTGAGGTAGAATCAGCAGTTAGACTCCTTCCACATAATGAGGCAGAGATGACTAGACATGAGGTTGCTAAAATAATTGAGAATAGCAAAGTTCCAAAAGTAAATATTAGCTCTAACGAGGCAAAAGCCTTAAGAGAGCTGCGTGTAAATAAGGATATCCAAATCCTAGCAGCTGATAAAGGCCGCACTACTGTACTGATGTCACGAGCCGATTATGATAATAAAATTAGAAATTTACTAGAGGAAAGTACCTACATTAAAATTAAACGAGATCCAACTAATACTTTAGAACGTAAGACCACTGCAATAATTGCAAATTCATTAATCCCTAAAAATGAGCAATACCTAATTAAGCCAAGGGCCTCAAAACCACCTAGACTCTATGGGCTACCAAAGATTCATAAAATCGGCATCCCATTACGACCCATAGTCAGTACAATTGGCTCTGCCACATATCAATTAGCAAAATATATAACCAAACAAATACAGCCCTACATCAGTAAGACATCTTCATTTATAAAAAATTCAGAACATCTTGTGAATGTGATTAAAGATATTAAACTTACTCCTGATGATATTCTGGTAAGCTTTGATGTGATTTCTCTATTCACTAAGGTTCCAGTGGACGAATCGCTTAAATTACTTGATACACTAGTAAAGAATACCGGTTTACAAAAAGATATTCCGAAACTTGCTGGCCATTGCTTAAATAACACTTACTTCTTATGGAGAGGGGATTTCTTTAAACAAAAGGAAGGAGCAGCAATGGGTTCTCCTTTATCCCCTGCTATAGCAAATTTGTACATGGAAAACTTTGAAATAAGAGCACTTGCCTCGAGCACATTAAAACCATCCTTTTGGTTTAGGTATGTGGATGACACTTTGGTTGTCTGGCCACATGGTAAAGATACACTTAATGATTTTCTAAATCATCTCAATGCACAAAACCCGGCCATCCAGTTCACCATGGAAATGGAGGTGAATAATACACTCCCATTCCTAGATATTTTGCTTGGACATGGCCTAAACGGTAAAATAACACACAGCGTTTACAGAAAGCAAACGCACACTGATGCCTATCTGAATGCAGAATCACATCATCATCCAGCTCAAAAATCCTCTCTTATTAAGACGCTCGTGCATCGGGCGAAAACAGTGTCAGATGGTGAGAGTCTAGTGAGAGAGATTAAACACGTTAAAGACGCACTACGACAGAATGGCTACAATAATGCTCAAATTAACAGAGCACTGAATGCCAAATCACGATCGCAAAGCAATACTACTGAAAGCGACCAGATTGTTAAAACAATAAAAAAAATTCCATATATCTCAGGAGTAACTGACAAATTAGCCCGCGTTTTGCAAAAGCAAAACATTACAGTAAGATTTGGTACAGTACACAAAATTCAAAAACTAGTATCTTGCACTAAAGACGCATTACCTAAACTATCAACAGAAGGTGTATATCGGATTAATTGTTCATGTGGCAGCTGCTACATTGGGCAGACGGGACGTAACATCAGCGTAAGACTAAAAGAACATCAGAGAAATATTAAATTATCTCAAACACAACTGTCGGCAGTGGCAGAACATGCTTGTCAACAAGGACACTCAATTGATTTTGACAATGTTGCAGTGGTGTGTAAAACTAATTATTACTGGCAAAGACTAATTAGAGAATCCATTGAAATTGAGAGGAACAAGAATAACTTTAATCGCTCTGACAGCTACCGGCTCAGTGCGGCCTGGAAGCGTATTATTAAATAATACACATTACATTTTGATTTAAAGAATTACTAATCTACAACTCATTACTAATCATAACCAATGACTGATTACTAATCGATTATATAATTACATTACCCCCCCCTCCGCCTCTAATCACTGCACCTGATGAGTTAAGTGATGACGTCACTCTTCTGCTCTATATAAAACCGGGAGCAAGCGAGGGCTTTACCATTCTGGCGAATTGCCCGATGATGCTGGAAGTATTTACCAGCGAAACGTCGTACTCAAACTGTAAATGTGGATTAACTCTTCAACACACCGGTGGGCTGAAGTAGTGAATTATTTGTCTTTTGTCAACGTGACACTTTTCTTTGCTGATTGGCCGTGTCGGGTGGTGGAGGGTTACGACACATTTATAAATAAACGCGATCTAACCCAAAAACCTTTATTATGAATAATATTGGTCGCGAAAGCCTACGTGTTAAACTGACATTTATAATAACGCGATCTAACCCAAAAACCTTTATTATTAATAATAATTACTATGTAACCATACATAATGTGATAAAAGCGAATTCATTTAATCGTCAACTTTGAAAGGAATACTTTTATACACCGTATTTTACAATATATAAAAAAACCTACAGGACCATTGTATCAGGTCCATATTACTATCACTGAAACACAATTGTATTTAATTTTCTATAGGCAAGTCCTCGTTTAACGCGTGGTGTTCACACAACACGTTTTCGCTATAACGCGGTTTTTCCATGAGGGTACTCTTGCACAACACGGAATATGCAACGTCATAACGCAGAACCTGCACCGTTGTACCCTGTCAAGACTATACGGGGGATCTTTACCTCTATGCATACCTGCCATGGCTGGATGTCAGACAGATTGGCACAGTGGCCTCCGGCAAAGACACTGGTCCACGTTGTGCAGGCGGTGAGCTCATGCAGTGCGTGGGCCACGGCGTACAACGCCAGGTACACCGCGTACGGCACGGTCATCTCGCTCGGGTTGAAGAACGACGAGGTCACGCTGCCCAGAGATTCGTCTCCGCTGCAAGCCGGTAGGCGCGCGGCGTCCACGAGCCCAGATGGATATGGTGTACAGTGAAATGTCTCCTGCCACAGTTCAGTCATGAACGGGTTGTCTGTTGTAGGTTTGCTGTTTCTAAGAAAATCGCTGAGCTTGTTCATGTCGGCGCTAATCATGTCAAACCCTATGGTGCCTTCAAGAACGTCGGCATACTGCGGTTTGTGAATGACTGGAGAACTAATCCAAGATTCACTTGCGATGAACGTTTTCCCAACAATCTGTCTTCTGGCCATCTCTTTGATGATAGGCTCAAGTTCGGCGTCGATTACAAATGCAATAATTACTTTCACTGTGGAATTTTGAATCACGTTCACGATGCTATTGATATCTTTGATCGCGATTTTCTTCGGCACCCATATTTGAAAGTCGGTGCAAACGCCATACTCATGGGCATCGCTCTGGAACTTCCCGAGGCCCTGCCTGCCGTAGTCATCGTCTGAGCCCAAAATGCCAATCCACGTCCAGCCGAAGTGACCGACAAGCTCGGCAAGGGCCTTTGACTGGAATGTGTCGCTGGGGATCGTCCTCATGAACGTTGGAAACCTTGTCTTGTCACTCAGGCTGGGTGCACTTGCAGAATAACTTATCTGTAATAAACATAAAACGTTTATTTGCGATTATAATCTCAAACAATGCGATGATTACAGTAAATCCTCGTTTAATACGGTATATGCATTCCTGAAAAGTGCCGCGTTAAGTGAAAACACGTTCAAGTGTGGCGAGATACGCTGTACGCACCCGCAGTGAGATAGCGCACATGGTTGAGGGTACACCGCCGCGTCACTGGAACATTCCGTGCACTGACCCCCTAACACCCTAACACTGAATCGCCAGCCCCTGATGCTGAATTCCGAGCCTGAGGCTTTCCCCTAACACTGTCGTTTGAACGTGACTGATTCACATCTAGGTATCTGACTCACATACTTAACGACCGGCCGTCGAGATGCATATGCCAATGTGTCAACATTTGTGGTTTTCCGCTGTGCGTGAGCGGAGATGAGAATCTTTTTCACGTCAAATCGCGTGTAGCCGAAACACCACCCCCGTGTTCCGGAAAGCAAACCTCATTAGGTACACCATGTAGAGCCAAAACACGAGTTGATGAAGCCATGTTGGGCATGGTTTCCCTGTACTCACCATTGGAATGTGCTTTAACCCCAATGTGTATGCTGCAGGAATCGTCAAAAAAGAATAGGCATCTCCTATGACTACCAGCGGAGGTTTCTGTGTCGACCCAGACAGTGAGAATTCGTAGGAGGCCTCCACAGCCTTCATAACGTCAGTGCACGAGTCTATGACTCTATACCCAAGCTTCATATTGGGCAGAAGATCAGATCTATTATTGATCTCTTCGATTGTGTACAGCATCGTGTAGAGTCTTGTCAGAGCCCTCTCGTTTAACCTGGAAAGGAAAGAGACATGTCAACATGTTGGGGAATAAAAAGAATAGGCATGCTTTGTTATGCTTCAAGTCTGTTAGGTACTCTCACTGATGCGCCAAGGCTTAGATACAATCCAATTTTCTTCAGCTAAATGGTGATAAGACGGAGGTGTTGCTTATTGGGTCCCCACACTAACGTTCTAAGACTGGTTCAGTCTAACTACCGTCGGCCACAATATCGGTGCTGTTCAGGAAATTCGCAGTCTTGGTGTTATCTTTGATGCCTCAGTAACCTTCGAAGCGGACATTAACAAGGTAATGAAAGCTGCCTTATTCCATCTTAGAAATGTAGCCAGGTTTTTCCCCATCCTTTCACGATCGGACACTGAGAAGCTGGTTCATGCGTTTGTTTTCGCTCGTATTGACTTTGGTCATTCACTGTTTTCCGGCATCCCACCTTAAACTGTTAAGTCGCCTACAACACCTGAAGAATGCGGCTGCCAGAATTATCACGCGCACCACGCCTCTTGATGAACGCATGACCCCTGTGCTGGCGTCTCTCCATTGTCTTGGGTAGAGTTCAAGATTATTCTCCTCACCTACACGGCCCTCAATGATGCTGCTCCCTCATATATATATATACCGGGATGTTTGTTTTAAACAAATGTAATGATCAAAATACATCACGACAGTGTCATTAATTGTGTTGAATAAGAAGGGTTTCTGATGTTAACATAATTTTTATCCTTAAAACATTTTATAAAAAATATGCATTTAATTTAAATCTGACAAAGTAATTTTCATCAGTCAGTTCCATATAGTATGTTGTTCAGCTTCTCTGAATTCTAGATTACACATGTAAGAAAGTTACGTTAATCTGCATGTAAACTTACATTACGCAATCCGCAGATGTAGGAACGGCGTTGAATTCAAGTGGTAGATTAATGACGCTGTTGTGCAGTGGAAACATTCCACCTAATATAACGTCTCCACCAGACTCTATAAACAGCCTGGTTTCTATATGAGGAGTTATATGCAATAAGATGAAGCCTATAGCTAGTAAACATAATGGTTCCATTTCACGCGACTTCTGAATACAGCCTGTATACCTTTGCATTGTATTTATAGGCGTCGCTTGTGTTGCATGGGAGTTTCCAACATACCTGAAATACATTAGTGGTTATTCCAGTTTGACTGTGTTGTTGTTTTTCCTTTTGTATGGGAGGTATTTGTATTGAATGCCTTTCTTGCTTTGTAAAATTCCACACACAATTGTTGTCCATTATTTTTTTCTTAAATTGAACATACAGCAAACTCTTGCCCATCGTGGGGGGTATGGTCTGGAAAATCTCCTGTCGTGAATCATTTCGAATGTGGGGGTGGGGGGGATGTCGGCTAAATAGACATAGTCATCATCTCAGCCGACAAGGGCAATGCCACTGTCATCTTGGACAAAACCACATACAATAACAATTCAGGACCTACTTAATCATGGCAGCTATACTAAAATCAATAGAGATCCTATCAACCTCCTGGATTAGAAAACCAACAACATCATGGCTGATTCGACATCTTTAATCGATACTCTTTGGTTCTTTCAGTAAAGTCACGTAGGTAGAAAAATAAAATCACGATGTTTCGATCGCAACACAAGCGGTCGTCCTCAGGCGGAAAAAAAGAATCCAGCAGCAGAACTGCTGATCCAGGAAGAACACAGCGAGAGAGCTGTTACAACAACAAGAGGTTATATATGTGGCAAGGGGCAAGCAGCTCACTTGATATCTTCCATTAAGGACATCTCACTATCTCCAGGTGATTTGCTTGTCAGTTTCGATGTGGTATCTTTGTTTACCAAAGTTCCTGTGCCTGACACCATTTCAATCATTGAAGATTTAGTCCAACAAGGATTGAATGCTGATGTACCAGCCCTAGTTAGACACTGCCTCACCAACACTTACTTCACCTGGAATGAAACATTCTACAAACAAATTGAAGTTACCCCTATGGGTTCTCCCTTATCTCCAGTTGTAGCCAATGTTTTCATGGAGAAATTTGAGACAGATGCTATCCAGGCATCCACCCTACGTCCTTGTGGAAGAGATACATTGATGATACGTTCGTCATCTGGGCACATGGCCTACCAGCTCTGGACTAATTCTTCAACCACATCAATTCCATACACCCAGCTATCAAATTCACCATGAAGGTGGAAAAGGATGGCAAGTTACCATTTTTGGATGTTTTAATCGAAAAGAGACCTGATGGCTCAATGGGACACTGTCTACAGGAAAGCCACCCATACGGATGCTTACCTAAAACCTGACTCCCACCACCATCCATCCCAGAATAATTCCCTCATCAAAACTGTATACCACAGAGCTCGTTGTATTTCCGACCATCACCACCTAGCCAGTGAACTGGAGCACGTACACCAAGTCCTCAAGAGGAATGGATATTCGGACTACAAATTCGTAAAGTTATCAACCCAACTGTGGGGAGAGAACCATCTGAGGACCCAATCAAAACCATCACTTGCCATACATAGCTGGGGTCACTAAAAATATTTCCAAATTCTTGAGCAAACACAAGATCCAGGTACGATTTAACACAGTACATTAAATTCGTGATTTTATCCCTTATGTGAAAGTACTCTGCAAACCCACTGGCTATCAACATAGATTCGTTCATGAAGCCATCCAGATATATAAACACCGACACAATTTCAACCGAGAAGATGGGTACAAACTGAGCAATCAATGGAAGGACGTTATTAACCAGTTTAGGTCGTAACTGGCTGTGATGTTCCTATCCTACCTAGCAGTTATTTTCGACTCTCTGTGTTGCATTCCCTAACACGGCCACTGTTAGCTGTGGTAGTAAATGGTGGCTTGACATTCTTTTCCACCTCCATGGGGCCACTGCGCTGTCTTACATTGACATACTAATCTCTCAATACAATGACCACCCCCCACAGCTCCGTAGTACCTCCCCCACATTGGCATTAGCTGCCCGCCCATCTGTAAACCTTTATAAACAGCCTGCCTCGGCAGATTTCCCCCTCTTTTTTCACCTGAAGACGATTGCTTGTGTTGCGATCGAAACATCGTGATATTGTTATTATTTATATTATTTTTTATATCTACGTGGCTTTACCGGAAGACCCAAAGAATAATAAACAATAAAAATCATAAAATTCGGAGATGAGTAGACTCTGCGTTGTGTTCTGTCCTCCGGAGAAGTGGGCGACTCGACAACAGCTCAACGCCAGGGGTTTGGGAAACTTTATTTAAAAGGTCCTCTTCAGAAGGGCAATTGCGTATCTGCAATAGCAATCAGAGATACCCTCCACATCACATCACCGCAGTTCAATTCCTTGGTCCAAAATCCACCCAAATCTAAACTTGGGACTGCCTAGTCCTTTATTGTGCACGTGGAGCTCGGGGTCCAATCTCTGATCACCATTGCCTGATCTCAAATCATAAAACGAACCTGGCTACCCGTAGTTATGTTAAAATAGGTTCCCATATGCTACTGAAAGCACAATTTGTGTTTGATTAATCACAGGTGAGCTCACCCCGGCCGACACCTGCTTAAGGACATTCTTCAGAGAATATTTCAGCAGGCAAACAACCAAAAATAATTTTGTCAGCGTTGACATTTCAAAAATATCCAGATGAGTTGTAATTCCGGTTATTGTATATTCTGATATTTATATGGAGGCATACGTCTAAAATTGCCTTTTGTACAGAAACACTGAATGGCACATAATTGTGCACCTACACACCCTTATTCTGTTTAGTTCCTTTCCGTATGTCTGTAGAGACAATGATGGGGCCAGTTTCACAGTTCCCTTTGCTTGCAGCTCTATTTGTCCATAATACAGGTTTTTTTGGGTTAGATTGCATAAATATAAATGTGTAATTAAACCTGCCACCATCTGACACAGCCAATTAGTAAGGTTTGTCACCTAAACATAACATGCCAATCCGTTACTAGTACAGCAAACTGGTGTGTTGGAGAGCCAAGCCACAACATTTAAAATCTAAGTACAATCTTGATTTGAAGCTTTCGTGACTGCAGGAATCCATACTACTATTTGGTTTTTCGGTAAAGTCACGTAGGTAAAAAATAAATGAAAACTAAATTAAATCACGACGTTTCGGGCGCAACACAAGCGTCCAATTTCTTGTTTACAGCTCAGAGTTAGTGGTGGAAATTCCACGTTCCTTACATTTAAGGGTTGTGAGGGAAGTGCTGGCTTGAGTGAATTGGCCATTGCCAGTTAGGCTCGCATTAGAATGGCACCTTTGAGTCCAGTACTGTTTGCGAGGTTCAGACGGCACCTTTTTCAAACCACAGATGTCAATAAAATCTCTCACGTTTAAAAAGTTCACGGTAATTCCTCAAGTAACGCATGTTCACATAATGCGTTCTTCCAATAGGGAACACTTTCTACACAACGCGGAAAGCGACCGTCTTCTTTTGTGTGGCTGATGTAGATGCCATAAAGTGATTTATGGCATCTACATCAGCCAGACTTCATCCTGGTGCCGGGCCTGTTACTAGCTATTTATTATTATTGCTTGCTTTAAATCGTTGCTGCTGGTGTGAGTGTACGTGGTGGCATGTGCGTTTAGGCCCAGCAGCTTGGCTGGAATCTGTGGGGAATCCTGTTGAATCCCAATTGTGTTGTCTTTTACGGCATTTTTGCTTGCTTGGTGGTCGGACTGGTTGCTTTGAGTTTGTTCTTGTTTCTTTGCTAATGACGTTGATTTGGGCTATGCGATATCTATTTGTGATGCAGCATCCTGTCATACTGTGTTATAGTTGTACATCTTGATGGTTTCAGTCACCATGTATTCATGCCTCTGCAATTAGTGTATTTTAACTGTCATGGGTGTTGAGCCTCGTGTTAAATCACTTTATTCCACTCGATAAAGGTTACTGTCACTGTGACTATGGGCTGGTTACGTCGAATGACAATAGCCTAGGGCTATTTAATAATAGCTCTATTTAATAATAGCCCTAGTGTCATGGTGAGGTTATTCGAAGGCGGTTTAATTTCGGGATAGCACTGCAGGCCTAGGTGTAAAATACACAGCCCACCACAACCGGGTCTGGAGCAGCAGAGTGTATGGCTGTGATGTCTCCTTCGTATTTGTGGATTGGGCATTGGATTGTTTTATGTGGCACATAGCCTGGCACAATGGCACTCCCCCAATTGCGTCCTCCACGAGCCAACCCCACAAGAAGCCACCACTGGTACTGGTCTTTGGCAAGTCCACTCAGCTCCACATCCTCCGGTACTGCTTCAGCTCCATCTCTCCTACAACAACATTCCATAGCGCATGCTCTAAAGAATGATTATTGCCGGAATCGTCGTCTATCCTATACATTTTTGCCATCCATTGTATTGTTTGGCGCTGTGTTAATGTCAAACGCTTCGACTAATGATGGTACCAACAACCTACATGATTTGAACTGAACAAGATGGCAGTTATTCATATTCTTAGCTCTTTCGGTAAAGTCACGTTGAAGGGAAACAATAAAATATATATAAAACAATAAAAATTCTCACGACGTTGGCATTAATGCAAACCGACACACCTGATGACGACCGTTTGTGTTATGGTCGAAACGTCGTGATAATTTTTATTGTTTTATATGTATTTGATTATTTTATTGTTTCCCTTCAACGTGACTGTTCCGAAAGAGCTAAGGAATATGAATTACTGCAGTCACGAAAGCTTTAAATCAAAATTTAAGATGGCAGTTCACCATGGCCACAATAACGTCACGTGACGCATCCTCCACGTTGGTCAACCAAAGTGGGTCACGTGCCCCCCGTGATTTGCGCTAAACAAGATGGCGTCCCAACATCGAGTCTGATTGGCGCATCCACGTCACGTGATGCCACGTTGGTGAATCGAGTGCGCGGCCATTTTCTGGGTGTTGTTCCGTCTTCTTCTCGTTGCCTCCTCTCTCCGCCTCTCCCTCCGGCGGCGCTCTGCCGGCCTGCACCCCGAGTCCCGATTCTACTCCTTCGCTCCGGGGAAGGCCAAGCGATGGCGATCTGAGCGGCGGGGCGTTGGCGGCTCGGACTTCGGCATCGGCAGCGGCGGCACAGACAACGGCGATGGCGTGAGTAGCCATCCATCACAACCCATCACCCTCACAACCCACAACATTACAACCCATCACCCTCACAACATTACAACCCATCACCTTCACAACATTACAACCCATCACCCTCACAACATTACAACCCATCACCCTCACAACATCACAACCCATCACCTTTACAATCCACAACATCACAACCCATCACCCTCACAACATCACAACCCATCACCTTCACAACCCACAACATTACAACCCATCACCTTCACAATCCACAACATCACAACCCATCGCCCTCAACCCACAACATTACAACCCATCACCTTCACAATCCACAACATTATAACCCATCACCCTCACAATCCACAACATCACAACCCATCACCTTCACAATCCACAACATTACAACCCATCACCCTCACAACATTACTACCCATCACCTTCACAATCCACAACATTACAACCCATCACCCTCACAACATTACTACCCATCACCTTCACAATCCATAACATCACAACCCATCACCCTCACAATCCACAACATTACAACCCATCACCTTCACAATCCACAACATCACAACCCATCACCTTCACAACCCACAACATTACAACCCACAACATCACAAACCATCACCTTCACAACCCACAACATTACAACCCATCACCTTCACAATCCACAACATTACTACCCATCACCTTCACAATCCACAACATCACAACCCATCACCTTCACAATCCACAACATTACAACCCATCACCTTCACAATCCACAACATTACAACCCATCACCTTCACAATCCACAACATCACAACCCATCACCTTCACAATCCACAACATTACTACCTATCATCTTCACAATCCATAACATTACAACCCATCTTCATATTCCATAAGTTTCATATTACAATCCATAATCTTCATAATCCATGACATTACAAGCGACGTAACCGTTGCAAGCCATCACATTAAAAGCCAGAGCCTTCGCAATCTACCACCTTAATACATTTAGCGCAAAACCACCATCTAAACCCACGAGAAAGAAAGGGGTTGTTGTATTGTGATGCGCTGTCACGCACGATAGATTTATATAACTTCAATAAAGTTAAATTTCGATTTAAAGCTTTCGTGACTGCAAGGATTCATCTTCTTTGGTTCTTTCGGTAAAGTCTCGTCCCCTTCACCTGATGAAGGCCGCTTGTGTTGTGGCCGAAACGTCGTGAGAATATTATTGTGTTATTTTATTTTATCAATTGATTATTTTATTCTCATTCTACGTGACTACCGAAAGAACCAAAGAAGATGGTTCAATAAAGTTAGTTTTCATAACCTTGATCCATATCGTTTTTAGTATTGTAACTTGCTCACTCGCCCCTGCTGGACATCACATGCATGAAAAAGAGCTTTACAGCTCAATGGATTCTTCCAGTCTAAAATATTCTTATAAAATATTCTGATTCCCCTTGTTATTTCGACAGCGTACGGCCAACCGCGGGTTTACCCATTGCGGTTTTGCGCACAACTAGTGAGGTACAGTTCGCCGATCGCGACCCTGTGGCGGCTCGACACTTCGCGGTTGACCGAGAGTTTCCAGTTCGCATCGTAACTGCACTGCTCGCGATGACGATGGTGCTACAGCTGCTGCGGAACAAACGTGTGCCGTCTTGTCTCCCAAGCGGGCCATCGCGGGTCCCCAGGTCACGTGGTGTTCCCAGCCTCCAGTGCGGTTCACCGCCGACGATTTTTCTTCCATTAGTGTTTTGTACACATACGTATAGCACACGCGCCGTGTACTGTTGTGGTACCGTGCGTACACGCACATGCATGTACGGTACATATGTAATCTCCATATATATAAAAGGCAAAGTTGTGAATGTGTGTCTGTTCAAAATGTTTAGCGTACTTTCCGACATGCAACAAACTTTAAATTTGCCATGTGGGTACTCTCCAGACTGTACACCATGCAAAAATTATAAAAATACACTTTTTTTAGGGGGGGTGGAGGGAGCTCAAGAATGGATATATTTTGCACGGCAAGTGAGCTGTGACGTCACATCTGTCATGTGACCCGTGTGCGGAATTGTAACGGAGTGTGCCTGCTGATTGCCGGTAAAGTGAAATACAAATGTGTTGCAAGTCTAAGGCGTTCTTTGCGCAGCATTGATTTATTATTTCAGTCGTTTACTGCCGTACGCACCCTGAAAGTTGTGTGTCTGCAGCAAGCGCGTGTATGTGTATGGACGCGCGTGTGTGTCGGGGGAGCGGTAGTGTAGTGGTTAGCGCGCTGTGCTACGAACCCGGCGACCCGAGTTAGATTCCCGCTCACGGCCACTACCGGTGACGATTATTTGAACCGGTCCTGGGCCTCCCCTAGGTCGACTCAGCCTCTAACGAGTAACTGGTGTGGTATGTGAACATCGCCACTGGGGGGGCAAAGGCGGCCGGGCGTGGTGCTGGCCACCCACCCTCTCGTATATAATAAATACGTTTTAGAATTGCATACATTTACCTTTGGGGCCGTCCACAAATTACGTCATGCACCGGGGGGGGGGGGGAGGGGGTCAGACGTGTGTGACGAGGGGGGGCGGGCATTTGAGAAATGTGACGTCACATCAAAATGCGCAACTTTAATTATAGACAATACGTTCTACTTAATTAAATAGACTTTTTAATAAATGTTTTCTCCTACAACATCAGAGTGCAGCGCCACATTAAATACACACTACGATTTGAAGAATGTTTTATTTTGGGGGGGGGGGGGGAGCAGAGCTTTGTGACATTTCAGGGGGGGGGGGGGTCTGACTTTTTGTGACGCCGTGTGACGAGGTGGGGGGGTGGTCAAAAATCGTCCAAAATCGCGTGACGTCATTTATGGACGGCCCCTTAAAAGTTATATTGTAACACTACAACATATTAATCATTTTACATTTTAAAGACTTGCTGTAATGTTTGGGTTGGTGCAGGGTAACGTAAAATAAAGCAGAGGTCGTATTACGAACTGTAAACTAACCATAGTTTTCCCACAATGCCTTTGAGTTTGTCTATCGCAGATTTGCCAATTGCAGCTGTTATCGAGAACGTAACCCCCTTGATGGGCAAGGGTTTGCTGTACTGCCATATTCTCTTCCAAACTTACAAGTTGCGTTCACCATCCTGCATCCTCTACATTCCCCAGAATTCAAATACCAAACATATCTTAAATATGTTGTTAAAGTTGTCCGTGCTGTGCCGGCCTTCATAGGTGCTGCTTTCTAACAGCACTTGCCCCAACAGTCTGTAAAGGCTATACGGGGGAAATTTGTCTTTGTTATCAATTCGTTGATTTTCTTGGATGCTTCATGCTTGTTGTGGTTGGCGCGACCATTTCTCGTGGTGCAGGAGGCGCCGTGCAGCACTCACAAAGGAGGCCAAGGCCTCGGGAGACGCCGCTGGGAGACGTGGCTTCATCTTCATCACACGACACCGCCCCAAGCTGAGATTCGCAGCAAGAGGTGCGTCACTGGTGTTGTGTGATCAGGACTGTGAAAATGTTTTATTTGCATCGTAATTTTCCATGAAAAATAAAGGGGGGAGCCACTACCATTGGTGTAACGGTTCGCATACTTGACTCACATTATTAACGTTTTTTTATAAGGCATAGCAGACCCAACAAAGGGCTTCAGAATGCCGTACAGAAACAAAAACATCTCTAGTTTATCTAACATCCTAGGAAATAAGTAGGTTTTTCGTTTATTTATAAATGGGATAATCTTGGTGGTCAGGCAAAGTAGTTCTTCAGATTAACCTGGAGGAATCTGATGAACTATGAAGCTCGTTTTCACAGATGCTGGCCACCCACCCCCTCGTGTGCCGTGCCGGTCTTCATCGGTGCTCGCTAACAGCACTTGCCCCAAAAAGTATGTTAAGGCTATATGGATGATCTTTGTGTTTGTGGCAGACACCAGTTCAGATGTCTCGGCTCCTGTCGTCTCTCATCATGGACGTGGACGACCGCCTGTTGCTGCTGCCTGGGCTGGAGGAGCAGCTGCCGGAGGCCAGGCCCGTGTGCCCCCTGCTCCCTGCTGAGGGAGCCGTAGGGGTAGCCCAGCCCCCTCGCTCCCCTGACCGCAGGGTGTGTGGCAGCGGTGACTTTCCAACCCCCACGCTGCTGGGAACGTGGGAGGAAGCCCGGCATGGTGTGACACCCCTAACCACCATCAACACCGATTCACTTCCACAAACACTCGGCTCACCGGCGCTCAGTCACCTTACCACTCTGCTATTGCTTTGTATTATCCAGTAAGTCCTCGTTTAACACGATAGCAGAGTGTTCATGAAAAGTGCCGCGTTAAGCGAATACAAGTGAAGTTAAAACATTTTGCCCATAAATAATGTCACGAAAAAGTTTGGCGAAATACGATGTATGCACACGCAGTGAGATGGTGGGACAAATAACTGAGGGTACGCCGCCGCGTTACTGGATCATTCAGCATACTGTATCACTTCGCTCAGTCATGCAGCTCAAGAAAGTTCATCATCAACCGCTCAGAAACCACGTTATAATGGTGTGCATTCCGCGTTATTCCGGGCGCATTCCCGCGTTGTGCAAAACATGTTCCCTAATGCACAAAACCGCATTATAGTGAAACACAGGATGGGCATAGCCATCTTAGATCTGACTTGAAGCAGCACACGGAAGTGTTCAAGAAGCCTTGAAGTTGCTCCAATAATATTTGTAAGTCGTAATCTTTTTATCTTAATTATTATTTGTCCTTAAGTCATTTTTGTAATATTAAATGTATACGTATCTAGTAAATCCAGGGCTCAAATTATACTTTACTAGGGGATGTTCAGGGGCGCCTGTGGTGCTTACAACCATTTACGGCCTTCGGCCAGGAAAGTCACGATTTTTTTTTAACACGAACGACGCATTCACGCAAGCACTCGATGCTCCGTTTTGAAGTTTTAAAATGAAATATCTTTGAATTGTATTATATTTTGAATTAGATAATTTTATTTCTTCATTAAAAGCTTATCATTTTGCATCTGGAAGACTTATTGAAAAAATATTTCGTGTGAATTTTCTCTCGTTAAGTAGATGGCCTTGCTGGGGATTCGGTTCTATGTGGACTTTCACCTGTTTGGGATTGCGGGATCGAGATAAGGCAATATAGAGCTGGCTGTGCGAGAAGACCGCCATCTGCAGATCGATTCCAACGTTATCGAATGTCTGTCCCTATGCCTCCGTCCATGCAGGGGGTGCGTAGGTTTGCAGCGCCCCCTGCATTAAAACGACGGAAAGTGCAGCGTTCACAGTATTTTTATTCGATATCGCACCCCCCCCCTCCTTATAACATGTATATCTTTGCAAAAATTGTCTTCATAGAGCGCGATTTAATTTACATGCTGTTTTTCAGGAACGCATGTGAAATGTTACGTGCGTTTTGTGAATGTGCATTAAACGGCAATTTGTTTCATATCCGACCTCTATTCTGTACCTAAGACGGCTGCAGTTAGCAGGAATTTCACTCTATGTGACTCCGAAATGGTCGAACTTTCTGTCTAGTACGAATTTCTTTAAAACAATAACTGGATCATCTGTTTATTTGCGTGTAAACATTTGCTCCCCAGATCCTTATGATACTCCATTATTGAGTCCGATTGGGGGCAACTCACTGGTTGACACCATTGACCTGGAGCTGCTTGTGGACGAGCTGATGGGCGACTCGACTAATGGAATTCTGTGCCTCGATTCCCTGCTGGAACCGTCGTCGCTCCACGGGACAGAGTATGTTGCCGTGGAGCTTGACCATACCGAAGAAGAGTCGCCCTTCGATCTTGGGTGAGTGGAGAGCTGGGGTGCTGCTGGTGGAAACTGCGTAACCTGGACATTTGGTTCAGCAGTGGAGGGAACGGAAGGTTGTGAGTTCAAATTTTGGTTAGGTGGTTTATTGCCTATCATTATTTTGTACCTCCGATTAGCACGGTTGGCTATGTACGGTGCAAAAGAAGTTCAAATTTTAACAGGACTTTGTGGGGTCGATCTGCTTGGAACTTGCCTACCCACCCACTCACCTACTCAGCGGTCCATCGGCTTGGAAATTACTGCCGCTACGCGATGTTCTTGACTCTTCGCAGACATTTAACCAGTTCAGTAGAAAATGCAAGATAAGTGTTTCATAGAGCTTACAATGTTTTAATATTGCGCACTCGTAATAATCTAGGTTATGAGTTGTGGGTTTAGAAATGTACTTATTGGTTGTCCTGCGGATACACTCCTTAGGTATGTGATTTTTTTACCACTGACTCCACTGTAAACGGGAGACTGAACACTGCCTTAACCCTTAATTTAAGCAGGAAATCACTTGACTGGACTGTTTGGGAGCTTTATTTTCGTACATAAAGTTAACTACAGACAGACTTTGTTTAGCGCTACCCTGTAGACCTCCGATTCGTTGAAGCACTGTGTCCTGTAGAACATTTCTATTACAAAAAAATAAGAATCATAACATTACAGAGCGCTTACGATTGAGAACACGCAGCGCTGGCTGAGGAAACGTACACGCCCCCATCATTCGCTCAGCCAATGAGAGCGACGCACGCTCTGAACCAACCAGACCCTACCCCCGATTATTAAATTATATTATCACAATTCTTGGTCCGTTACATTTGTTTATTTTTCTCCAATGTTAATACAGTGTGTTTAGCTATGTGAAAACTCACGAGACCAGGATAGTCTTCTTTGTGTTTAGTTTGTTCTTCCTCCGATTAGCACGGTTGGCTACATACGGTGCGAAATAAGTTCAACATATATACATAGGCTTCACCTAAAAGAAACCTCACCACAGAGATTTTGACTAACAGCCATCTCCATTGCTCAGGCCTGGATTGGGAGAGCAGCAGCTCCTCCAACCTCGTTTCCCAGCGCTGCCTTTTAGAAGGAGTACGGGAGAATGCACTTGTGAATACAGTACATAATTAATACTTATATAATTGTTCTTATTTATGAAATGTTTACCATTTGTATTATTAATGCTATTACCGATACCCCAATGAAGCCCTCAGGTATTGCTCATACGGAATAAATCACGCCGTCGGGAACACATCCCCCCATGTAATATACAATGGTGTAATGACCCCATTTAGCACTGAATTGATGAGCCCTCACTTCTCCAGGAATGTATCTCAAGCACTAAGCGAGGTCTGCCTTGATATTTGACTTGACTATTTGGGAGCTTTGTTATCGTACATACAATTCACTTGAATACTCAGGATTTTACCTTCCTCAGTTCTCAATCCCAACAAACACCTATGAGGGTGCTGGATCTCCCATTGCTAGCTATTGATAGAAACTGACTTTCAAAAGCTCATTGTCCATTCTCAGTGCTCAGCAACTTAAAATATTCTGGGTTATTCTCAGAGAGCTCCAGGACCTCCGTGATCTAAGTAATCCCGTCAGTCTAAATGTCTGTGGTGAGGTTTCTTTTAGGCGGAGCTTGACACTTTCAGTCTCTGGAGTTCCTACCTGGCCAAATTTTTTTAATTGTGACTACAAATTGTGATGTAATCGAACCTCCGGGAGTGGGGTCTGGTTGGCTCACAGCATGCGTAGTTCTCATTGGCTGAGATAATAATAATGGGGGTGGGTACGTTTCCTCGGCCAGCGCTGCTGCGTGTTTTCACTCGTAAACACTTTGTAGATGTTTTTATTTTTTGTTGTAACAAAAATGATCAAGGACAAACAGCGCTGTAATGAATTGACGTCTATGGGGTTGTGCTCAGCGAGGTCTGCCTGTAAATGTTACGAGTCCACATTGTGCACTGACTTCTCGTGTCGCATTTGTCTTTCAGAGTTTCTGCCCTGTTCACCAGCATCGAAGACACCGAACTCATGGAGCTGTCTGACCTGGATTTGCTGGAATCCTCATCGTGGATCAGTCCCACCTCCCCTATTGTTTATTCCTCTCACAACAATAGCATTATTCCCAGTACCACCACAGATTCGGATACAGTGAGTACCGTCGAGGTAGCAAGACAGATTGATAGTGACACCAAGGTAAACTCAGACATCAATTTAAGCCACATTGATGTTCCAGGGTGGATAAGCAAGTCGGATTTGCAATCACGGTTCCCAAAGTGTGGCACCGTGGTGGAGAGTGGCGTCAGCAAAAGCTACGACCACTGCAGCAGCAGCAGCGGCTATAGCAGTGACACCTCCGATCGGCCAGATTCTCAGATAATACCGCTTGGCAGCAGTGCCATTGGCAGTGACGAGGTCGTAGGCGATGGCGCTGCACTGCTGGGGCAGCAGCTGCTGACTGTAGCCGCCACGGCACTGTCTGGAGGGTGCGAGCGTCGACTGCGGAAGAAGCAGCAAAACCAGCGGGCGGCCGTGCGCTACAGGCAGCGCAAGCGCACGGAGCACGATACTTTGAAGGGGACGATGAGTGGGGAACAGGCGCGGAACAGGCAACTCAGGGAGCGCGTCGACGCCATCAGCAAGGAGCTGCTGTACTTGCGCGGGCTGTTGGAGGAGTTGTACGGCACCAGCCTCTCCAAGCAGAGTGCTTCGCTTGTCTGATTACACCCCCAAGGGAACCTCGCGATGGGAGCCACAAAGAGTGGTAGTGAATAGGTTATGATGAAAATTATCATTGTGCCCATTACTGCGTTGTCAAGGGCTTTGACCTGTTGTGTGGTAGAGGTGGAAGCTGTCACTTGGCTGCCTTGCCAAAGGATGATGATATTTGGGGAGCCGTGATATGACGTTTAAAGTTAGTGGTGGAATACTGTCTTTGGCCTCTTAATCTTTTTTTAAATTAAGGTACAGTGCTGTGGGTAGTCCTAATAAAGTAAACAAGTTAACATTAAGCCCATGTTTAGTGTCGTGTGTACTGTGGGAGCGGATGCCAATTGGGGAGAACTTATCCAGTTTGGGGGATCTGGAATACAACAAACCCTTCTCGCGGGTTTAGCTTTTGTGGTTTTGCGCCAGATCTATTGAGGTACAGTTTGCCGATCGCGCCGCTGTGCCGGCTGAACTATTTGTGGTTGACTGCAAGATTCCTGTACACAACGTAACTACTCGCGAAGGTGCAGCCGCAGATGAACACATGCGCTGTCTTATCTCTGTCTTGTCTCCCAAGCGGCCCATCAAGATAGCTAAACTCGCAAGGGGGAAGGATTTGCTGTATAAAACAAGCAATTGCAGCGCACATGGATGGGTGAGGTATATAAGGGCACGATTTCGTACGACACTAGTGATAAGTGTAATCCTTTAGTTGCACAGAGTTGTAATCGGTGCGGTGATCACCAGGACATCAAATTCTGTGGAACCTGTCCTGTGCACGAGATGATTGTACTGATGTCATATAGGGGAGCCTGCACACATGCTACCATAATTCTTCTTAAAGAGGTCGTTTCTGCTTTAGAGTCAACAATATTTTTTTCTTGAGTAAAACACATTGAACTAAGAAGCTGTGTTTCAAGGGTGACTCGGCTGTTAGACAACATAAAAGTAGTCCACGATTACAGATAAGCAATTATATTGTGAAATTAAGTCAAACTTCAACTTTAGTGATGTTAATACATCCGTTTCAATGAGGTCGGACCCAGCCATGATTTTTTCTTTCAGGAGGAGCTCGTTGATGGGAATGTGTCCAGATCTGTCAAGGATATGTGAGCTCACAATCCAGCCTGGTTAAACCCAGGATGGATTGTTGGCAGGCCAACCGAAATATTTAAAACTGACACGTTCCATTTGGGGGGGGGGGGGGGGGCACGTTTCGCAAACATAGAAGAAAGGCATGATAGGCCAAGAAGACCCGAAGCTTCAGGTATGGAAGCTTCACAACTGCCCCATCACTCATGGGGAATTGAGGAGGTGCATAGTTTTCATGGGGCTGATGGTAAGGCCCCACCTCTCGGTGATACACTCCAGGTTCAGCAGGAGAATCTCCCAACTCCTTAGAGTGAGCAGCAATCAGATTATCAGCGTAACATTGACCAATAGGGAGCCATCCCTTGACCAAACCAGTGCATTTATTAGCCTCCAATGTATCTGTACCAGACACAAGAATAGCCGTCGCCACTAAGTGGCTGTAGCGTCACCATGACACGCTCGGCCAGGTATACTCGGAGGCTTTTACATGAAGGCTTCGGACTTGACATTAGCCATTGATGAAACCTGGGTATACGACGACTCACCGGAAATAAGTGTGAGGTTTCACGTAACTGATAAGTTATTGTCAGCACCGTTGCGGGAAACCTGGCACTGACAGCTCACATGGTGGTGGGATCGCACTGATTCGCCATACAGACATCTGCATGAAAGTTCTGAGGAGCTAACAATCTCGTCATTCGAGCTGGCACTGGTGAAAATAACGAACAGCATGCAGGGGCTTACAATCGCTGTCTAACGACCGTCGTCTTCACTGCTGTCGGAATGATTTTCCGAGCTTTTTGGTCTGCTAGACTGTGGGTCACTTGGTTCTCGCTTCATTACACTGTAACAATTTTTTTTGTTCCTGGGTCGTGTTATTTCCTAATTGCTTATGCCTCAAAAGTACATAAAATGGATATTATTCCCCACAATCTTTGCTTTTGTGACCAGGACAGTGATATTTTGAAATTTACCTATTTTCAAGGAGAAAACGGGCGAATTTGTGTCTTTTCGTTCACATAAGTAAGAAAAAAACAATCAAATTTAACATGTATTTATACTAAAGTAATAAAAAATGACTACAAAAGATTTAGGCGCCAAGGTGCACTACCACAGGCGGGACTGGCCACAGCGGACCGAGTTCTCTGTGGGGAGGAACAACGTCAAGTGTGAGCCACTGCTGGACCTCCAGAAGGTGCTGATACCACCACTGCACGGCAAATTGGGCCTCGTGAAATAATTTGTCAGCTGTCGGTAAGGATTTGGCAGCCTTCAAGTACCTTCATAACTTCCCCAAGCTGTCTGAGGCAAAGGTCAAAGGCCGGTGTCTTCGTCAGACCACAGATGAAGATAGTGGAGTGCAATGAATTATCCAAGAAGCTCACTAGTAAGGAGAAAGCGGCTTGGAACAGCTTTATCGCAGTTGGTCGTGGCTTCCTGGGCAATCACAAGGTCGAACACGAGCTGGTTGAGACTGGTGAAGAACTACGGCACAATGGGCTGTAAGATGTCCCTCAAAGTCCATATTTTTTATGTTCATCTTGATAAACTCAAGGAGAACATGGGAGCGTACTCGGAGGAGCAAGGCGAGCGCTTCCACGAGGATATAACTGGGCTTTGAACGCCGCTACCAAGGACAGTATAACGAGAACATGATGGGAGACTACATTTGGGGGCTGATTTGTGAAAGTGATTTACAGTATAATCGTAAATCTCGAAAAACTACTAAATCTTTTGTCGTAATTTTTGTATTACTTTAGTATAAATACATGTTAATTTTGATTCATATGTTTTTTTCGGATTTTATGTGAACGAAAAGACACATTCGCCCGTTTTCTCATTGAAAATAGGTAAATTTCAAAATATCACTGTCCTGGTCACAAAAGCAAAGGTTGTGGGGAATAATAGCCATTTTATATACTTTTTAGGCATAAGCAATTACGAAATAACACTATCCAGGAACAAAACTGCGTTACATAGTGTTATCTGTGGTGACAAACTGTTCTGGACTGGTTCTTGTGGTAAAATCAATAGTGATACTGCCGAGATTATCGATAGTCAGCAGCACAACATGTCGCTTCGGAAATATACTGGATCACATCTTAACTGATGCCGTAACTGTGAATGACGTTTTGGAAGATGTTCGTATTTCAGATCACAGTCTCGTGACATGCAAAATGGCATTACCGATTATTCGCCCACCCATCACAACGATATACAGACTGGAAACGACTGGACGACAATGCTTTCCGTCAGAAGATTCAGTCATCATTGAAGTGTATATCCTTCAGCGATAGTCGATTAATTTGCAGCTAAATTAGAAAATAACCTCACTTCAGTTCTTGATGAACTCGTGTCCATCCAAACGGGGAAAGTGTGGGGGCTACCGTCCCCCGCCATCATCGAATTGTCGGGGCCGTTGGCCCCCGACTCCCCCGTTAAATTCATACCACTACCACAACAACCGGTGTATGATTATGCACGTGGGTACCCGTGTACCTCACGGCGCAGCTCTCCTCACGCGGTAACCACCGCCAGCAGCATCACGTGCTTGAATTGTGTAATCTTGTTTTATTTACCGTCGCAGCCGTTCGGAATCAACTAATTAGGCTGCGGTTGCGGAATACCCGCTCACCAATGTATCTCTACGCGCGCGGCGCGTGCCGTGAGCGCTGCTGCTCCTGCACGCCCCCGTACTGGTGCGGGCGAACTACAACCAGCATTTCTAGATTTAAAGCTTTCGTGACTGCTAGGATCCATACTCTTTGGTTCTATTGGGTAAAGTCACGTAGGTGAAAATAACAAAAAGTCACGACGTTTCGGCCACAACACAAGCGGCCTTCATCAGGTCAAGGGACGAGACTGGAGGACAGCGCTGGAGTGGGAGAAGCCACGCTTAGATCACGACCTTTAAGCTCCAGCGCTGTCCTCCAGACAGTCTCGTCCCTTCACCTGATGAAGGCCGCTTGTGTTGTGGCCGAAACGTCGTGACTTTTTGTTATTTTATTTTCACCTACGTGACTTTACCCAATAGAACCAAAGAGTATACAACCAGCATCACACGATGCATGGGCTCACCACACCACGCACTGGTGAATTTAATGATCGAAGGACGCGTACTTTAATTCCCAGGGTGATAGCACGTTACTGCTGCCCCGGCACGCGCGTCAAGCCCCGAGTGAACCCACCCGTGCGAGCGTAAACACGTGGGTAAAATTACTCACGCGCAAACAAAAGAATCACCGCGGGCAGGCTCGCCACCCTACGCACCGCCCCTTCGTACTCAGAGACCACACAACACGGTTTATACCCTACGGACGGTTTATTCCCCACGAATAAACGAACTAGACTGTGCGTGTCAGTACGGACCAGCAGGACAGGTCTAACCTATCTCCCTACTGCCTGATACTTAATCGGCCTGCCCGCTCTCTATTTTCTCTCAGAATTTCGCCCCTTTGTCCTACCTCTCTCCCTCGTACTTACGGTCCGACCTCGCCGCGATGGAGGTCGCGGATAGATGATCCTGTAAACGGACTCTGGCTGTTCTCTGCCCCGTCCCACGGACGTGTGAGTAACAGTGAGATCACGGCTCCTCGATCCCTCCCTCCTCTTGATCTCCAGTCAAAAATAGCTCCGTGCTTCCCCACAGCTTCCCTTTTTATGCTCCTTTCAAAGCCCTCGTGCCGCCCATCCGCGGTGCATCACGGGTAGGACCGTTAATCCGCGGTGCATCATGGGTAGGGCGGTTAATCCGCGGTGCATCATGGGTAGAGACGCTAACCCGCGGTGCACCATGGGTAGAGGCGCTTAACCCACGCTGCCCCGCTCCCCGCCTGTCTGCTGGTCCGCGTGTGTCCTGGGCATCTCCTCACTGCGGTTCTCAGTGAGTTCGCCGTGGTCATTTAATTCTAAGTTAAGCCATGGCGCCGCAGTGACATTTGGCCTGGGGGGGGGGGGGCTGCCAATTCCCTGACCCTGAGAAACCGTGGAGCACCCCCATGAGGGGGCCTCTCGTGTAAAAACTCAGGGCAGGTGCCCCCCCCCTTCCCCATGAGGCCCTACTTGAGTGTGTGTGTTTATGTGGGGGGGGGGGGGGGGGGGTGGCGGGGGAAGTGCTGTGACGGGAGCCGGGTGGCTTCTCGGTCCCAGCAGCACAGCGACGGCCCCGGTTTCGACGGAGCGGCTTCGCTGTTGTGGCACCACATAGCCCCCCGAGGTGCCAGTCCCCATCCTGGGTTGACTGGAGCACCTCGCCTGGGTTGCTCCCACGAGGTCCGCGGGACTTGTCCAGTCCTCGTGGCCGGCCTCGGGGGTGGTGGCTCCGTCTCCCGGAGTTCCGGCGGTGGTCTCCACTCCAGCGGTTTTCCTTGGTCCTTGGCACCTGCGGGCTGGGAGACAAACTCGGGGGCGGTAGGGTTCAGGGGCCATCGTTCCTGTCCTTCCTGGCCCGGGTCAGGACTCCCCGGGGCCTGGGGCTCCGTGGGGCCCATATAACGTGTGAGGCCCCCGGGTATGGGGGGTGTGGGGACCCCGGGGTTTCGGGGTACTCGAGCGGCGGGGTTCTCCTTCGCTGGGGCCGCCCTCCATGGTTTTAGTCGCCGGACGTTGACCACCATCTCTCGGCCTCTCCCCCTTGAATCAGTACCGTCCAGGGGGAGATCTGTCGTCCCACGGTCCAGGGTACCCGCCAGTAGGTGGTTAGCTTCTCCGCCTACCCGGCCCCGATGCGAGGGGTGTGCAGCCATACCTTAGAGCCCGCCAAGTAGAAGGGGGGCTCCTTTCGGGGTCGGGCGCCCTGCTCCTGCCGCTGGTGTGCGGCTTCGCCTTGTGGGTAGGCCCGGCCCCTAGCTCCTCGTAGGGTCTCCATCAGGTGCTCCACGGGGTGGCTCCCTTCCTCCCATTGCGGCGGAGGGACACCGAACAGCAGATCTGCGGGCAGGCG